CATGGGAAGGTAAAAAAAAAGTGTTCCAAGCTCTAAATGGTTGAACAATAATGTGCATTTGATTGCCCTGAGCTTTGCATGCGATTAAGAAAAAGGGTTAGAATTAAGTCATGTGTATGAAGACCATCAAAAGGAAAGTGTTGTTTAATTTGGTCCCTGAATTAGTCTCAGAAATGTCTACATGGACATTTGGATTGAAGTTACCTCCAAATAGACCAACCTGGATTGGAGTTACCTCCAAACAGAACTGTTTGGAACAAAAGCCTCAAATATACAAAGAGCTGTAAGAATCTGGTTTATGGGCCACTCCACAGCTTTTAAGACCCTCCTGACTTGTCATGTCTCTTGGGACCAATTTCTCCCTCTTACTTGGCCAAACTTTGATACTAGAATAAGGAAAGAGAATAAAGTACTACTAGTAGCAGTAACGGATGTTTCTCGAGCACTGATTATGGGCTGGGCGCTGTGCTTTTCATACATTCTCATCTCTACCAATACAACATTCTACACAGGGGCTCTGTTTTGCTGAGGAGGAAAGTTAACTTGTGCAAGGTCACACAGCTAGCAAATGGCTGAGGTAGAATTCAAAATGAGACATGCTTGACTCCAGAGCCTGTGCTTTTAATTGGACATACACAAAAAGGTCAAGTTTATTACTAGTACTTCCAGCTTTCTCTTTCTTTATTCTTTCCTTCACTCAGTTCCTTAACGCAATGAGAAAAGGGCTGTGTGTTTTTTCCATTTCAGGACACACAATGCCAGTGTCTTCTCTTTTTTCTATCAATACTTAACATTGAGAAAGGACATCCTGTTTCACTTTAACCTGACTCCATGCTTCTGGTTTTCTCCTCTAGGCAAAGGTATTTATTTTATAAATTGTAGGTCTAAGTCTCATTTTCTAAGACTTAGCTATTCACCACATCAAAGGCAGTACAATGTAGTAAGTAAACAAACACTCATGGCGTTGAAGACTCACTCAGGTTCAAGTTCTAGCTCTGCCATTCAGTAGCTCTGTGACTTGCATAAAAAATTACTAATAAATAGAAAGCTCAGTTCAATAGAGTCTGGAGACCAGCAGGGGGAGTTCTCACACCCTGTGACGACAGCAGAGCCCAACAGGAAGAAGGAAGCCTCCTCTTGTTTCCTGGCAAGGACTTAGCTAAAGAAAAGCCATGGACTCTTTGTTTACTACAGCCCTCCCAACTTCCTTTTCCCTCTATAAAAGGGTTCTCCTTCCCTTGCCATGTGGGGACTTGCACAGGGCTCACCATGGCTATAGACCCCAAACTGCAGTTCTCTGCTCATCCTGAATATGCACATCTTCGCTGGGGAGAAATATCCGGCAGCCCATTTATTTTGGTCAACACTTGAGTAAGTTATTTGACTTCTATAAGCTGGAAAATGGGGATGATAAGCTACCTCCAGGATTATTCATTCAATCTACAGACACTTATGGAGCGCTGTGCTGGATCCTGGAGATACAGGGCTGTGAGGTTTAAATAAAGTAATATATGTGTGGTGCTTGGTACAGGACCAGCAGGTAGTAAAGGCTCAATGATAAAGTGTATTTATAAATGGTAGAACAAAAGGCAATTTCTCTAATAGCCATCACTGGACAGGGGACAGGGGAGTGAGGTGTTTTCTGAATAGAGCTCTTGGAATGATCTTGTATACTTGAGTCCTTCCTTCCCCTGGCTGAGGCCAGTCCCCATAATTTTAGATAATAGCCATAGCCATCATTTTTTTTAACACTTAACATGCACTTTACACGCATTAACTCATGTACTCCTCACAACAACTCCCTGAAGTAGGTTTTATTGTATCATTTTATAGAGGAGAAAATGTAGGCCCAGAGAGATTAAGAAACTTGCCTGAGATCCCACAGCTAATGATCTGGGCTGGGACCTGAACCAGCTAGCCTGATTCCAAAGCCCATGATCTCCCCACCTCTCTAAACTCACCACCCTGGATTCGCCTCTGATTTTTGCGTCTCGTGTCTAGGTAGCCAGCCCTGAGCAGCTCCAGAGAGAGACGCCCTCAGACAGGGGACAGTTAGGAAGGCCGTGGTGTTCTGGGGAGACGTATTCGGAGACCCTGTGTTCCCTGGCTCTCCTCAGGGGTGTTTCACTGATCCCCGTCCACCTTACACCTTTTCCTGCTGTGTCTCTATGACGTCCCTTAAGACCAAACCAGCTCACCCTGAAAAGCAGCTCTGTGGAGCCTCAGAGTGGAGGCATTGGCTGCTGTGGCCCGTGTGGGAGGCGGGGCTACTGCTCTTGCTGCCAAAGGCTCAGGCTGCTCTTTCAGCAGAGCCTCTGCTCCTTTGTGGTCTTGCTTCTGGGTTTGACTGCCTGAGGCCTGAGTGATGCCAGGCCCACCTGCTTTGCCCCTAGTCTGCTCGCTGCCTGAGGTTTGCTATAGTACCCACTGCAGGAGCCCCACTCAGACTCAGTGCACGTGACCTGCACGGTGCTCAGAAGAGCTCTGTGCTCGGTTTAACGCCCTGCCGTCTCCATCTTGAAATTCTTCATAATTTTTGAACAGGGGTTCTGCACTTTCATTTTGCACCAAGCCTCACAAACTATGTAGGTGGTCTTGTTCAGACCCTACTAAGGCCTCAGGGCGCAGGCAGCCTCCCCAGCACGGGAATCTAAAGGAGATCACAGGGGTGTTCGGAAGAGACTTCAAGCAGGCAGGAGTTCTAATTTCAGGTTTGTGTTCACAAGGTCAAAGAAGGCTTGTGGACCGCCAGAAGCTGGAGAATGAATTCAAACATTCCTTTGAATGATGTGAATTTAGCAGGTTACCATCAGTTTTCCCAGTTGCTCCCATAAATAAACGTAACGCCCACTGTACATGCAGTTTCTTACTGGTAGAATGTTGGAGGTGAGGGTCAAGCCCAATTAAGCAGAGAAGCAAACCTGGTCTCTGCAACTTAAGATGTTTCCTACCTGCCTGCCACAGCCTGAAATCCCCTTCTTATTAAATCCTTCCTTCAGATCCTGCCAGTAAACCAGAACCCCGCTCAAGTGCAAATGTTTTTACCTTCTCAGAGCTTGCTGCCTCAATTAGCAGCCCTGCCCGCATACTCCCCCATCACTCCAGATTGCCAGCTCCCCTTTCCTATAGCCCTTTCCTCTCAGTCTTCAGATAGAGGCCTCCCCGTCCTGCGGCTCAGGCAAACCGCCTTTCACATTCTCTCCTTTCTCTCGGCCTAGCTCAGATACCGCCAGCTCTTCACTTTTGGTCCTTTCCCTCCTCATCTCCTGCTTTCTGGCTTCCATCCTCTCAACCATTAAAACTGCCATCTCAAACACCACCCATCAAGGTTCAGAGTTTCATCAGCTTTGATCCTCTAGAAACAGGGCCACATATGAATTCTGGTAGCCTGAAGCCTTCAGGAGCCCTTCCTCCATAAAAAAACATTAAAAATTATCTTCGAAGACTGTGTTGTTATAAAGATAAGTATAATCCAGTCTGGATTGTATTTATTTTAAAATTCTTTTTTTTTTTTGCAGTACACGGGCCTCTCACTGTTGTGGCCTCTCCCGTTGTGGAGCACAGGCTCCGGACGCGCAGGCTCAGCGGCCATGGTTCACGGGCCCAGCCGCTCCGCGGCATGTGGGATCCTCCCGGACCGAGGCACGAACCCGTGTCCCCTGCAACAGCAGGCGGACTCTCAACCACTGCGCCACCAGGGAAGCCCCTAAAATTCTCATTTTAAAATATATTAAAACATTTTCATGGGTCCCTGAAGTCTCATAGGCTCTGGGCACCGTGCCTTTAGAATTTAATGGAGAAATTAGTCCTTCTTTGAAGGCCTGGGTAAAGTTGAGGAGAAAGCCTTCATGAAGTCTTTTATTTCTGGGAAGCCATATTACTTTTTGCTTTTATTGTTCCTTTTATTGGGAAAACACATAGTTATAAAGAAAATTTTGAGGAAACAACCGACTCATAATCTCATAGTCTAACACAACCCTTCATTTGTAATTCACTTCCTTATCCAGATGGAAAGTTAGTTTACACGGCTGACTGTTGTGTTTATACAGTTCTGTATTCTGCTTATTCCATTTCATATTATTTTATTGAAAACATTTTCCATGTTTCTACAATAGTCTTCCTAACCATCAATTTGACTTATGGTGATTGACTTACTTTTTCTCTCTGTTGGTTTCCCAATCTTTTCAGACTAGGATTTCTTTGTCTGTTTTATTGCTTCCTTTTTGTCCTTTCATGGATTTAGTCTGGGCCACCTGATCGTTCTGTATATCCTCCCCTGCCTCCCTCCGCCCCAGGTAGTCTGATTCATGGCTTCAGCTATGGGCTTTATTGGGCTGAGGAGAACGGGCTTTGCGGGTGGTTCTTCCCAGTGGTAATTAGTGTTCAATGATCTGTGTACATGACCTGCTCAAGCCCTTTCACACTGCATGGTTTGTGTTTGAGAGCCAGCCAGGCCGTGGGGCATCGTCTTGTTAAATTCTCCACTTTAGTAAAGGGATCAGAGTGTCAGAGCCTGAAGGTAAGTCAGAGATGATTTTGTCCAACTTCATTATTTTACAGATAAGGAAACTGAGGTTCAAAGAGGTTAACAGACTTGATCACGGTTCTGGAACCAGGGAGCAGGGATTTGAAACTTCATTCCTTGACCTCAAAGCTTCATGCTCTTTCTTCAATAGCATCCATTCTAAATTTGTTGAAGAGGAACTTTATTTTACACTGGTGTACCATTAGAATGAGAATTTACATTGTGGGATTAAATTTACAGTAATTTTGTTGCCAAATTTATCTGAATATTGTCTGATGGGAAGAAAAAAGAAAAACTTCATAATTTTCAGTTAGGTCCATATTCTGAAATTATCTGGACTATTATAGGAGAAATGTTTAAGTGATTCATGTTCTATTGAATGGTAACTTCCCCTGTTTTGTTACTGTTCACTTGTCTCTAAGGTCTGTTGATTCACTTAGTACTACCATCCAACAGTCACATCAACTGAGCTTACCTGTTCAGAGATAAAGAGCAGATCAATCTTTGTCCCAAAATAGCCAGGGCAACATTGGTACTAGCAACCTGCAGAGAACAAAAGCGTACATTAGTAAGATGAGTGAATTTATCCATTTTGGCCATGAATATCATTACCTATAGTAGAAACATAAACTTCACTTTCACTCTCATCTCAAAAAATATTGGAAAGAAATAGCTCTAAAAATATTGTCTTGCAGGTAGGGAAACTAACTATAAAGACTTTTTGTTTGAAGATCTTCTTTAAATTATTTTTCCTTTTCTTCTAATCTCTCTTTTGTGTGTGTGGGGGGCAGTGGGGGGACAGAGAGGGAGAGAGAGACGTCTCACTTAGGTTCATTGTTCAGTCATTTTCTCTCAGATTTTATTTGGCCTTCATCTACTCAAATAAACTTGAATTCTACCTTGACTGACTTATTTCAAGAAGAAAAGAAATTTGGTTATCAATGTAACTGAAGCAGAGGGAAGGGCACACAGGACGTGGAGAAGCGGGGAGAGCTATTTTACAACGTTTGGGGGTATGAGCACTGGCCTCCCATACCTACCCCCACCCCAGTCTCAACCCTGTCCTCTCTCCTAATCGATGGATCACATCCCATCCCTCCAAACATTTAGTAGACCCTGCTGGCCAGTGGTCTACTGCAGGAACAGGACTGGTATCCGTAGGCTGCCCTCCTGTCCCCGCAGACTTACAAAGTCCATGGAAATGACGGTTTCCGCAGTCGAGTTCTTGGACTGGGTGAGTATCACGAAGGAGGCAGGGATGTCTAGGGTGAAGTTACCCGGTAATAAATTGACCACGGGAGGCTCTCTTGCCAAGACCTGTACCATGAAGGGCTGGGACAAGATGTACAGCTCTGCAATCTGCCCACATTCAGGGAAAGAAACAGAGATTGGGAGTCGTGAGTTGAAGAGGGGAAATCACAAATTTGGGGTGGCCTGTGGTGATTAAATCTTACATCATACAGTTAGAACAGAAAAAAGCTCTTTAATAATTATAGCAATAACAACAAGATAATAATAATAACAGCTGCCATTTATTGAACACATACTGTGTGTCAGGCACCATGTCAGGACTTTCAGTATTATTGCATCTAATCTCCAAAAAATCCCTCTGAGGCAGGTTCTATCGGAATTCCCATTTCACAACTAAAGAAAGTGAGTCTTAGAGAGGTTAAGTAATTTTCTCAAGGTTCCAGATGAGTAAGTTATAGAACTGGGATTCAAATCTAGGTCTGTCTGACTCAAGATCCTTGTTCTAAACCCAGGATGCTACACGAGCATCTCTCTATCCTCCAGGGCAAACCTGAGCCTTTCAATATACTGTGTCCAATACTCAGATCCCATGACAGCATGATATTAATAGTTGTTTTAACTAAAGTCACAATGTGGCACTATTCCTTCCTTTCCCATTTAAGCTAATTATTTAAAGTGTGGTGGAACCTTATGGAAGGAACAAATGATTTATTCTGTGTACTATGTCTTTCCTAGTAACTTGTACTGTTCAGTTAATATTTGTGGATATCTGATTAAAAGAAAAACTCTTAAGAATGGAAATATGGATGCAAGCTTGGACCAGAAAGGAACATAAAGAAACAAAAAGTCTTCCGGAAGTAATTGCAATGAAACCAAATACACCATTAAGGAGTCAAACCCTGAGCACTCACCCAGGAGAGCATGTTGCCAAGGCCTTGAGAGTTGCGAATCAAATGGTTGAAAATCTGGGAAATGAAGACCATCATGTCACTGTAAGGTTTTTAACTGGGTTGTGTTTTCAGGGAAAATGCAGCATTCCCTATAATTTTTATGAATCATGAAGCTGTTACACCAAAAATGCCTAGTGTTTGAAGGTGACTGATTATTTTATAGCCCAACCACAGGAAATCTGAGGCCCAGAGAGGTAAAGTGACTTGTCCTAGGTCACATAGGAAGTTACATTGCTTTTGAGTAAGGGCCTTTTAACCTTAGGAACACAGTGTGTATCATATGGCTACGATCCATGTGTAAACATTTTACAGTGGTTAACAATGTCTTTTGTTATTGTCCTCTTTTTCAGAGGTTACTGAGACATATGCTGCATAAGCAATTTATCTTCATAGATGAATGGTTTTCAAGTCTGAAGCTAGAAGTGTCTAATTCTCAGTACTGTATGGCAGCTGGTGTTGCCATCAGCATTTTGAACACAAGATTTATAATTATTTGTATAATTAAGGCCTAGAGAATGAAAAGATACATAAGGAATGCTCAATAAAAGTTGTTAGTTGACTGGTAGAAGAGAGAGTTCTCATTATAAAAGGGAGGGGCATGACAGAGGATCAATGAATATCTGTGCTATTTACTGGTCATTGTAGATGTCAGTTGTAATTACTAACAGGAGAAATCTTTATGTTGGCATAACACAAATAATAAAATAATAATGATGATGATGATGATGATGATGATAATCAACACTTAGAGAGCATGTAGTCTGTGCTAAGCATTGGTCTGAATGCTTTACGTATATTTAAACCTCTTTAATGCCCATAACAACCCTATGAGTATGGAACATTATTATTCCCATTTTCCAAATGATGAAATCTGGCACAGAGAAGTTAAGTACATTGAAATTACCAAATTTTCATAGGTATTTGTCACAGGTAATAAGTAGTGGAGGGGCTTCTTGGTATTATTGAAGATCAGTCTAGAAGAACAGTGGCCCAGTATCATAAAAAGCTGAAATTAGCAGAACTGGAAACCCAACAACTCCCCAACTAGTATCAACATTCATTCCACAATCCCTTCATTCATTGTCCTGCTAGGAGTGATAGTGTCTACAAAGTCCCAGGAATAGAAACTATGACATAAAACCCCCCATCATGGGATACTTATAACAAGATTAAATGTTGGTGTCGATTGTCATCATCCGTTAACTCTCCTAACCTTTTTTGTGGTGAGAGTGACGTTGAAAGCCCCAGCTGTAAAATAAGCATAGGACGCAGATTTAAAGAAATACTCGGAGATTCCAATGTAGATCATAGAGTCATTGTGTTCCGGGAGCACAAAAGGAACTGATGAGAAGGGGGGATCTGTGAGGTTTTCCAGGGGGTAGAATACGCCCTGTGGGGAAACAGAGAGAAAGACCAGTGTTATCAGGGGAAGACTCGAATGTGCAGGACTAAAGAAGGTGGACCCACTCAAGTCAGAATAAGGAATATTCCAGAAACTGAGTAGGGTTGAAAAAACCACGAGTCCTCTGACTCCTTGACTGGGGACTATGTTTCAGAGCTCTGATGACTTCTCGAGCATATCTGAGTGTGTCTGTCCACCCTGGGGTGTAATCCAGTGAGAAGTTCCTTGTTAGTCCTCTTCTCAGAGACAGGAAGGCAGGTGAATGTAGCTGGAGGGGACAGCTCTGAATAGTTCCTGAAGTGTCATGTAGAGATGTCAAACTTTTGACCTTCAAAATCCATAACTTCTGAGCATCTGGGGCATCACAGAAAGACTCAGAAGGACCCAGGATTCTAAATGGCTCAAAGCATTTTTGTGGCATTTTTACTGCTGCCTTCATAAGGTATAGGCTGTTATTACAAAATGGTGTCTTGTGTAATATTTAACTGAGTTGAGTGACTCTGATTGAAACATAAGCCAACATACATTTAAAAAAAAAAAACCAGTGGGGGCTTCCCTGGTGGTGCAGTGGTTGAGAGTCTGCCTGCTAATGCAGGGGACACAGGTTCGTGCCCCGGTCCAGGAAGATCTCACATGCCGTGGAGCGGTTAGGCCCGTGATCCATGGCCGCTGGGCCTGTGCGTCCGGAGCCTGTGCTCTGCGACGGGAGAGGCCACAACAGTGAGAGGCCTGCGTACGGCAAAAAAAAAAAAAAAAAAAAAAAAAAGAATTCGCCTGCCAATGCAGGAGACACGGGTTCGAGCCCTGGTACGGGAAGATCCCACATGCCTCTGAGCAACTAAGCCTGCGCACCACAACTACAGAGCCTGCGCTCTAGAGCCTTCAAGCCACAACTACTGAGCCCATTTGCCACAGCTACTGAAGCCCGCGTGCCTAGAGCCCATACTCTGCAACAAGTGAAGCCACCACAATGAGAAGCCCACGCACCACAACGAAGAGTAGCCCCCCAACAAAAAATAAATAAATTTTAAAATAAATTATATTTACTTTGGGACAAAAGCACAGTTAATCACTTTTCCAGAATCAGCAAACACTATTTTTTTTTTTTGCGGTACGTGGGCCTCTCCCTGCTGTGGCCTCTCCCGTTGTGGAGCACAGGCTCCGGATGCGCAGGCTCAGTGGCCATGGCTCATGGGCCCAGCCACTCCGCGGCATGTGGGATCTTCCCGGACCGGGACACGAACCCGTGTCCCTTGCATCAGCATGCGGACTCTCAACGACTGCGCCACCAGGGAAGCCCAGCAAACACTATTATCATGTGTTAATGGCCCTGACAGAGTTCAGCAGCCCTCAGTTAGATCGACTAACCTGAGAGCTAGGAATAGAACTATCTATATTTATAGTCTACTGATCTGTTGAGCCCTAATAAATGCAGACTATTCTACTTGCTGCCCCTTAGTCTGCAGCCTTACTCCCAGAGGCAGAGACACCACGATGCTTTTCTTGAAGAAGGCAGACATATGCTGTGCAATCCAAGCAATCATTTACCAGTCCAGAAGATGTTCAAGAGTCTTTTAAAGGAGCATAAACATGAGAGAACTGCTTGAAAGGAAATTAAACTGTTGGAAGAGAATGTAGTTATATTTCCCTCTGCATGTAATATTTGTTCCTTGAATAGTGGTATTGATAGCCAAGCTTAGGACTCTGATGATGATAAAATTACCTTCAAATTCAGATCAATGTAATTCTCAGTAATTTCTGGAGAACTGATTAGGGAATAATCCAGCAGGGTATAGTTGTCAACGCTTCTTAAAACTAAATAACAAAGAAAAAAGAAAATTTACATTTATTAAAGGTATAGTATAACACATGGTTAATATTTATCCAGAACAAGTTTTTAATCCTCTGTTATTTAAAACAAAATTAACCCTTACCCTGTTTCATAAATAATACTTGCTCACTTTTCAAAACCCAGGAAAAGTAGATAAATCAAAAGAAGAAAGTAAAAACTCTTCTTTATCACATTGCCCTGAGAGAACCATCAGTAAAATTTTGGTACATAGCCTTTTATGCATGCTCCCAGAAGTAAAGAAATTTGCCCACAGCAACCTAGGACATGGCAATCCTCCACTGGTTCTTTCCTCATCTTTTCTACATCTTCTTTCTCTTTCCCTACCTCTCCAATCTGTTCTTTTTTATTCATCTATCTGCATCCACTCATCAATCCATCTGTCCAGCCATCATCTCCTTTCATCCCTTTATCAAGTTAATATTTATGAACCTAGTGTGAGTTAGGCACTGTGCTCGGTGTTGAGAACACGGAGAAGACTCAACGTCCCTGCCCTCAATGAACTCACAGTCTGAAGGAGGAGACAGACATATAAACAGGAAATTATAATACAGCGTAATAAGAGCAGATCTGTAACTGAGCTCCAGAGGGCCTACTACAAACATAGTCTTATAGTCTTCCCCATCTTGGTATCGGTAATTCCACTCTTCCAATTTTCTAGTTGCTCAGAGTAAACCCTGGCCTCATGCCTGACTCCCCTCATGACCCACATTCAATGTGTCAGCAAATACCACTGTCCCTACCCTCCAGGTACATCCGAAACCTGAACATATCTCACCATCTTCGTCACTCCATCCAGGTCACTGCCTTCCTTGCTCGTATAGGTCACTGCACTAGCCTCTTAAGTGGTCTCCCTGCTTCCACCCCTGAATCCTGTCCTATTATTAATAGAGAGAAACCAGAGGGATCTCCTTAAAATATAAGTCAGTTCATGAAAGCTGTGCTCAGAACTCTCTCAGGACTTCCCATCTCAGACGAAGAGCCAGGCTTTGTAGTGACCTACAGAGCCCTGAAGGTCTAGCCGTCTGCTTTCCCCTCGTTCCCTCTGCTCTCGGGATGGACTCCTCAACATCCCTCAATGCGCCCGGCAGTGCTCCCACGTGGGCCTTTGAGCCTGCCGTTTCCTCTGCCTGGAATGTTCTTCATCCAGATCTAGGAGCAGCGTACTCCCTACTTCATTCAGGTCTTTACTCTAATGCCAGCTGCTCAGTGGCGCCTCTCCTGGCCATGCTATTTTAAACAGAAACCCCTCGTCAGTTCCTTCCCTGCTTTATTTTTCTTCTTACCACTTATCGCAACGATACCATAGATTTTACTTATTATCTTGCCGGCTGGCTGTCCCCTCTCACTAGCCCCATGAGGGCAGGGATTTCTGTCTCACAGGCTTACTGCTGCATCCCCAGCACCAAGAACAGCACTCAGCCTATTACAGGGGCTCAGCATACCGTGGCAGGGGGCCGGCGGGGGGGGGCCGTAAGTAGATGGAGTGCAAAGAGAGATCTGCCCCAAGTGTCATGTGAGCGTTGAGGAGGCGGGACTTTGGGGTGTGGGCTGTCAGGTAGGATTTCTTGGGAGAGACTATGCCTGAGCTGAGCCTTCAGAGCTAAAGAGGAGTGAACAGGACAAGGGATGCCTGCGGGGTAGGGAGCAGAAGGGGCTGCATCCCTGGGGCTTAGCACAGTGCTGGCAAAGAAATGGGTGCCCTGTAAATATCTCTTGAGTGAATAGATGGATGGAGGGGAGGAAGAGAAAGCTCTTCTAGGCAGAGAGGACAGCATGACTGGAGGCAAGGTGTGAGGCGGTAGAAACAGTTTGATTGCTGGAGCAGACAAAGGTGCAAGATGAAGCCCAGAGAGGCGAGAGGGAGCCAGAGCACGGCAGGTGGGTCTCGCAGTCCATGTTAAGGTATTTGGACTTGATCCTGAAGGCAGCTATAGGAGCCACTGGAGGGGTTAGAACCAGGGGAGAACTGGTCGGGACGAGCATTCATCATTCTGAAGAGGATGGATTTAGCGCCAGAGCTGGGATTCAGGCTCACGACAGTTTAATTCTTTGCCTTGCATCTAGTTGCCTGAAGTCACCCCCACCTGCAGTGAAGCTGGTTAGCAGCAGAAAAGAGCGGGACCTGCACACGGGCAGGTCCTCCCATGCACCTTCCTGCGGTGCTAGTTTGCAGAGGGGAAAGCAGATGGGGGAGCTGGAGCAAAGCACACCTGGAGAGCACCTGCGTGTGAAGGTGGGAGGAGAAACACCCAGAAGAGACAGTTCTGGGACTCACCCTCCAGCATGCTGAGGTTGGCATTCAGTGCCTCCACCTCACTTGTGATAATGGGACAGAGCTGGCCATAAAAGGAATAAAAAAAAAAAAATGCAGGTTATCACATTGTACTGGAAACCACTGTTTAAGGCCTAGACCCCAACAAAGGCCTTCCAGCGAGGAGACATTCTCCCTTTGGACTCTCCCTTAAATTAGTTGATGCCTATGGGCCTCAGGTTCCGTATGTATGGGTGGCATGACATTGAATGCTGGCTCAACTTCATAGCAACCAGGACCACACCTACTCAGCCCCATAAAAGAACAAGCCCTTGGCTTTCATCTCTGCAGCATGACAGGGCATGTGCCCCAGTCCATGTTAGTGCTACGACACCTGGGGAACCTGCTGCCTGCACAGCTGAGCCTCTCCCAATGGCAGGGATGCCCCTGCCTGCCACCTCTGCCATCAGCATGCCAGGCCCTGCCAGGGAGAGTTAGAGCAGGGCCTTTATTTCCTTGCTGGGCTGCTCGGAGAGCCCATTAGATCAGACATCTATTTAGATCAGAGCCCCTTTTGGAATTAGAAAATCAATTTTGAATCAGACCCAAGCACATCTGCAGGAAGCAGGAAGAGTATCAAGCTCGATGCCGTGTGCCAGGAGTGTGCTGAGCACGCAGTGTGGTGGTTACTAGCAGAGGCTCAGGAGCCTGGCTGCCTGGGGTTGAATGCCTTGGCAAGTTACTTGTACTCTCTGGCCTCAGTTTCCTCATCTGCAACGTGGGGATGATAGCTGTATCTACTGCGTCAGGTGATTGTGAGTAGAAATTGAGGCAATCCATGTGAGATTGCCCAGCTCAGAGTAAGCATTCAGTAATGTTAGCTGTTGCCAACCTCATTTCATCCTCACTACAGTCCTGAGAGGCAGGCACTACTGGCCCCTATTTACAGATGGAAAACAGAAGCTTGGAGAGGGTAAGTGAGTTTCCAGGAGCTAGATCAGTAGGATGTGAGATCTGGCCTGACGTGGCTACACAGCTGTGGTCTGAGCACCCTTGGCCTTTTCTAGCGGCACAGAGGGAACCTAGAAGCAAAGCATCTATGATCTCTAAGTCATACACAAGCTCCAGGCAAACTTAACTATTGGCATCTTGTCAGAGGCCAAAGGACCATGCCTTGTTTTGAACAAAGGAATGATCAAGTGTGGGGTCCCTGAAAGCAACAGCACTGTTTCCCAGGCACTTTTCAATATGCACATCCACTGGCACTCAGCACCTTTCAGGTAAGGACGGGAAAGGCTGCGAAGCTTCAGTGTCCCCTGACCAGCCGGACAACCTTGTTAGACAAGCTGCTTGACGTCTCTGTGTGTTGATTTCCTCACTGACATTCATTATGCACCTACTGCCTTCCAAGTGCTGAACTGAACACAAGGGGGCTGGAGACAGCCAGACACCATCCTTGCCCCTCTTTTCCAGAAAGGAATCTCCCTTCTTTTCCCATCCTCCTCACCTCTCTCCTTGTCTCCCCAGAAATGTGGGTAAAGCGTTCAGGGAAGATATTGTCAGGAATGGAAACAGGGCACATGGCCAATTCCATCTTTCCCTTCCTCGGACACTGACTTCTGGCATCAAGATACTTGGATGCCATCTTAACTTATACTGTTTCACTTGGCTGGGAATATTCTTTCTTCTTTCCCGTTCCTTACTTATTCAATTCCTACCTATATTTGAAGGCTCAGTTCAAGTCCTGCACTCTCCAAAAATGTCTCCCAGGATAGGATACTCCTAGGCTCTATTTACTTCATTTTTCCAGTTCTCTGAACCCCCTCAGTCCAACCTAATGACCATGTAAGTATGTATGAAATTCAAATACTTATTCAGTTGCAGTTTCACAAGTCTGAGCTGGTTTTTCCTAAACAGATAAGTTTATTCCTTTTCCATATCCTCAACAGACTCTAGTCTAGAGTGCTGGGCATGTAGTAGGTACACAATAAACGAACCCTTTTTGACTGTTTGCCCACCCTGGGGCGAGGACTTGAGGGAGGGAATGCTGTACTATTTATCTCTGCATCCCTAGCACCCACCATTCTGTTTGGCACACAGTAGGCACTTGAGAAACTACTAAGTTGCAAAGGATAATGTGTGTGAAAGTGCCTTAGATGGTGCTTAGCACACTGTAGGTGCTCAGGAAAGTTTTATTGACTAAAAGCTAATCAAAGCACGGCACAACTGCTGCTGATGGCATGTTACTATGGCTGTAGAGCCTCTAAAGACTTACCATTTTATTTAAGTTCTTTAAAATGGGTTTCTCCATGGGCTCAGCAAAGGAGTTATACAGGACACTAGGGAAAAAAAAAGATTACAAAAGGGCTTACACAGGATCATATCTGCCAGTTCATAACTGCCCCTAGGTGCCACGTGAGAACCCAGCTCCAGACTGTCCACTGCCCACCAGGGTGCTCACCTGAGCTCTCCAGAAAACGAGATGTCATTGCGGCTCACTTGGGCATTGCAGTCTTGGAGCTTCAGGATTGGGTGACCAAAGTCATTCCGGGCCAGGACAAGTATACCGGTGAAGTAGACCCCAGAGAGAAGCAAGTTAGCTCCTCCTGTGTCTTGGCTGTTGAGAGAAGGAGTGCAAGGTTACCCAAGCCTGGGCAGGGGTGCAGATGGATCTTGTTTCTCTGATTAGCCATAGAATCTAAGCCCCAGGAGGGCAGGAACTTCATCACCTCTGGATTCCTGGCACCTACAACAGGTAGGGGTGAATATTTACTGAACAAATGAAGTAACAAATATGTGAATGGTGACAGCTCTAGGAACCTTGCATTTATTTCATCTTGAGTGCGCTGGCCCCCATAGTGGTTGAGCATGTATTAGGCACCATTCATATACGATGCTTGTTTGGAGGAAGAACATAGGGGTCAAGGTGGCCACACCTTATTTAGGAGGGGCATAGATGGGGAGGTGACACTTAGATGTCATCTGTGAACTCCTTGAGGGAGTGGTGCTATTCATCTCCATGCCCCAGGATTTAGCTCATGGCCTGACACAGAATAAGCACTCAATCTATGGTTGATGAGTCAGCAAAGAAATGAATAATACATTAATCTATGTTTCTTATGGGGGAACATATTATATCCCTACCGTCTACGAGACTGGAGTTCCTGAGACAGGGATGAATGGTACTCAGTACCATTTATAAATGGATACAGTCAGTAGGTACTCAGTAAATGGATACTGAATGACCAAATGGATGAATGAATGTGTCATCCTGGGGCATCAACCAAGGCAGACCTAAACATTACACCCACACGGTGACTTACACATAGTAGGTGGTTTGTAACCGTACCAGGAATTTGATCCTTTTTTTTATCTTCTTTTCTGGCCGCAGCCCACGGCATGTGGGATCTTAGTTCTCTGACCAGGGATCAAACCTGTGCCCCCTGCAGTGGAAGCGGGGAGTCTTAACCGCTGGACTGCCAGGGAAGTCCCAGGAAATCTTAAATGACATGCTGATCAGTGGCTCTGCCTTTAAGGGAAGCATGCTTTTCAGCCCCCTCCTCCCTGCCCTCAGTAGAGATATTCTGATTTAAATCTCTCCTGGAAAGATGCTCTTGAGAAAGATGGTTAATGGCTGAGGGAAAGAAGCCTAACGTCAAACACATTGGCAACTTTATCTACTTCTGATTTCCTGCTCCGTCTCCCCCAGAACAGCAGTAGACTTCTCAGTGGAATACTCACAAAAGTGGAGACTTGATTTCCCAGTCTGTGCTGATGTTGGCAGTGCCGTGCTTGATCAGGGCCCTGATTCCCACCCCAGGCACAAAGGCTAGTGAAGTATTTGGAAGTGAAAAGGCATTGATTTTTATGCTGTAAAACAGGAAACAGAGGAGTTAGTGCAACTCAGCCAGCACATCTCTAAGTAAGGCAAAATCGGAAATGCAGTGGTAGAACTCCCAAGATGGGCAATTGTGAATTCCTGTAGAGCAGGGGTCCCCAACCCCTGGGCCACGGACCGGTACCGGTACACAGCCTGTTAGGAACCGGGCCGCACAGCGGGAGGTGAGTGGCGGGCAGGCGAGCGAGGCCTTCATCTGCCGCTCTGCATCGCTCCCCAGGAAACGGGTCCCTTGTGCCAAAAAGGTTTCAGACTGCTGCTATAGAGGAAGGACCCTTAGGTATGCAGTGCAGCCTCAGGGCACTGCCTTCTAATTCCTCTCACACCCTTGGCAGGAAGCCCCTTGTATTTAGCTGAGGGGAGAAATGAGCAAGTTTAGGAACAGATTTGCAAACAATCAATCGACTTCTTTAGTTTCTTTAAAGACAAAACACTGCCATCATTATTTTTCCCTTCAGCTGTCCCAGTGTTTCTCAATGCAGGAAACATTAACATTTTGTTTGTTTGTTTGTTTGTTTTTGTGGTATGCGGGCCTCTCACTGTTGTGGCCTCTCCCGTTGCGGAGCACAGGTTCCGGACGCGCAGGCTCAGCGGCCATGGCTCACGGGCCCAGCCGCTCCGCGGCATGTGGGATCCTCCCGGACCGGGTCACGAACCCGTGTCCCCTGCATCGGCAGGCAGACTCTCAACCACTGTGCCACCAGGGAAGCCTAACATTAACATTTTGGATGGGACAACTATTTTTTTGTAGAGGACTGTTGTACAAATTGCAGGATATTTGGCATATGTACCAACTAAATGCCAATCGCGTCCCTCCCCCCACCCCTAAATCATCAGGACGATAAACAGCATGCCTTCCTCCCAAATGTCCTCTATGTGGACAGTATCTTCCCTAGTTGAGAAATTTATTTTAGAGCATTAACTCCCCCTAGGATTCTCTGAGCTGTCACACAGGTAACTAGAGGCAGTAGGTGGCATGCAACATACATAGGTAGATGGCCACGTGCATTATGTTAAGTTATTAGTATGACCATCTATTGAGCAATTACTACCTGTTAGACACTGGAGTAAGCACTTTACATGTGTTACCTCATTTTAACCCTCACCATAATCCTATGAGGCTGCTGCTGATTTTGCAATCTGCAATTCAGAGATGAGAAGATTACAAACTTGGCTGAAGTCATAGATAAGTGGTAGAACCAGACCTGGAAGCCTCCTCAATCTGTCTTCAGGCTTCTTAACCAGGAGGCTATGGCACTTTGTGCACCGTGCAAAGGGCACTGGGCTCGGAGCCAAGTTTTGTGCTAGCTGTACAACCTTGGGCAAGGCACTTAACCTCTTTCAGTCAGTCACTGAAAAGAAGTGCGACTCATGGGAAGGTTGAGAAGACAAAATGAAGCCATCTGTGTATAACTGTTGCACGGGAGAAAGCACTGTTATGAACTAAGATTAGGGAAAATTTTAAAATGTGACAGCCAATAAGAAACGATTATTTGTTATTTCCTCTTTTCTGCATCCTTTCCTACCTATTCTCTGTCAAATATCCTGAGGATCACTGTGAAAAGAGGATGGTAGAGATTAATGTATCTTGGAAATATTTTCATTTTGATACGTATAGGTCTAACTCATTCTTTGTAATTGCTGCAGAGTAATCTAAGCTATGGATTAAAAAAAATCATTGCTTTGTGGGTAGACATCTAGGTTGTTTCCAGTATTTCTGCATTATAAACAGTGCCACAGTGAACATCCCCATATATGCTGTTTGTGTAGATGTTTCTCTAGAGAGGGTGCTGAGAAGTGGAATTGTTGGGTCAAAAAGCATGCCTAAAAAAATCCTTAAAAATCACCTCCTAAAATAGCACTGTCTAGGGGCTTCCCCAGTGGTGCAATGGTTGAGGGTCTGCCTGCCGATGCAGGGGACACGGGTTTGTGCCCTGGTCCGGGATGATCCCACATGCCGCGGAGTGGCTGGGCCCGTGAGCCATGGCCGCTGAGCCTGCGCGTCCGGAGCCTGTGCTCGGCAATGGGAGAAGCCACAGCAGTGAGAGGCCCGCGTACCGCAAAAAAAAAAAACAAAACAAAAAACAAAAAAAAACACTGTCTAATAGAAATATAATGTGAGCCATATATGTAATTTAACATTATCTAGACACATTAAAAATGGGAAATAATATAATTTGAACATGTAATCAATATAAAAATTGTTAATGAGATATTTTATTTTCCTTTTTCAAAAATAAACAAAATACAGTATGTGTTTTATATTCATGATGTACCTCAATCTAGATATTGCATTTTCAACAGAAATTCTTGACCTGTATTTAGAGCTGATAAAATTTTCAATTGAAAGAGTAAACTTACATACTCAAATTGTTCCAGACTTAAAAGTTCTTCAGTAACTGAATCATGTGAGTTTTTAAATTAAAACTGAAATTAAAAAAATTAAAAATCCAGTACTCAGTTGCACTAATCATACCTCAAGTGCTCAATAGTGACATGAGGCTAGCAGCTCCTGTTTGAACAGCACAGGTCTGAAATCATTGTACCAGTTTATCTGCTCCCACTAGCAATGCATGGGAATACCTGTTTCTCCTCATCTTTACCTTCACTTTATATTCCAGGAATCACCCTGGTTTTTCTGCTGTGGCATTATCATCAGTGTAATTAAATCATTAGATTTGTAAATATATATTTAATGTTCATCTCTCTCACTGGACACTAAAGGCGTATCTGTGTCATTCACTACACTATACCCTTTGCCTAGAACAAAGCCTTAGTACACAGTAGGTGCTCAACAAATTCTTGTTGAATGGCTGACTGTATTATAATTAGAGCATCTGTCATATTAGACCATGAGGCAAACGAAGCCAGAGGCCAGAGTTAAGGATAGGGGAACAGAAAAATACAAGACAGTTGTATTCTGATGAAACTGTGGGGCTTCAATAGGATTCTTCAAGTGTTTTTTTGGGGCGGGGGGCATAGTTGCTTTACAATGTAGTGTTAGTTTCTGTTGTACAACGAAGTGAATCAGCTATATGTATACATATACCCCCACCCCGCTTGAACCTCCCTCCCACTACCCACCTCATTTCATCCATCTAGGTCTCCGCAGAGCACCGAGCTGAGTTCCCTGCGCTATACTGCAGGTTCCCACTAGCGATCTGTTTTACACATGGCAGTGCACATATATCAACCCCAATCTCCCAATTCATCCTCCCCACTGTGTCCACACACCCATTCCCTATGTCTGTGTCTCTATTCCTGCCCTGAAAATAGGTTCTTCTGTACAATTTCTCTTCAGAGCTTCTTATCTGTGAGACAAAAATGAACCCCTATTTCATCTAAGTCACACTAGTTTTGTTATATTCGGCTGAACATTTTTCCTGGTTCGTACCATCACCCCTACATACCCCAGGGAGCTGAAAGATCTCTGCTTTAACCTATTTCTATTCTTGTTCCAAAACACCTGATGTTTGTCAAAGATGTTTATCAGTTACACCTCAAAGGAAACTCTACAGTCGTCCGCCCTGAATCAGTTCCAGCCTAAGTGCAAGAGCAGTGTCTGTGCCAAGGAAACGTAGAAGCGCCCAAAAGTTGCCTTTGCCTCGTCACCGTGCTAAGATCTCTGCCCAAAGAGGGGACTTGTACTTTGCTAGGCACAACGAGTGCCAGGCGCAAGGGACTGTGCATGCAGCACTGTTGCTGGAAATCTCTGCCCTTTTCCCCAGTTTCTGATGATGCACTGGCCTCTTACCCCTTAAACATCTCCCACTTTCCTCCCACGGGGAGAAGGTGTCTTTAGAGCATGAGCTCTCCCTTCTCCATTCCTTGATCAACGAATACAGTTTCTGCTCTGCTTTGCCGAACCTTGTCTCATTCATCTGGCGTGAGAAGGACCCAGTTGGGGTCCACCCAATCTGAGAGGGTGGGTAACAATATAAATATAATCTCAAAACCCTTGGCTTGGGTGAGACAAGGATCTGGATCAATGTGGCAATTCCATTGTTCTTACACTGATGGTCTATGCTGTCACTAAGTATATCAGCTAATCCATGTTCAGCAGCTTCAGTTTTATGAAGTATCTTCACATTTGTTACATCATCTGCTTTTTATTGTTTACTGATTCTGACAGTTGATTTTATTGCTGTAACATGGTAGAAAAGATTATAGCTGCCACCAGAATTCTTCTTAGGAAGAGAAGTTTATTGGTGGGAAAATTACTTGGAAAAGTATTTAGGATGATCCTTTGGTACCCAGGAGTGGGTGGAACTGCTATGCATGAGCCCAGGGGAAGAAACTGACGTTGCTCCAGAGAAGGAGAGGAGGTCTAGATAGCAAGAGGGCAGAAAGCATGTGCCTTGTAATCCACTCCTATGACCTCTGAAGTCTTGACTAAACTTTACAAAATAAGACAAGATGTAGTGAGAGCAGATTTGTTTGTGAGACTGATATTGAACTCTGCATCTAAGTTTATGGGGGTAGGGGTAGCAATGGAATGAACAAGAATTTCATTTAGAATTCTGGGGGCAAGGTGCCCACAGCCGACATCTGCATCGAATAGAACTCTCATTTTAGGAATGAGGAGAGGGCACTGAGTCTCTGAGCAGATGCGCCAGGTACACACAACGAGTGTGCAGCAGAGATGTGACTTGGACCCACGCGTTCTGACCCAAACACCACATGCCGGCTCCATGACCCCTTTTTCTTGGGTGATTTATCTGATAAGCCTTTCACCAAAGGTTGGTTAACTTCTACTCCATCCTGGTGTTACACCAGGACTCATGGTGGCGTATCCACAACCCTGAGATTTTAAAGATTAATTTCACTGCTAAAAAGGTTCTTCTCTTTTACTTACTTTATAAGCTTGTAGTTCATATAATCAATTTTCAGAAATTTAGGAGATTCAGAACCTTTTAAATCTGGGATGTTTCTTTCCTTGACCATTTGCTCAATCATCTCCACCCCAGCTTGAATGCCTGTGAAGTAACCAAAGAAAATGTTTATGGATAACAAAGATGATGACGGCATAATATCATTAAACACACAAGTTAAATTTACTAAGTAAGCCATGCTCTTAGATACTGAGAAAACAGGATTCTAACAAGGTGGTTATTATTGTCCCTACTTTGCAGAAGAAGACACTGGTCCTCAGAGAGGCTAGTAAAATTGTCCAAGAACCCAGAGCCAACAGCATGGGAGAATGTTAACACAGGACACTGTTATAGGAAAAGTACAAAGTATTATCGTTATCCAATTTCACAGATGAAGAAACTGAGCCTCAAAGAGGTTAATTCTTGCCTAAGTCACACAGCTAAGAACTGGGGGAGCCAGTAGTCAAATCTGGGCAATTTGGCTCCAGAATCTATGCCTGATGGCCGGTTCCAGAAAGTTATTCTACATTGTCCTTTTTCCCTCCTAGATTCTTTAAATTCAGGAATTTTGGACTGGAGGTCCATGGACTGCTGGGAACACTTGAAGCCCGTGAAATTCTAATGAAAGATTGTGAGTGGGTCATGTGTATGTGTATCTATCTCATTTTTTAGGGGAAAATTTTCCAGGGTTCACATTTTATTTTTTTATTTGCAGTACGCGGGCCTCTCACTGCTGTGGCCTCTCCCGTTGCGGAGCACAGGCTCCGGACGCGCAGGGTCAGCGGCCATGGCTCATGGGCCCAGTCGCTCCACGGCATGTGGGATCCTCCCGGACCGGGGCACAAACCCGTGTCCCCTGCAACGGCAGGCGGACTCTACCACTGCGCCACCAGGGAAGCCCCAGGGTTCACATTTTAATCAGATTCTCAAAGGATCCCAGCACTCCAAAAAGGTTAGCAACCACTGCTTTTGTTTAATCCTGGAATAAACCCATCTTAATATAATAGCACCACAGAACACATTTCTCTGAGCTCGTGGAGAAACAGAGCCCTCTTCCACATTAAAGAGCTTGAGAAAAGTAACTTAGTAATGAAGAATGATCTTTTCATTTTTACCTTCTCAAGGAGGAAGTTTTGCTTATACCCCTTCCTTTACAGCTTAAGCTCACTTCCACTTATCCTATCCTTTTTGGAGATTAAGAAGAGCAGATTTTATCCTCTATAATACTGTGAATAATACTGTAATATGGAGAAGTAAAGATAGAATGTAAAGGATGGAACGATGGAACCGAAGGCACTATCAGACAGCCTAGGTTTGAATCCCAACACTCACTTACTAGCTGTGTGACTCCGCAAGTTACAAAATCTCTCTGTCCTTCACTTTCCTCATCTGTAACGTGGGGACATTAGCAACTGTGGAGGTGTCTGTTCACATATGTGAAAATAACAGTAGGTAGTATTTGTTGGGCATTTGCTATTGTGAGATTCTGTTCCAAGTACTTTATATGCTCTAAGATGTTCATTGTGTATGCATGTGCGGGGGAGAGAGAGAGGGAAAATATGAATCTGTGACGATGTTTGGATATGCCTATTGTAAAGGTGATTATTTTTTAGACAACACCTTTCCCCCAGCCATCTTAGTAGCTCTGGATCACCCCACTGTAGAGCTTGTCTCAGTCATGAGACAGACCAATCTGAGCTTCTGGATTTGGGGTCACAGACTACACCTGGGAGGTGAGTACAGCCTGGCTTCTGAAAGCATCCAACTCACCATAGTCCAGAGCTCTCTGAGTAGCCCTCGCCTTGATTCCAGGGTAAATGGTCTGAGCGGATGAGATGTAGAGATTCCACAGGAGGAAACATCCCCAGAGGACTTGGACCATCTTTGTACACATCTGCAATTAGTCAACATTTATAGTCCCTTTATTATTCTTAACTTTTTCATTGGCCAATTCCATCTAGCATTTCTAGGCTTTCTCACTTTCACTGCTTACTTCCAGAACTTGCTCCATCCATCCATCCATCCATCCATCGATCCAGTAATCATTTATTGAACACACTGGAACGTATTCTAGGTGCTGAGGGTGTAGAGATGACCTGTGTGTGGCCCCTGACCTTTGCTTCCCACAGAATAGTGGGTGAATCAGACATACACACACAGGTGATTGTAACACAGTAAGATATAATGCAATGCAATACAAGAGTCTTACAAAAAATATAGCAATTTGGATATGCCTTGGGAAGGATAATGGGGGTGGGATGGGGGAATTCTTGAGTTTTAGAACAAATGAGTCAGTAGTTTGGAAAGGTGGCCTCAGTGGATGTGAGGCAACCACTTATCTGCTTAAAGATCCTTGATGACTCTCCTTGGCCCACAGGACAGACAGGTCTAAGCTCTTAGCATGGCAATCAAGGCCGCTCACAACTGGCTCCAAACTTCTTCCAAGCTCCTAGCTCTCCTCCTGTCTAAGTGGTAGTGTTCTGAGCTGGCCACACTGAGCTATTTGCTATTCTTCAATTTGTCAGTTCTCTCATGATTGAGGGCTTTTTCGATAACCCTCCCAATGTAAACACACATGCACATACATCTCTTTCTCTGTCTCTCTGCCTCTGGGTCACATACCCACATCTGTCTGGTGAATGCATCCTCCAGGGCCAGCTCCAATGTTCCCTCTGTGAAAGCTCCCCTCACCAGGTCAATCTGACACACGATGGACTTGGAGGCAGCCCCACCTCTTCCACCACTATCCCTCCAGCCACTACACCAGCCAGTATCATTTCATGTGGATGTTTACAACTGCCTCCTTACTGGTCTCTCAGGTTCCCTTGCCCCCTTCTGGCTGTTCTCCACACCAGAGTGGGCCTTGGAAAATGAAAGTCAGACCTCATCATCCCACCCCCTTTCCCGTTAAAACCCTCCAGTGGTTCCCCATCTTACTCAGCATAAAAGCCAAAGCCCTTCCACCAACTGCAAGGCCCTGCCCTGCCCACACCTCTACCTCCTCGATGACCTTCCTTAGCACACACACCTGGCTCACCTGGCCCCAGCCTCACCGGCTGACTTGATCTTTCCTATCACTCTAAGCAGCCTGTACCCCAGGTCTCTGCACTTATTGTGCCCTCTGCCTGACAGAGTCACCCTCCAGATAACCACATGGCTGGGCCTTTCACTTGCTTCAGGTATCTTGAGTGTTGTCTCAGTGAAGCCTTTCCTAACCACTCTATACGAAACACCCTCCCCCATGACCTCGATATTCCCCATGCTTCCCTTGCTTAACTTTTCTCCAAAGCACTTGTCATCACCTAGTATAGTCTACAGATCTTATTTATTTTCTGTCTCTCCTACTGGAATTTTTAGGCTTCATGGTGAAGGACTTCATCACTTCAGCACCTTGAACAGCGACTGGCACACAGTAGGCAATGGGTAAATATTTTTTTTTAATATCTTTATGTTAGTATAATTTACTAACATAAATTACTTAATTACTATAAGATGTAGTATATACTACATCTTTTATGTAGTATAATTAATGGTTAAATATTGATTGATTGATTGAATGAATGAATGAATGTCTCTTCCTTGAAACCATGAAGTGGGCCAGGTATGCCTTCTGAGGTTCCACAGTACTCAGTGCAGTCCTTGATCTTAATATGTACCATCCTGCAATGTGATTGTCTTTACTTGTCTATCTTACTTCTATAACTCCAGAGTCTAGTACAATGCCTGGCACATAGTAGACACATGGAAAAACTTAATAAACATCTTCTCCAAGGAGAAAGGCCACATCTTATTCACTGTTATATTCCTAGAGCTTGACACAGAGTAAGTGTTCAATGTATACTTATTGAATGAATGGACTTGATGAATTAATGTCACTCCATTTTCTTGATGAATGAAGCAGAGGTACCAACAGCAACAGTGACATAGGTTTCTTTTAATGAGACTCACAGCTGAGTGAGTAATACATTAACAGGCCTTGTTTCTAGTTCTGGGAGTTTACAAGCTGGGTGAGCTATCCTTACTGCATTCACACAGATACCCATGGAGTTAACACACAAACATGAAACAAATCAGGGAAGCATTTGTGGGTGTGGTCAGGGAAGAGGCAGCTGTAGGAGCTGTGCATTTAGACAGAGCAAGGAGTCAGGCCAGCTGGGCAGGGAAGGATGCATAGAGGGGCTGGGACTCAGGAGCAGTCTAGATGAAGGCAAAGGTCATTGTAAGAGGGGTGTGTGTGTGAGAGAGACACACAGAGAGAGAGAGAGAGAGAGAGAGAGAGTGAGCGTCTGTGCTTGGCCAAGATAAGCAAGAAGTTTGATAAAGGGGTTTGTGTGTGCTCTTGGGTAAGGACAGAGAGGTAGGAAAGGGATAATGCAGACGAAGGGGTGTTCCAGAGAATTTATTTGAAAGGAGCAGAGCAGTCTGGTCAAGGGAGGGAGTGTCCGAGTAGGGCTATTGCTAGCCTATCTTGCGCTTTTGTGTGAAATGAGAAAAGGTGCCCTCTGGAGATATACCAGCCTCTGGCACAAAGTGGGGCCAGAAGAAAGTGTTCTAGGAAAATCCCACACTAGTGCATCCAGCCTGGTGGGGAGAGAAAAGGAGGCTCCACTCATCCCTTGTGTCGGCATTTTGTCTAGCGCACAAGCTGCCCCACTCGTACAGTGGGCCTATGCTCAGACTGGTGAATGCTCATGAGGGCATTTTGCTAGACGGCCATGAGGTTGAGAATTAGGGTCTTGATGTGTCTGTTCTGTAGTTCATGAATCCATCTTCAGGTGTGAGAAGAGGCTGGCTCAGTCAACCTGTTTACATTTCTCACTTGATCTCCCAGGAGCCTCCTCCGTATAATCCCGCCCCCTGCCCATCCCTGTCCAGACAAGTTCCCAAACTCACCCCATGTTTCCTGACTAATATCCATGCTTATGCTGTTCCCTTTTACTCAGGCCTGCAGAAACCCTGTGCATCCTTAAGGTCCATTGTAACCATAGCCTTCTTTCTGAAGCCATTTCTGACTTCCCTAAGCTAATCTCATTTCCTTCTGAACCCTCAGTCAAAATATATATTTATTCACACGTCTATGTTTACTTTTTACTTATTGTCAGTCTCCCCTACCAGAATGTAAGTGCCATGAGGGCAAAGGACTCATCAGGTTTGGAGGTTTTAGAGCCTGGCTTGCTTGGTGTCTTGGACACAGTGAGTGATTGCTAAGTCCTGGTAGAAGGAATCAATGAATCATAAGTAAAGGAATAGCCCTTATTTCACTCTACATTATATTATGGTTCTTTGCAGAGGTGGTTAACAAAGCACTTATGCACTAGCGGAGCACATTTACCATCAGAACAGATGTTGGCCACAGTTCTGGAGCAGGATCGGAGAGGTTAGGTACCGGATCGTGGGCAGCACAGAGGAAGTCTTGGAGGGGTGGCCAGTGTGGCTGGCCTGCGCTGGGGGCTGGGGTGGGGGACTCTGAGTAGTGACTACTTACTATTAGATACTGAGGTCTTTCAATATTTTAAAACTGCTATGGCCTTATGCATTCAGTGTGATGTCTCAGCTCTATGGAGTTGGTTTGGGTGATAAAGGACAGTCTACAGGAAGAAGCTGGGCAGCCTCAGGGTGAAGACAACACTGAGGAATGAGAGTGAGAGCTGAGGGGAAGGAATTCCAGTAGGAGGGGAGGGTCTCTGATCAAGCAACGAGTAATCTGAGGGCTGGAGGAAATGTGAGGAGTGGGATAAACAAGCGTGAAGTCCTCCACATTCTGGGAGGCAGGGTGAGATCAACACCACCTTATACTCAGAACGGATGCAGAAGTTAGGTCCAGTTGGCATCTGTTCTAGGCCTTCCTTGATCCTTTAGTTGTCCTGGGAGTGGTCCAGGGTCCTTGAAAGGGGGATAGGTAGAGATGGATGGGATTGTGGGAGTGAGAGGAACACTCTTGGGGCTTAGATTAGTGGCTATTTACCAACTGGTATAGAAGTATTTCCACGTTTTAACAAATGGTGAGCCATACTGATGTGTAGTCATGCTAATACCACTGTAGGCAAAGAATTGTAAATGGATGTGTCCTGCCTAGGCAGGCATAAGAGAGAAATGCTTTATTGAAGTATAGTTGATTTACCATATTGTGTTAGTTTCAGGTGTACAGCAAAGCGATTCAGTTTATATATATATATATGATTATTTTCCATTATAGGTTATTACAAGAGGGGGATTTTTTAAAAGAGGAAAATATTTTCAGAGTAGTGGAAAGCAATGGGAAAGAATGTTAGACCAAAAAGTCTATATTCATTAGACTGTATGCAAAGTAAGGTAGAAATTATGTCTCTGCCTGGCATATATCAATAAATATTTGCTAACTGACCAACCGACTGGCTTACAAGATTCTGGTGAACTAAGGAAGGTTCTAGAAAATGTTGAAAGAAATGAGAAAACCAAACCATCATATAAATAGCTCTCCATTTCTACAGTGAAAAAGCACAATAAACCAAAGCAGAGGTATTACTTGTGAATGGAAGAACAATTAAAATAATAAGTTTGTATTTCTTCACCATTCACAAAACTCACGACAATACTATCATCCTCCCCCCATTTTAGACATGTGGACACAGAAGCTTAGAGAGTCCAAATGACCTGTCCAAGATCACATAATAAGTCAGACTCTTGGGAATCAAACCTGTTCTTTTGGCTCTTAATTCTAGTGTTTATGGTTTTCTTTCATTTAATGACTTGATAGTAGTAGATTTTTCATTTTAATCTGGGAATTTTAAATAGGAGTTGCTTGATGCCATCTTATATGTGGAAAAATTCATTAAGCATCCGGAAAATTTCAAGCATCAAAGTGCAAATCCCTTTGTATTTTCTTGGGTATGAATGGAGTTTTAAATTCCCTTCCAGCAGCGAAAAACCTGTTTTCACTTCTTGGTTAAAGGAAGTTTCTGAAGTGGTCTGCTTTGATGGAGATCCAGGAACTCAAAACTGCACATAGAAAACACATATTTTTCTTCTAGAAATGTTATGAGTGAATAAAATTACTGGGCTCTAAAGGGATGGATTGAATGTAACTTTCAGTTGAATTGTTTGGGTAGGATGATAATTTATGGGCAGGGGAGGAATAGAAACTTGTCAAGCCAGGAGATGACTCCTAAAAGGTTAGGTAATTTGGCAGACAAGTAAGGGCAGGGTAAGTTGCCTGTTAAAAGAAGGAATCCAAGATGATTTAAAAACCTGCTAGCAAGTTACCTATTTCGTTGCTTCTGAGGAATTGCTTCTTTCCAATATTCGAAACCTGAGAAGTCACTGCATTGCCATACCAATGTTCAGACAGAATAACACTTGTAAATTACTTGGCTCTTACTTGAGCCATTTTGATGACCGGAAATAAGAACACTCAAGTACAACTCAGAAAATTGCTGAGACAGATCAACTTACCATTACCACTCATGAAGGAGAGCTTTGACAGACTCTGGAAAAATTAAGAAGGACTGATGAATGAATGAAATGTAGCCTTTAAAATAGAGGCAAAGTTTGAGAAATTAAATTCAATTGGTTTAAAGAAGCCTAGTCTATAAGAATATTCCAACCTAACAGTTAAGACAAATAATAGCATTGGTAAAATGTCTATATCAACAGGTATGGAATATGGGCAGAACTGGAGAATATTTCAAGGGATTCAGCACACACATCTGATGTTATACCAAGATCTCTAATGACAAGGGCCTTGAAAATTTACACCAAGTCTTCCCTCACCCCCCAAACTCTATACTTAACACAAACAAGTTAAACAATTCAGGCAGATGGGAAGGTCCTTTGCTTGGCAGGATCTAGGTCACTGATATGGTTTAAGACCTGGTCCCAAAGCACAGAGATCACAGCGGTTCCTTCATCTGAACCACACCAGTTGAGAGACAAGTGTGAATTTTCTGTGCTGGGTGCCCCACTGGAATGGAGGCAAAAATAAGTCCAGACTACTGAGCAACACTTTTAACACTGCTGAAGGATGCAAAACTAAACATGTAGTCCAAACCAACTCTTGTTTCTTTCTTAGAGCTGTTAGTCTTCTGTGTGAGTGACATAAAAAAGAAATAAAACAGAAAAACCTAGGCAGACAAAAATAATTCAGGATACATGACAGGGGCCTGTTCAAGGTGTCCTACCAGATCTGGGTCATCTCCAGCAACAAGGTAATTCCCGTTGGGAGACTGTGCAGTGGCAGAGACCTGAAGTTTGTTCATGATTCTTACCTCAAGCAGAGGAAGTATCCAAAGCCAGGGAGCACCTTTGATTCCCTCTGCCTTTGAAGTCGATGTGCTTTCCACTTGAGGCTTGAACTCAGCTGCTGCAAAGACAAGATAATTAAGTCTAAATCATCTAGGGGTGGATTTTTTTAAAAAGCCTCTTTCAAAATGTGACACATAATTGCTTCACTTCAATTACCCAATGACTTGAATGAACACTTCAGTCTCTACCTAGATGAGAAAACAATGCCACCTATGCAATAATTATCTCTCTAACACACACACACACACACAGACACACACACACACACAGACACATACACACACACACACACAGACACACACACAAACTTGTGAAATTTTTATGGCTACTTCACCAGAATGCTGAAGTTAAGAATTCCAATGTATTGAAAAAGGTGTTAAATTGTATTGAATTAGAAAAGGAAGAACTTTCCTCTCTGGGATAGGAAGCCAGTTTCCCTCGGTCAGGGTGCCTGCAGTTGGTGGTGCCACTACTGCCCAAAATACCTTTTGGATTTTTGGTGGATCAGATTCATTCTGAAAGCATGAGGCTTGATAGCCACGCCGACCTAGTTACCATCTTTATCTTTCAGGGTAGGACCAGAGATGGCATTTCTAAGTGTCTGCTCCTTTTCAGGTTATTAATGGCTTCCTCTCCCAGAATTCCTTTGAAAGCAGTTGAGGTGGGTTCATCGACTATTATGGAACTTGATGTCTTTAGTCTCTAAATGCCATCCCCACTCCCATCCCCCATGTTTTAGTCATTGAACTTTAGATGGCCAGGGATCTGATTACATGAAGTATCTGAGGTCTTAAATTTACAATTTAAGATAGGGTGATCAACTTCCTGGTTTTCCCAGGATGTAGGATTTTCGGTACTAAAACCAGGAGAGTTCAGGGAACCTAGGTAGAACAACAGGTATGTTTGCTTGGCATTGTCCATACTTCAGACAGCTTTACAGGTTTCTCATCTAGTGTACCTCCAGTTATATATACCTGTTTAACCTCAGTTTTCTTAAGGGTAAAGTGGGGATAAAATTAGTATCTACCTTGATAGGTGCTGGTGGAAAAAAGATACAGATAACTGTCTTAGTCTGTTTGGGCTGCTATCAAACTATCACAGGCCAGTCTAAACTAAGCTAAATGTATAAGCTAAGACAACATAGCTTATATATAACAGATTTATTGCTCACTGTTCTGGAAGCTGGGAAGTCCAAGATCAAGGAGCCAGCATGGTCACATCTTGGTTAGGACCCTCGTCCTGATTCATAGCCAGATCCACTGGCTGTGTCCTCACATAGTGGAAGGAGCTAGGGGTCTCTCTGGGGCCTCTTTTACAAGGCATTAATCCCCCAAACCCCACCTACTAATACCATCACCTTCGGGGTTAAGATTTCAGCATATGAATTTTGAAGGGACACAAACATTCAGACCATAACAATAACCTAGGAGAATGTGCTTTTAAACTGTAAAGTGCTATAAAATCTTTATTCATTAGTATGTGGCCATATCAATGGTGATAGGAGCCTGAAGACACTCTCCTCATAGAATCATTTATTGTCAGTCATCTCAGTCATCATAGATTAATTCATTCATTAAATCCACAAATACTGGGCACCTACTAAGTACAAGTTCCTCTTCAGTAAAAAAGATAGAATTCATATCCACATGGAGTTTATCTTCTAGCAGATGGAGATATAAAATAAACAAACAACAAGACAAACCAAAATGTGTAGATTGTCACGTGCTATGAAGGAAATAAGGGAATGTAGTTGATGGGGTGGTCTTGTAATTGGTAGGGTGATGTAACTGGGGGAGAAGTGCTTCTTCTGTTAGGATGGGCCAGGAAGGCTTCTCTGAGGAGGTAAATCTGAGCTGAGATCTGAGCATTAGAAGCCAGGCAGGCAAAGCCCTGAAGGGAATAGGGTGGAGGGAACAGCAAAGGTGGGCCAGTGTGTCTGGAATGTAGCAAGAGCAGAAATAACGATATTAGACATCTACATGGCTGCATCAGGTGGGTAGTTGGAGTTCCCGGGAGAGGTCAGCTGGAAATATGAATTTCCAAGTCATCATGCTAGAGGTGGAATTAAAGCCACAGAAGTGGTGAGATCATCTGAGGCAGTTTCCCGTGGTGCTTGTGCTACAGGAGGGGTGCAGGATAATTTCAGGTGATACACAGATAAACACTTGATGTTGTATTGTGATTATTTTTAATGTATTAGAAAAAAACACCCCAGAACCAGACATGGAAGAAGATGAATGACATGACACAGCACATGGAAAAAAATTCATAAAGTACCTCTAAATACTTCTGTCTTTTCCTCTGAGTCTTCCTTGAGCGGCAGCATCACCTTCTCCCCTCTTCTCTCCCTCTTCTCTCTCTCTGTCTCTGTCTCATCTCTCCTCCCCAGAGCAGCTTCTTACCTCTACCTTCCTCCCCTGCTCCCCTACTTCTCTCCCACCCCCTTTTCTTTTCTCGGTCAGAAATAGCTCTTGCCCAGCCTCCTGTTTCCATCTCATACTCATTAACCAGCTGCATAAGAATCTGCTCGACTTAAAAGGACGCTGAAAATTGTAAAATAACAGTATCTTTTTCTGATGTAAATATTAATTTTTCTTTTTGGCACAAAAGGCCTGAAAGTCCAACCACATCTTGGTGAAAACCCGTCATTGGTGTGTAACTTAGGACTTTGGGCACAGGATTTCAGGAGAAATCTTGGGAAGGGTGGCCTGGATGAAGGAGAGGGGAGAGGATTTAAAATGGTGGGGGGACCCCATCCTGCAGTCCTTGAGAGCTCTGGCCTCACATGGACCTGCCCTGCCCACCCCAACTCTGGGATCTTGGGCAATTTACTTCTTTCCTTTGAGTTTCAGAGAACCTTCTGTAAAAGTGGGGATCACATTTACTTTGAAGAGTCATTATAAAAATTAAACTAAGTGAACTAGCACATATTAAATTTTTCCTACAGTGTCAATAAATTAGATGCATTATTACTTGTATTTCCCCATTACTATTTTCAATTAATAATTTAAAAGATATTTTAAACAACTTTTATTTTAAAGAAATGTACAAAGTTTAATTTTCATGATATTTACTTTTTACATTTACCCTCTATTTGGAAATTAACAAAAGTTTTCCCTTTATATAGCTTTTCCTTTCAAACAAATTTACATACACTTTAAGATTTGGGTTGACTTATGGGGAAAAATAAATAATTAGTACAGCTCATGTGGGACACGGATAATTTTGGGAAAAGGTGCTCAGATAATTGAAGTTTAAGAAACAAAGATAGAAGAAGAGATTACAGCTGGTCTGTTTTATCTTATTTGAAAGGGGTCTTAGAAATCAACTCAAGCCTTATTTTCTGTTCAAGGAATTGTTTTCAGGTAAATTTGGCAAATTTGTCATTAAAAACAACAAAAGCTGGGCTTCCCTGGTGGCGCAGTGGTTGAGAGTCCGCCTGCCGCTGCAGGGGACACGGGTTCGTGCCCTGGTCCGGGAAGATCCCACATGCCACGGAGCGGCTGGGCCCGTGAGCCATGGCCGCTGAGCCTGTGCGTCCGGAGCCTGTGCTCTGCAACGGGAGAGACCACAAAAGTGAGAGGCCCGCGTAAAAAAAAAAAAAAAAAAAAAAAAAGCCAGCAGCACTATATCCAGTTGCGTTATTTATTTTAGTTTTTCAGATTTAATTAAAGATTTGCTGGGAACTCCTACTTATCCAGCCTACTCACGATGATAATCTAGAATGCAAGCTTAATTATTTCACTTATTAACGGCTGACAGTACATCAGTCTCTGCAGATCAAGGGGGTACCTTTAATTAATACTCCAAAAGAAAAATTATAATCAACTAGCTAGAATCTTCATTAAAGAAAGATACAGGAACGGAGCATCCTAGTTCTTGGTTTCTAGAATGTCTGGGCTATTCCGTATAGAAAGAAGTTATCTGAATATAAGACTTTTTCTGAGCTTGGAAACAAATTGTTATTCTTTGTGGGAGACAAAAGTGCGAGGAAACAGGGATTCTGTGTATACGAGGGGATGAGCCAGATAAAGCAGTTTTAGGGCAAAAGATACTGTGAATTCCCATCCCTCACCATCCCCTAACATTTTGTATTGATGAAATCTGGTTAAAAGGAAACCCTGAAGAGGGATATAAGAGGTAGAGAAAAATAAGAGCTAACATTTATTGAGTGTTTGTTATGCTCTGGGTATCATCTGTATTTGAACTCATTAAATCCCCACCAAGACTGTTCGAGGTAATAATATTATTTCCATTTTATAGATGAGGAAACCGAGAGGTTAAGTAATTTTGCCTAAGTTTAGGCATCACAGCTAGTTTGTGGAGCCAGGATTCAGGACCCAGGTGTTCCATTTCTGGGAGTCTAGGAACCACTATTGTTAAGATTACTTTTATGGTTAAGATTACTTTCACGGTTAAGTTACTTCTGGGAGGCTCTTAACCACTATGCTAAGCTGCCTGTTTTAGGAAGGTCACAAAAGGGCAACCCACAGTCTAGGGGATGTGGAAGGTGAGGAGAGAGAAGGATGCTGTTGCTAGGCAACACATCTGGTTTTCTGAGCTGCTAATTGAATCTGAGTAGCATAGATATATGTGTTTGTTTGAAATTGCCAGTTTATTACTGACCAGAGGAAACTGCCTGGAATTAGTGTAGCTCTTGAGAGAGAGCAGTGATTCTACAGTTCGCTCTGGAAGGGCTAGGGAGACACCAGGCAGAATCACCCTATTGCCTGGCAGCATTTCTCCCTCTCTTCCCAGCTCGGTCCCAGGCCATACGCCCCTGATGTCTGTGTGATGACGTTTCTGGGTGGGCACTGATGACTGACTCAGACCACGGCCTCTCCCACCAATCACACTCTGGAATGGTTTATGGCAGTGACTCCCTCCTGGTTTTGAAAAATAAACAACCCCACTTACCCACTGAACCTTCACTTATTGTTGATTATTTAAAAGGGAGTTACTTTTTATTTTTTGCAGTTCAAAGTGAATTTAAATTCATGCTAAAATTTAAATGTACTTTCCTATAACTTTTATGAGACATGAGAAATCTTGTGGAACCAAGAGAGTGTGATACATCTCTGAAATGTCTGAGAATCACTGGTGTGAGCCCAATTCCACGAGACAAGGATTTCCCTACCTTGGCGCTATTGACATTGCGGTCGCATCGTTCTTTGACTTAGGGGGCTGTCCTGTGTATTGTAGGATGTTTAGCAGCATCCCTGGTCTATACCCTGATGTTAGCACCACTCCCTCTTACCCGAATGGTAACAAAAATGTCTCCAGACTATGCCAAGTGTCCCCTGATGGGCCTTCACTGAGAACTGAGAAAGTAAAGTATATTATTCTGTCTAGCTCTTGCAGTAGAAAATGTCACTCCTCCTAAGGATCAGATTCTAGTGTTCCTAATAACACTTTTGTTAATTACCCAATAAATATGTGAATAACATTCTCTTGGTAAAAGATTCAAACAATACTGAAGTTTACAGATCAAACGGTGAAAATCCTTAACATTCCAGATATCTTCATTTGGTCCATGGATAGAGTCTTAATCATTTCAACAACGACTGAAGATGTTTTTTTCTAACTTGTATGGCTCTCATTTCAACTCACAACATTTTTAAAAGCCCATTTCAATTTCTCACCAAGCACAGCTACCTCAAAAGTCTTTTCTAAGTGTTAGAAAAACCCAGAACAACCACGGCAAGAACACATGGCATAAACCAGTGGTTCCCAAAGTGTGGTTTCATAGTAGCATCATCTGGAAACCATTAGAAATGCAAATTCTCAAGCTCCTGTCCAGACTTGCTAAATTAGAAACTCTGGAGATGGGATTCAGCAATCCGTGTTTTAAAAAGCCCTCCAGGTAATTCTGAGACACCCTAAAGGGCAAGCACTATGGGTATGTAGATTAAAGCTCAGGATTCAAGAAAATGGATTGGATTTGTAAGAAAACAGCGAAACTGAGGCCAACCTGACTTTCTCTGGTAGAGACAGAATGAGGATCTTACTTTTCTAAACAGATATATGAAGAACTCAGAGATAAGCATGGATATCTTTAGGTCATTCTGAATCTTGCTTAACCAGCCCTCACGTTGGAGCTGGGGGTCGAGTGTTGTTGAAGATGGATAAGACCTGCCTTTTCCCCTTGAGAAACTCGTAACCTAGGACTGGAGAAAGCCTGGTGCACAAATAATTGCACTATGATGGGATGGTTAACATTGAAAAGGATGTTGCAAGTGCTCTCAGAGCAAAAGGAAGGAGCAACACACTCTGCTTACAAGAAGGGTAGGAAAGGTTTCCAGGTAGAAGGATAAGCATGTGTAAAAGCACAGAGGCAAACTGACTTGGTGCAAGAGGATATAAAGGGGAGGAGGAGAGGCTTTTTGGAGTAGTGCAGTGTGAGTAGTCTTCAGGGATCATTGGGCAGATTGAAGAAAGAGGTTTCTAGCTAGATTATAAAGGGTTTTTGTCATGCACTGAAATTTGATTTACATTCAGAAAACTAACAGAAACTCAACAATAAGAAAACAGACAGCCTAATTAAAAGTGGGCAGAAGGGGCTTCCCTGGTGGCACAGTGGTTGAGAGTCCGCCTGCTGATGCAGGGGACACGGGTTCGGGCCCCGGTGAGGGAAGATCCCACATGCCGCGGAGCGGCTGGGCCCGTGAGCCATGGCCGCTGAGCCTGCGCGTCTGGAGCCTGTGTTCCACAACGGGAGAGGCCACAACAGTGAGAGGCCCGCGTACCGCAAAAAAAAAAAAAAAAAAAAGTGGGCAGAAGATCTGAACAGATACCTCACCAGAGAAGATATATAGATGGCATATAAGCATATGAAAAGATGCTTGGCATTGCCATTAGAAATTGCAAATTAAAACAATGACATACAACTATACACCTCTTAGAATGACTAAATTTTTTTTAAAAAAACTGACAATACAAACTGATGGTGAGGATACAAAGCAGTAGGAGCTCTCATTCATTGCTGATGGGAATGAAAAATGTTTTCCACTTTGGAAAAGTCTGGTACTTTCTTACAAAACTAAACCTAGTCTTACCATATGACATACCAGTAGTATTCTTAGGTGTTTATCCTACTGACATGAAAACTTAGGTCCACATAAAAACCTGCACAAACACAAATGTTTCTAGCAGCTTTATACACAATTGCCCCCAAATGGAAGCAACCTTCAATAGGTGAATGAATAAACTGTGGTACATCCATACAGTGGAATGCTATCCGGCATTAAAAAGAAATGAGCTATGGGGCTTCCCTGGTGGCGCAGTGGTTGAGAGTCCGCCTGCCGATGCAGGGGACACGGGTTCGTGCCCCGGTCCGGGAAGATCCCACATGCCGCGGAGCGGCTGGGCCCGTGAGCCATGGCCACTGGGCCTGCATGTCTGGAGCCTGTGCTCCGCAACGGGAGAGACCACAGCGGTGAGAGGCCCGCGTACCGCAAAAAAAACCAAAAAAACAAAACAACAAAAAAAGAAATGAGCTATGAAGCCACAAAAAGACATGGATTAATTTTACATGCATATTGCTAAGTGAAAGAAGCATGTCATGAAGCCATAAAATGCTACATACATAATTGATTCCAATTATATGATATTCTGGAAAAAGCAAAACTCAAGAGACGGTAAAGAGGTCAGTAATTTCCAGGGGTTGGTGGTAGTAGAGGAGGTTGAAGCACAAACGGTTTTTTAGGTTGCTGAAAGTATTCTGTCTGATATCATAATGGTGAAACAAGACATTAAGCGTTTGTTGAAACCCATAGAACTTTACAGATCAAAGAGTAAACCTTAATATATGTAAAAAATGTATGTGTTAAAAAAATCACTTAGGAGATTGAGGGATCCAGGATGGTATGCAGAATGTGACAAAAGAACCTAAATGTAGTACAAATGTGCAAAACAACCTTGCTGAAGGGGGTGGGGGAATAAGGTACGGACCTACATAACTTCAGGAGTGAATGGAGTCTGTAAGACTAAAGGCAACAGGAAATGTTGTTTAAGCACTGTACCCTAGTTAATAATGTCGTTTCCCACAGGGGTATGGGTTCACAATTCTGAAACCACTATACCTGTCCACTGGAATTGAACAATTAAGTAAATGGATGGTAGATGGTGGAGGCCAGAGGTTACAGATGAGCAAGGGAGGAGGCCAGAACTGATCCATGTGGTAATGGATTAGAGTCGAAGACATCAGAATGAACTCATGCTTAGCTTAATACAGACGTAGACAGTTACGTATAGAAACAGTATACACCTGTATGTATCTCCTTGCTCTGTCAGCTGAGAAGGGCTAGAAGCAACACCAGCCCAATAGCAATGGACACACCTGGCCCCAGATCTTGGCTTCTAATACCATTTTCCAATAAAAAGGAACTAGGGTTCCTTGGGAAAATGGCTGATTCTGGGTTTGGCACAGGATATACACAAAATGATCCTGGAGCATCTTATAGTGCCAGGAAGAAAATGCTCAAAAACGGAACGAAACAAATGAAAAAAAATCCTCAATGATGTCAAATAGCCAACTGCAAGATCTCCCAATGGCCAAAGCTAGAACAATCTGGCAACAAAATAAATGGAGTAGTGTTGCACTATAAGCCAAAGTATAAAATAAATATAAGTCTAAATTGATATAAATAAATGACTGTATAAATAGAGAATAGACAAATCTGTGTAGAAATTAAAATGATTTATATAGATACTCAGCCCCTAAAGAGGGAGGGTATAACTCCTACTCTTTAAGTGTGGGCTCCACATTTTCATCCAAAGGGTACAATATAAAGAGGAGAAAAAGGAGTAACTTTACAGTGGAGATGCCAAGTGATCTGGGTTAACATCAAATGTGAGGAGTCATCCTGACAGCATGCACTATTGCTATGAGGGACACTATATAAAATACCTGACCAGTACTCCTCAAAACTGTCAAGGTCATAAAAAACAAGGAAAGTCTAAGAAACTGTCACAACCAAGAGGAGCCTAGGAGACATGAGTACTAAATGTAATGTGACATCCTGGATGGGATCCTGGAACAGAGAGAGGACGTTAGGGAAAACCCGAGAAAATCTCAATAAAGTATGAATTTCAGTTAATAAAGATATCTATATTAATCCATTGATAGTGACAAATGTGTTATACTAATCTAAGATGTTAATAATAGGGAAAATTGGGTATGTGGTATATAAGTCTTCACAATAATTCTGTAAGTCTAAAACTGTTCTAAAATAAAACATTAAAAAAACCCTACAATATAAAAAAAGAATGTACATATGTGTATAACTCAGTCGCTTTGCTGTGCAGCAGAGATGGCACAACACTGTAAAATCAATTATACTTCAATTAAAAAAAAGCCTGCAGAGAACCAATGAATGGATTCCCAAGGAAGAGTGACATCACCCCTTTGTAATATTCTATGAAATGGTCCATTTAAAAAAAAAGAGGGCTTCCCTGGTGGCGCAAAAAAGAAAAAAAAATTTTTTCTGAACTCTCTGAAAGTTGCAGTGCCTGTTGCTTGCAGACATTAAGGTGACATCCTGCAAAAGAGAAAAACAAATTCTCATGGAGGGAGACAGTTGAGAGAAGGGGTATATAACATTCTCATGGACGTTTGAGGTTTTTTTTTTTTTTTTTTTTTTTGCGGTACGCGGGCCTCTCACTGCTGTGGCCTCTCCCGCTGCGGAGCACAGGCTCCGAACGCGCAGGCTCAGCGGCCATGGCTCACGGGCCCAGTCGCTCCGCGGCATGTGGGCTCTTCCCGGACTGGGGCACGAAACCGTGTCCCCTGCATCGGCAGGCGGACTCTCAACCACTGCGCCACCAGGGAAGCCCACCTTTGAGGTTTTGAAGGACTGTCCTCCAGAGTACCTTAAATCTTGGCTGTGCCTTGGACATGCTCTGGTTCTCCAGGACCCTCCTTCACTCCTGCGGTTGGATTGCTTCCTCCATCCTAGTGGTTACACTCTATTGGGCAAAGGATTGCGATGAAGATCCCAGGTGGATTAGTTTTCTATTGTTGTCCTAACGAATTTTCACAGGCTTAGTAGTTTAGAACAAAAACCAAAAGGTATTATCTCACTGAATCTTTACAGAATACTCGCCTGATAATATTAGTTTTTACTATTTCATTTTTACAGGTTTATGTAGTACTAAGAGGTAGACCGTGGTAGATGGTCTCTAAAGATGGACACCATATTAGCCTTGCACTACTTCCTCCAAGAATATTATTTCTGAGAGAAATAAACTTATATCTTGCTTAGGTCACTGTTATGTCAGATCTCTGATCGAGTAGCTAAAGCTATATCCTGACACAGCCTCCAAATATAGCCATTTTCCAGGTTCTGTGATTTCTGTCTCTGAACCATCTTCCCTGCCCATCGCATTGTCTCCATTCCCACTGTCATGCCACCAGTTCCTTCTTCTCTCAGTTACCAAGAGAGCCTCCTAACTGGGCTGGTCTCTGGTCTAATGGTTTTCAAGGCAATTCTCCTCCTAGGGGATAGGGGATATTTGGCAAAGTCTGGAGACATCTCTGGTTCTCACAACCAAAGGTGTGGTTATACTGGCGTTTTGCTGATAGACATCGGGGATGGCGCTAAATATCCTACAAGGCACAGAACAGTTCTCCACAGCAAAGGCTTGTGAGGCCCAAACGTCAACAGTGCTGAGGTTGAGAAATCCTGACCTAATACATCTCCCGTATTCCACCAGTGACAGATTCACACTTCAGATCTGACCCATGCCCCTTGTGGTACACACATGTCAGACTCACGGCCTCCTATCATCTTTTGTGCAGCCTTCCTACATTTGGGGAAATCTGACTATTATAAGTCACACTTCCTCAAGGGAAGAGTTCAGACCCAAAATTCCAGCCTCCTTTGCAGCCAGGTCTCAGTTTCTTCCCTCAATCAGATGCAGCCCATGAGCCTTTGATTTAGAAGTGAGCAAGGTAAGGAAACAGGCTCTTTTGGACGCTTGGCATTTTGTTGGTGTAAAAACATGTGGCATTTGAAGGTGGCCGCCATTCCTCAGCGGTTCCTGGCAGCGGTGACAGCAGCTTCCTCCAGGGTGGGGTAGGGCGGCAGCAGCAATCCCAGTCATGAGAGTTTCCTCATCAGGCCAGTTCTTCAGGGTGGTTCTGAGCGTCATTCCTGGAAGCTTAACTTGGAGTCACTTCCCCAGAATCCCCGAGCTATCCGGTATCCTTTTAATGTGTTTTTCTTCTACTTAGTCAGAGTCAGCCTCTATTGCTCAGAACTAAGAACCCCGATAGGTAAAGCCTCCCCGGCTTAAAACTCTTCAGTAGCTTCCCATACATTCTAGAATGTGTCCCATATCCTTTGCTTAGCTCGAGGCTCTTCTTTATCTGGGACATACCCACTCTGTCCATGTTGAGCCACCCTGGTCCTGTCACCCTTCCTCAATTCCATATTGCTTTGCCACTCAAGAACCCTCCTGGCACAGCAACCCTTCTCTATGTACCCCAGTCCCCAGAGCTGTTCTCATCTCTATCATAAACAAGATACTTTTTTATGCTCTAACACAAGAGGTGATTCACTTACCTGTAAGCTCTGCACGGGTAGGCACGTGTCTTCTCAGCACCTAGGACAATAGCTGGCACAAAGCGGGTGATCCATACATACTTATTTAATGAACGAAGGTCAGTGTGGAAAAGCACTGCCACCTATTGGGAGAAACTTTATTCAACTCTTTTATGATTTGGAAAATGGTTATCATACAAGGATGAAACTTGATGATACTTTGTTCCTCACCTAAGTCATCATCCTCACCATTATTGCCAGGCCCTCTGTGGTAGCCAGACTCCCAGATGGCCCCCAATGATCCCTCTCTCTTGGTACTCAGCCCTTTGTGTAGATTCTCCCACACTGAAGGCTTGGATTGTGATCAACAGAATGTGAGCGAAGTGATGGTGTGTGACTACTGAGATGAGATCATTAAAGACATTGTGGCTTCTGCCTTGGTCTCTCTGGGATCGCCGGCTTTGTGGGAAGTGAGGATGTCACTGGGACACCCAAGTGGCCCGATGGGAGGTCCATGCAGTGAAAAGCCGAGGCCTCCACCAACAGTCATGTGATTGAGATACTCCAGCCCTGACCCACACCTTGACTGTAATCTCATGAGAGACCACGACACAACCAGCCAAGCCCAGCCCAAACTCCTGCACTGTAGAATCTGTGAGACAATAAATGTTTGTTGTCTTAAGCTGTTAAGCTTTGGGGTGATTGTTATGCAGCGACAGATTACTAATATACTCTTCGACACAGATCACTGACTACAAGTTGTTTTAATTTTGCTGTAAGGGGAGAAACTACCAGAGCCTGGGCTCAACCTAAGGTTTCTCAGAGCGTATGGTGCTGGAGCCGGGCACCACGGAGGAAATGGGGTAAGAACCAGGTACACCTGGGCCTTGCGGAGTGCCGAGTAGTTTTGTCTGCAGCATCCCTTTCAGCGTTAACGTTCTCCTGGCACAACTGGAAAGAGGTGACACAGCGACAAAGCAGAAGAGCCCCGATATCCGCGCCTTGCAGCAGTCTGGGCGCCTGCGCAGTGTGCTCCTAGGGCTCGCAGGGGGCGCTGTCGCGCGCCGAGTCATCGATCGCGAGTTCCCGAGCGGCCTGGCTCCACGCAGGCCACCAGCAGCTTGCTCGCGGGGTGGGCTCCAGGGGGCGCACTCAAGAGAGGGGGTGGGGCACTCACGTTCCAGAGACCGGCCTGGCGGGGCCTTCACGCCGTTACATCTCAGCATCCGCATAGCTCCGGCAGTCGCCGCTCCGGGGCTGCCGCCGCTTGAGACGGGAGCTAACCGGCCGCGCCGTCGTCACCGTCGCCGCCTCGGGGTCCCGGCCCCTGGGCCCTCCTGTGGCCGCCATGAAGCTGCGGGTCCGGCTGCAGAAGCGGACCTGGCCGCTGGAGATTCCCCAAGCGGAGCCAACGCTGGGGCAGCTGCGCGCGCACCTGAGGCAGGCCCTGCTGCCCACCTGGGGGTACAGGTACGCGAGAGGCGGGGGCGCGCGCGGCGGGTCGGGGAGGAGCGCCGGGTGGCGCGGGCACGCCCCGAGCTGTCACGTGAGGCCGGGCGGCGAGCTGGGCGTCGCGGGGCCAGCGGTCCTGCACTGTGACGCGCAGGCCGGGCGGCTAGCGGGCGCTGGGGCTGCAGCGTGCGGGGTCCCGGCTCCCAGAGGTCATGGCCCGGCGTCTCGGGGGCTCCGATCCCCTCCAGGGTGAGCCTTCGCTTCCGTGTTTGCAGTAAACGAACCTAGGGATAGGCTAGGATGCAAAATTCTCACGTCCTTTGAAATGTAAGGTTGGAAATTATGGGTTTGGCTTGGGTTAAACCTTTCGAGGCTCTCAGGGGTTTAAGTTCACCATCTCCAGCTGTCGGAGTATTTCAGTGAAAAAGTTTGGAGAGTACTAGAAGGAGTTAGAAACCTGCCCTCCATCCGAGGCCACCTGTAACCTAGTACCGCTGCTTTCAGGCTGCAGTCACCTTAAGACTCCGTTAAGTGTTTACGTGCCAGGCGCCGCTGTGGGCACTTTGACTTCCCAGCTGCAGTTTTACAAAGTGCAGTGTGTCGGTCTGTTTCAAATAATAATATTTTCCTGGGCAAGATGTTGCTTTTTTTTTTTTTTTTTTTTGGATAAAAACTATGGAAAACGTTGGCCTTATGATGACCCTGGAGAGCTTGCAGTTTGGGGGCAGTGACACTGAGAAGTAATGGATCAAATTCTGTTATTTATGGGGCTGCAGATGAGGCTGCTTTGTTTCCAAAAGGGTATCCTGGGGACAGTAATCTGGGAGTAGAGGGACAAACGTAAAGGTGGTCCTCTTCAAATACTGAGCTACCGAATTGGAATTTGAGTGTGCTGAGAAAAAATAAAAAAGATGTTCTTTGGGGCTTTTTAGATGAATTCTTCAAAAGAAAACCTTTCTGTTAATTAAATGGTTCCTTTCATAAGACTTTTATAAACTTACATTTTATTTTTAGGGAATTCAGTAAAATGAGGCCGTATTATGAACGCCTCATCCTTTCATTTTTCAGGTTAAGACAATACTGCATTCAAAGTAAGCCTTTTTTTCTCCAAATTAAAAACATAAATACAGAAAATGAGGCATTGACATAACTCCTTTTAGGCATTATATTAATTGACATCCTGTAGTTTTTTTCTTGTTGTTAAACCTAAGTGTTTTGTATGCTGGCATCACTACCCCACCACAAATTGTCAAAATTAACTTCTCTTTTTATTTTCATATATATGTATATATATTTTATTATTTTTTAATTAGGTGGGACACTCTGGAAAGGATGTGAAACGCAATATGATGCTTGTTTACCCAAGAGCCCAAGTTAGTTTTGCTTTCAGGTTTGTTTTTACAGTCGAGGCTGGTTAACTGGAAGGAATGTTAAACTTCAGCTTGTGAAAGTAAATTCATTCTTCTGAAAGTATGTTCATTTTATAATAAATGGGCAGTTTAAAAATGTGTCCATATGATATTATTACTTTTAAAGTGTCCTTGCTGAGCAAGTGGATCTGGGATTGTCATAAAATAATTCTCAAAGGCCTGGAGTTTCTAGGGTGGCAGTTCTTGATGAAAATATTTTTTTTTTTTCACAGTTTCAGAAAACAGAATCAATAACGACTCTCCTGGAAAACCATATGTTACTCTAGAAATAGCTCTTCCCTTTTTCTAAAGGGGAGGCCGACATTTTATTAAGCAGACAATTCTTTACCTTTTTTACAAATCGATATTTGAACAAACATTGTGCTAGATACCATTAAAAAAAACAACTTTGTGCTGTGACAAATGATCCATAAAAACATAGTTCATTTGAGGTGTTTTTCCTTTTTTGTGCTAAAAATGGGATGTTGTTTTTCTGGGTAGTTGGCAGATTTTCAACATTTATCAACATATTTGAAAACAGAGTCATAGCTACTTATTTTCTAATAAGCAGGAGTAGTTCTTAAAGCTTCAGTAATTTCTCTACCAAAGACACTTTAATTGGTAAGAAAAAATGTATTTATATGTGCAAGAAAAAACATAAATGAATTATGGGGAGCACTTTTGAAAATGTAGCATTTTAAGAACAAATAACCAGAACATGATTTTCAAAGGACTTCATCCTTTGTTAACCTCTCAAAAAGTTAATGAAGTTAACATTGCTGAGTGTAAATGTCTTATAAAATGTTCTGCAGTGGTTTGTTAATTATTCCTCACCACTATGTAATGAAATGATGATGGTTCTCTCAAGATCAGATAATCTGCCATGCAGAAAGGATGGGAGTTCCTTGCTTCAGACTAATTTGAGCTCTTAGCTTGTTTAGCACTGGGTTTTTGGATTTGTGTTGTGTTTCACATAAAAGACATTATAACTGGTGCTCAGTAAGAAGGTTGAACTTATCAGTAGGAGGGATGAATTTATACTCAGTCATCTACATGCACTCATCTGACTTTTTGTGGTTATGAATATTTGTTTAGGACATGGGTCTAGTATTTTGGAACCATAACCTAACTGTCCTGGAAGGATATTGTTAATTAGCCCTGATTTCAGCCTGATCTTGATCTCACCATCTAATGTTTATTGGTTGCATCCATTCCACAAATACTTGTATTTGCCAAGTGCTGGAGATACAGTTTTGAACTAGACAGACAAGGTACCCATCTCATGAAACTTACATCCTAGTCCTAGGGGTGGGGAAGAGAGCGGATAAGCAAATAAATATGATATTTTCAAATAGCAATGTTGTAATAAAAATAAAACAGATGAATGAAATAGAGTGATGGAGGCAGGTGGAAGGCATCTCTGAAGAGGTGACATTTGGGTTGAGACCTGGATGATGAGAAAGACTCAAGTCATTTGAAGAACTGGAAGAGCAGAAGCAGAGGCCCAAAGGCTGCAGTGAGGTTGATCTGTTTTAAGGAATGAGTCGAATGGAGAACAGCTAGTAAGAGGATGGGTGAGGTAGGAGAAGTGGGTCAGATGTTGGGCTTTGGAGGGCATGTTAAGGATTCTATTCCAAGGTCAAATAGAAGCCATTGGAGAATTCTCAGCAGAGGAATGATGTAATATGATTTATATTTTAAAGAGGCTATATTTCATTGAATCTCAGTTGCTGTCAATCCTGAGATGCACATTCTTATGTCACACTAAGTGAAAAAATGCTGTCCATTAAGCTGTGATATGTCATCGATTGTAAGAAGCATCCTGTTTCAAAGATGACAAAGTATAAAAAAGTGTGTATCTTAGAATTGATGAAAACATGGATTAATGATAGAGAATTACTGATCCTATCCCCGAGGCTAGAATCTATAACCTAAGCATTTGGTGATAAGAATAAATAATTTTGATACTTTTTCCAAGCTTTGGCTTTCCTCTTATCTTCGTTTTGTTTTCATTAGTTCTGCTGGGGGTCATACCATGTACCTTATATATGTTTCAAATGTATTATTGTGGGTAATGGTAATAGGTAGCCTTACTATCCTTATCCGTCTTTCTTGGCAGTTCTGATACCCGGTTTGCAATTACATTGAACAACGAGGATGCCCTCACTGGCGATGAAGAGACCTTGGCTTCATATGGGATTGTTTCTGGGGACTTGATATGTTTGATTCTTGAAGATGCCATTGCAGCACCTAACTTACCTTCATCCACAGATTCAGAGCATTCCTCACTCCAGAATAATGACCAACCCTCTTTGGCCGCCAGCTCCAGTCAGTCCAGCATACAGGATGAACAACTGCGTGATTCATTCCAAGGACAGGCAGCCCAATCTGATGTCTGGAATGATGGAAGTATGGTGGGTATTAAAATCAAGACAAGAAATAGAGTAGTTGATAAATCATACTGAATAGCTCAATTGAATTCTGTACCAGTCAGGATAATTATCATCAGTAGACTGCAGATTATAATCTTATAGAAAATTTATTTTTATTTTAAATACTTTATTTTTATTGAAGTATAGTTGGTTTACAATATTATATTAGTTTCAGGTGTACAACGTAGTGATTCAATTTTTTAATAGATTGTACTCCATTTAAAGTTATTACAAAATAATGGCTATACTTCCCTGTGCTCTACAATATATCCTTGTTGCTTATTTATTTTATACACAGTAGTTTGTATCTCTTAATTCCATATCCCTATCTTGCCCCTTCCCCACTGATAACCACTAGTTTGTTGCCTATATCTGTGAGTCTGTTTCTGTTTTGTTGTATGCATTCATTTGTTTTATTTTTTAGATTCTACCTATAAGTGATAACATAGAGTATTTGTGTTTCTCTCTCTGGCTTATTTCACTAAGCATCCTACCTTCTAGGTCCATCTATGTTGTTGCAAATGGCAGAATTTAATTCTTTTTTTATGGCCGAGTAATATTCCTGTGTGTGTGTATTTTAAGTTTTTAAAATTAAAAAAATTGTCACCTCAGACTCTAGATGCTGATGTAAATTTGAAAATATGTGCACTGATGTTTTCTTCCCAAACCAGCTCCTCCTGTCAGTGGCAGTACTGTTTTCCTGAGCTTAAAACTGTGGAATGATTTTTGACTCCTTATATCCAGCCCCTTAACAAGCCCTGCCTGTTTTTCCTTTCCATTCCAGGCTTCCAGTGTGTGTTCTTCAGTCTGCTTTCTGGGTTCATCTTCTTCTTCCACATTTTTTTTTAATAAATTTATTTTATTGATTTATTTTTGGCTGCATTGGGTCTCCGTTGCTGCGTGCGGGCTTTCTCTAGTTGCCGCAAGCAGGGGCTACTCTTCGTTGCGGTGCACGTGCTTCTCACTGCGGTGGCTTCTCTTGTTGTGGAGCACGGGCTCTAGGCGCGTGGGCTTCAGTAGTTGTGGCTCACGGGCTCTAGAACGCAGGCTCAGTAGTTGCGGCGCATGGGCTTAGTTGCTCCACGGCATGTGGGATCTTTCCAGACCAGGGCTCGAACGCGTGTCCCCTGCATTGGCAGGAGGTTTCTTAACCACTGTGCCACCAGGGAAGCCCCTTCCTGCACATTTTTGATTATGTTGTTCCCCTGCTCTTAGGTAACTCTGTGTCATAGGTACACCTGGGCTCATAATTTTTGAACTGAAAAAGTCCAAATGTCTCTAGTTCAACCCTCTCATGTCGGAGACGAGGAAAATGTTGTCTGTCCTCCTGTACCTAGTTTTTAAGGCTTTCTGAGCAGTTGCCCAACAACCTTTGGAGGCTAGTTTCTGTTCCTCCCTCCTGTCAACTGCCATCTGCAGTCAGACTGGACCCCTCCTCCTCCTCCTCATGGTCCCTCTCGCAGCAAGCACCTGCGCACATGCGCACCTGCACATGCTCACACCTGCACGCGTGTGCGCGCGCGCGCGCACACACACACACACACACACGGCCTAGCGACTGCTTCGCTCTCTGCTGTTGCTGCTCCCCCGGCGTGGAACCCCCTCCCTGTCCTCTCTCTCCTGTCCGCATCTCTACCCACCTTCCAAGGCCCTGCCAACGGCAGCCCAGTAGTTTTCTTCAATTCCTTTGTATTGATCATCTTTATTGCCTTGTAAACACCTCATTATTTACTATTCTGCCTTTTAATTTCTTGTATGGCACAAATGATCACTTTATTACTTAATATTTTAATACCAGTACATATGCCATCTTGTTAATTGTTTTGTGTGTGTACATTCATGTCAACTTAATTTTTTTTTTGCAGTCGTTAAATATTTATAAGTATTCATTGTGCCTATATGTCATCAAGTATAGACAGATATTAAAAAATACTTTTTAGCTGATTGGTAAATTATAAAAATCATCTATGTCTAGATTTTTAGTAATAGTATCCAGAGAGATTAAGTAAGTTAAAAAAGCTTTTATAAAGCTCAAAGTATTTTTATGAATTTTCTTTTCAGAAATTATTATGTATCTCTGAGCTTCTGTCTCATAGAAGTAATCTAGAGAATGAGTAAGAATATTTAGTCAGATATTTAAATTACATTTCTGAATCTTTTTTGATGATAGACTCATTCAGAGATTCTGGTAGAAGGATCCATTCCCTTTACTTTTCATATGATGGTTACTTTACTAGTTTCCTTTTGGAAAATTTTGAGACATTAGTATTGCCTCATGTTTGTAATTTCAATTCTAAAAGCGTGCTGTTTTGTATTCTACGACTTGTATAGGGTGACTGTAAAATCTTAGTGGGGACATAGATGATTTTTATAATTTACCAATCAGCTAAAAAGTATCAGACCCTAATATTAGGGTCCTGTTCCATACTTGTTCCACTCATTTGTGAATGACATATGACAAATGATCTGTTTAGAGAGGTGGTGCTAAACATTTTTTTCTCATCTCCACATGCATGAAGAATATGATAAGTACTTATATCATATCAGGATGGCTCAGAGAACGTCAGGGGTTCTCATGGAGTGAGAGTAGAGTTTGATAAGCTCACCAGGGGATTCTGATATCTTCCTCCCATGTCATTATCAGTCTGGGGTAACCTTTTAAAATATTTTTCCCACATATATTCTCTCCCATACGACTGTCAGTAAGTAGTAAATGGCCAAAAGTTAGGTATAAGAAGCAAAGAGCATATATACAGGCATACCTCATTTTATTGCACTTAGTTTTAATGTGCTTTGCAGATACTGTATTTTTTACAAACTGAAGGTTTGTGGCAACCCAGTGTTGAGCAAGTCTATTGGTGCCATTTTTCCAATAGCATTTGCTCACTTCTGTCTCTGTGTCACATTTTGGTAATTCTCATAATAGTTCAAAATTTTTTGTTATTATATTTGTTATGATCTGTGATCAGTGATCTTTGATGTTACTATTGCAAAAAGGTTACGACTCACTGAGGGCTCACGTGATGGTTAGCATTTTTTAGCAAAAAAGTATTTTTAAATTAAGGTATGTACATTGTTTAGACATAATGCTATTGCATACTTAATAACTATGGTATAGTGTAAACATAACTTTTATACGCATTGAGAAACCAAAAAAGTTGTGTGACCTGCTTTATTGTGATATATTCACTTCATTGCAGTGGTCTGGAACCCAACCTGCGATATTTCCAGGTATGCCTGTAATTCATAATTTAGTTAGGTGTTAAGTGGCTTTAATAAGTAGTTTCTCCTTTCTCAAAAATATGATGGAGCGTCGTTTTTAGGTAACATGGATTGTCATCAACCTCTAGGTTTTAACAAATGAATTTGGATCTTTTCCATAAGCCATCAGGGCTCAGGTCCTCAGGGATTTTGAAAGAAACAACCTCTTGTTCCCTTACATTCTTCCACCGTTTCACTCATATTATGTAATTTTAATTTCCTCTGTTCCTTTCCTAATGGAAATACGAACTTAAAAGAAACATGTGCTTTGCATTAAGAGTTGAGCACATATCTAGGAAATAGTCTTTCTGAGCAAAATTAATACAGGTAACTCAGTCTTACTGAAGCAGTGTATTGTGTCTAAAAGCCCTGAACTGTGAGGCTGGAGATCTTTGTTTATTTCAAATTTTTATTAGCTGGTAACCTTGATTATGTTATTTAATCTGAATCAAAATTACAGTACGTATAAAAAGGTGATGTCATCTGTCTTACCAATTTTACAGAATTTTTGTGTGGTGTAAATTAGAAAACAAATCAAAAACATGAAATTGTAAGAATTGTAAGATATTATCCTTCAGCATTTGTTCAACAAGCATTTACTGAGTACCTACTGTGTGCCAGGTATTGTACGGGTGTTACAAAAATGGGTGACATGTAGTCTTTTCCTTTCTAAGCTTGTGGTCATGGTAGGATATAGACGTGTAATCAGAAAGTTGCAGTACAGTGTGATAAAGTGCAATAATCAAGGCCTTTGCAAGGCAGAGCGGTAGTCCATAACCTGAAGAGGCGGGGGCACCAGAATGGGGAGGAGGGGACTGTGGGATGTGAACTTGATACAGAGTCGGGGATCAGGTGATGAAGGGCCCTGAATGCTAAGGAGTTTAGGAGTTTGGACTTTATTTTGTAAGCCTGTATTTCTCAGCATGGCCTCTATGAAAAACCTGTGAGACTATAAGTAAGTGTTATGGGGATACTGAGTGTTAAGGAAGGAGGATAGTGTTTCTTGGTTAAATGTTACGTACACTTTCTGTTATTATTGGACTTCTCAGAGCTTTATAATGCCAAAGTGTATTTTGTGAATATGGAGGGTGAGGTTAGGTGGCTATGTCATGTAGCATTTCCATACTTATTTGATTGTGGACCTCTTTTTTCCTAAGAACACTTAGGGTCACATTCCAAGGCACAATTTAGGGCAGTGCTGCTGTCTGCATAGGGGAAGTAGTGGCAAGTTTAAGCTGGGACATGGGACATGATTGGATTCTCAATTGTCAAAGAACTCTGGCAGCAGTGGGTGGAATGTATTGGAAGACAAGAAAGAGGAGTGAAGGCATACTTGGGGAGGCTGTTGCTGGAGGTTAGGAGATAAATGAGTCTGAAGTACCACTGGAGTAGGAAGGGGCAGATTTTGGAGATATTTAGGAGATAGAGTCAGTGGACCTTTGACAGCTAATCATATTGGGGGTGGCGCTTAATAAGGTCGAGGGGGAAGTCTAGGATGATTTCCAGGTGTTTGGCATATCAGCCAGAATTAATGGAGATAAGGAATTCAGGATGGAGGAGCAGATTGCAGGGTCATTTGTTGAGGAGGGCTTGCTGAAAATGTGTACCATTTCTGAACCTCTGAGTGCTAATCTCAGTTCACTTTGAATACAAAATTTACTGTGAAAAGATGAAAGTCTATTTAAAGAATTCGTTGTTTTTGTTATCCTTTTCAGTCAGGGCCTAGTCACAGTTTTGAAGCTGAGTCAATTCCAGATGTCGTGGATGCGGAAGAGGGCACAGGTTTCTTTCCCTCAGAACCAATGCTCTGCAGCGAATCGGTGGAAGGGCAAGTGCCACATTCATTAGAGACCCTGTATCAGTCAGCTGACTGTTCTAACCCCAGCGACGCCCTGATAGTATCCATACATCTTCTCATGTTGGAGTCGGGTTACATACCTCAGGTAAGACTACAGAGAGCAAAAGTTTCCCATTAGAAAAGGGGTGGTGTTCTAGATTTCTTTATTAAGTGTGTTTGGGTATTAATGTAAAGTGTCGAACACAGCGATGAGCATACAGTAGGCAGTCAGTAAATGTTCCCTTCCCTCTTTTCCTTCTTTTTTTCTCCTTTATTTCCTTGTCAGCTTTTAGTTAGTATTATAGAATTGATGGCAGCTTTGGTTTAAAAAAACCCCAAAGTTTATATGTGATCATATGTAGGTAAAATGTTGTCAGTGTGTGTGGATTGGGCATGACTAGATAGATGGCTCACCAGGTTATTTTTTATGTTAGTGGTTCTGTGAATTGCCACTAACTTAGTAAGATTCGGTTAGGAAGAGGGATGTTGTTCTTATGCTGTAGTTGCTTACCTTCATCCATTCATTCCTTATCCATTTGATAAATGTCTGCCAGTGTCAGGTGCAGTGCCTTGTCTCTGCTTTCAGCTTGCTTACAGTCCAAGAGGAGGAGAGAGAGACAAGTATACAGACCGTTATACTGTATTGGCTAAATTGTAGGAGAAACACATACATATATAGGATGCCAGAGATTCACAGAGGAGAACGTTTAGAAGTTTTTCAAATTTTAATGTGCTTAAGAATACCTGGGGATCTTATTAAATGCAGATTCTGATTTAATAAATCTAGGGTGGAGCCTGAGATATTATGTGAGCATACTCTACACGATAGCAATGCTGCTGGTCTGTGGGCCATGTTATGAGTAACAAGTATATAGACTAATTCAGTGATCATTGAACACGTGCACCATGTCATGCCAGGAATTAGAATATAAAGATACTGGGACAGTCCTTATCCTCAAGGAGTCTGTAAGTGGGGGAGAGAAACAAAAAGGAAATTATGACATATTATAATACAATTAATAACATAATAGAAGTATATAACAATAGAAATAGGAACAGAATGTTAGAGGGTGAGAGAGTGGGAATGACAAAAAGGATTTGTTTTGAAAAAGGCTTCACAAAGGAAGTGGTATTTGAACTGGGATCTTGCATAATGATATGGCTTTGCTAGGCAGAGAAGCGAGACTTTGAAGTGAGAAATCAGTCTCTCTCTCTGATGTTATTTTATCTATTTGAACAGAAGTTTTGATGGCAGATAATATATTGTAACTTTTTTTCTATCAAAGTTTTAAATATTAATAGAAATATTAATGATTTGATCAATTTTATTAAAGGGACTGTATGGAATGCTTATTTGTAGACAAGTTAGGGGCCTCTTGGGTTTTTAATCTTTTTGAGAGTAATACGGTTCTTCATTATTTGTTTCCCTTTCATTTCACTCCCCAGGGGACTGAAGCCAAAGCTGTGTCCATGCCGGAGAACTGGAGGTCGGGGGGCGTGTATAAGCTGCAGTACACGCATCCTCTCTGCGAGGGTGGCTCTGCTGCTCTCACCTGTGTGCCTTTGGGAAACCTCATCGTCATAAATGGTAATTGGATGGCATGGTCATGCTTGTTAGTTTGTGAATCTTTACATGTTTCTCTCCAGAAATTTCATAGCCACTTCGGTGATGGGCTATCATGATGCAGTTAGGAGTCTTTCTCAACTTTGTTTAATCCGGAGCCCACTGATAACATGGGTCTGAAAGGTTACAGAATACAGGGCTGATGTTTATGCTAGCAGCCTTCACTCTAGAGGCAGCTATACTCTTTGCTGTCTTAACTGTGTAATTTTTTTGCTCCAGGGGGAGTTGTGATACTAGGAGTAAAATGAGTCTATTACATATGAACTCCTTAAAGAATACTTTTTCTTTATGCCTGTGGATGGCTTTTTAATTTTTGTTTTACTAACCAAGGTCTTGAACTGAGAGATGGTGAAACGTGAGGTTGAGCTGGGATCATTTTTTATCTAGTTTGGCATCTCTGAATGCATAGAAGTACCGCCAAGGGTTCTGAGGCTTCAGTATGTGTGTTTTATCCCCCTCCTACCCACCCTCAAGTAAGTCACTCTGAATAGAGTTTCTTTTTCTAGTTCTCCTCTTTCATACTAAGAAATTTCACTGGCTAGCAATACATTCTATTTTTGTATTTCATTTTAGCTCAGATGCCATCCGGAGATCTATACCAGCTACCAGGGGTCTATGGAGTAGTCTCGTAATCACACATCCTGGAGATCCATTTGAGTGACTAGACTCCTTTGTTTTTGCTCTGGTTTGATTTTTGAGCTTCACCCTTTTAGCTAAGTAAGAGAGAATGATAAGATTGGAATGCCTGCATTTTTTATTTTTCATTATGGCTCATCTTTTATACAGCAGAGACAGTTGCCTTGACATGTCTTAGCTCTGGTTTGCAACATGTTCTGCAGCTGCTAGTTTCTGCTGAGATGGGAGCAGGGAGGCGGCTTGGTAGAGCCAGTGTTGCTACTTGAACCTTGAGCAGCAACACGTGTGCCTGTTTCATTTAGTGAGGTCCCTTGTAAGGTTTTGTTGGGAAAAGCTTTTTCTGCTAAAGTCTATTTGAAAGCCACTAACCTACACTGTGATCTTTGAACTAAAAGATGGTTTTAGGTCCCCTTTATGTAATTTCTTCTATTTCTTTTTAATCACTAGATTCTTTGAAGTGTTATTTAAAAGTCTCACGTTTTCAGCTTTAGTGGTGTTTCACATTTGTAGGACGTGACTGATGGCACTAGGACCTAGCAGTGTCTCTTCAACAGTTCATCACAGTTAGCAAATGTAACTTCTGGCTGGGCATTCTTATACAAAGAGGGCCAACAGTATCTAATCATACTGCTACATCACATCATCACTTGCAAGGTTGCAGCTATCAAATAGTAAACGTGAGGTTGTAATTTTTGCCTCAATTTCTTATAAATCACTTTAACGACACGTGTATATTAACCTTTATTTACTAGTCTTAAGATACTTAACATAGAGAATAGCTACTAAATGTCTTAGTTTCTGATGCTTTGTTCCTTTAATAATCCTTGGCAAATCATCTACTTGTGGATGTAAGTGGCAGACAGTCATTCCAGAACCATTCCAGGCCTGGTTCTTTGAAAAGGAGCAGTATGTCCTTAAATCTTTGCTTCACCCGAGACATCCTGCTCAGTGCACATCTGCACGAGCACATCACTGGCTCTTTCGTGGAACGAGATGAAGTGCGCCTTTGCATGTAGGATTAAAAATGAACCCTCTGGTGATGTCAAGAATATTGATTCTCTGAGTTTAGAGAGAGATGATACTGTGAAAACTAGCAGGATTCTTTTAATAAATAAGAGAAGACTCACTGCCAAGGGTTAAATAAAAAATAAATGGAGTTTTTAGTGACCTCATTAGAAATAATGATTGTATTGTGTTTAACTGTCTCCTATTAACCTTGTTGCATATCTTTCAATTATTAATAAGCTGCTGTTGGTAAGACTTAGTGGGTTTCATATAAAGGTGCTTATTGTAGTTTTTAAAAGTGTTTTAGAGTGATTTTACTTAATGTGATGCAGGTTTGCACTTTGGACTTTGCTGTGAGGGAAGGAAATAAGTGTAGGGCAGTTTGTCTGTATAACGTGTGTTTCCTATATATGGGGGCAAAGGGAACGCAAGTCCACACTAAAAAGTGGAGGCAGTTGATGAATTGGCAGAACTTTTTCATCATCTTTCTTTGGCTTATTTACAGCTACACTAAAAATCAACAATGAGATTAGAAGTGTGAAAAGACTGCAGCTGCTGCCAGAATCTTTTATTTGCAAAGAGGAATCAGGTAATATAACCATGATTGAACTTCTGGGGTGAAGCTTTGAGAGGTTCACTTTAAAAAAACAGAAAGGTAATGTTCAAAAGACTTAACAGTTTCTGGATGAGATTAAAGCAAATTTAAGACAATGTTGCAGAGTTTCGGTTTCTTTCCTGTTTCTCTTAGGGTCTTGGATACTGAATTATATTTATACATCACACACCATTGATGCTTCATAATTTCTTTCCTTTTTTTTTTAAATAAATTTATTTATTTTATTTTTGGCTGCATTGGGTCTTTGTTGCTGCACAGGGGCTCTCTCTAGTTGTGGTGAGCGGGGGCTACTCTTCATTGTGGTGCACAGGCTTCTCATTGCGGTGGCTTCTCTTGTTGCAGAGCACAGGCCTAGGCACGCAGGCTTCAGTAGTTGTGGCACGCAGGTTCAGTAGTAGTGGCACATGGGCTTAGTTGCTCTGTGACATGTAGGATCTTCCCAGACCAGGGCTCAAACCTGGGTCCTCTGCATTGGCAGGCGGATTCTTAACCATTGCGCCACCAGGGAAGTCCTGATACTTCATAATTTCTAAATTACTCTTTGTGGATTTTTCTAGCATTGTATTTAACCAGTATGGAGAGGATCTGTGTTTTGTGGAAACCATACAATGCAACTTCATTATCGAAGATTATGGAAGGAAAAACTGCACTCAAAATGTTTGCTTAGGGGCTTCCCTGGTGGCGCAGTGGTTGAGAGTCTGCCTGCTGATGCAGGAGACACAGGTTCACTCCCCGGTCTGGGAAGATCCCACATGCCGCGGAGCGGCTGGGCCCGTAAGTCATGGCCACTGAGCCTGCGCGTCCGGAGCCCGTGCTCCACAACAGGAGAGGCCACAGCAGTGAGAGGCCCGCGTACCGCAAAAAAAAAAAAAAAAAAGTTTGCTTAAACTTATATAAATTTGGTTGCTATTTGATACAGATTGGAACTTTACCAAAAGTTTGCATTCTAGGCATGGTTTTGCTTATGTTCTATAAAAATTAATAGATGCAAAGAAGACCAGTTTTCTTTTTTCTTTCAGTTAAACCCAAAGTGTGAGAGGCAGGTAAGTAGTTGAAGGAGAAGAGATGAGGTGGAAGGGGAATTAACATCTTTTAGTACTTGTCTTTTGCTGGACATGGGCCTTTACAGATGTATTTTTCATTTTATCCTCATAGTAAATTTAGGCGGGTTTTAAAATCCACATGGGGAATGGTGTGGTATAGCAGGGAGATGGGACTTACAGCAGTGTCTTTTAAGGGAAGCTACCTAGATCTAGATCTTTGCTTTGAAGGTCTTGAGACTTATTCTTGTTAGTTCCCAGGGGAGGTCAGGCCCTGAGAGACTAACGTATGTAAACTAAAGCTGATAAGAAAAGGAGACATCAGATACGTATTTATAATGGTCTCTGAACATTTAATGTCATACTAGGCCAGTGTTTCTCAACCATTTTTTCATTATCAATCCCCTAAGGAGAGTTTGTACACATTTTTCCCCCAAAATCATTCTCCCTCACGAAATTTTAATTTCATAGATATACTGTACACTTATTTGTATACTGTGGCCCTTTGGAGGGTCACAGACCAATGTAATAGCTGGGATTTTTGCCTGGTTGGGGGCAATATTGTTTTTGTTGAGAATGCATGAACTAGACTGATAAATCTGTAAAGATGGTCTTACCGTTAAGACCAGAAAAACTTGAAATTCCTTGGCTATAACACTTTATATTCATCTTTATACTATGGAGGACCTTGCTGTGGGGAGTAGAAATACTCTACATTCTACAGCAGTAGAGGTTGTTATGCCCATTTTCTAGATCAGGAAACAGGTCTAGAGGAGGTTAAATTACTTCAAGGTCACAGAGCTAATAAATGGTAGAATTTAGGATTGGAATAGATTTGACTCCTGAGACCTGTTTTTTAAGAACAATTTTTACAGGAATATAGCTCAGATGATCTGATTTCTGTTAAATAAGGAAAAAGGAAATGAAAAAGGAGGAAAGTTAATACTGTTAGATTACAAGTTTTCAGATTATATTGAACATTTTCAATATGTAATTTTTATGTTGGGTAGGAATATGCTGCTCCATTTGACAAGTCATTTTAATCAATTTTTACTATGGCTTATAGTACCTAGGTACTGTTATTCTTTTATTTGTAAGTTCCTAATTACTTTTATAGTAAGGAAAAATGTGTTTAAAGATGATTCAGCTTTCAGAGTTACACATTGTATTACTTCCTCTTCGACCAGAGACTTTGGTTCATTTCTGTTTATGTAGGAATTGTGAAAACTAACTTACCACTTTGATTTGGTTTGGCGGAAGTAGAGAACACCATTTCAAGTTTTTCCATTTGATTGTGTGTTTTGATCTTTCATTTAAAAAATATTCTAGGGGAAAATGTAGCCAAGATATACAAAGATCTTCAGAAGCTCTCTCGCCTCTTCAAGGACCAGCTGGTGTATCCTCTTCTGGCTTTTACCCGACAAGGTGAGAAATGATAAATCATCACAGGTTGAATGGCTGGAAAGAATAGTAAGTTCACATATGTTTAAGGGTGACATAAACCTTCCCTCTTTTCTTCCCTCTTTTCTCGTCCTCGTGGAAATTCTCCTCTTTTAAGACTAAGCTTAAATGTTAATTCCTTAATTGCTCTTCACATCCTCTTTGTATCTCCACTGCATTTTATATGTATCTTTATTATAGCCCTTTATCCAGTGTATCATAATAATTTTTGACATGATTTCTCTCCACCTAAGGTTATGAATACCTTGAAAGCAGGGAATATGTCTTTTTCACTTTTGTATTCTCATGGCCTAGCACACAGTCAGGCCTATAGTAAGTGTTCAATAAATACATATATAAATAACGTATAGCCTGTAAATTTGGTCTACTTTTTTTTTAAACTATTTATTGGGACTCTGTGTAGGTACTTTGGATATTTCACATGCATTCTTATTTAATGCTAACAGCTTTGAAGTAGATTTTACTCTCATTTTATAGATGGTGAAGCTAATTCAGTGAGGTTTATAATTCACTCAAAATCCTTGTGTTAATCAGCTTTCTCTTTGTGTTGTAGTAAAAAGTATTTTAAAATCTTAAGTGAACATTTATGTCTCACTTGCATATGTGCTCCGTGGGGCTTGGCTTTGGCCGAGGAGTGGTGAGTAGTCCTCATCCGGGGCTTGCTCTTCTTGTGGCACAGGGAAGAGAGGACCAGTGGCCTAACCATGTGTTGGTTTTTAAAGCTTTTGTTCACAAATGATATGCCACTTGCACTCACATTTCACTGGACAAAACAAGTGAAAATGGCCAAACCTGGACTGTGGGACGGGGAAGTATAACTATAGGGTAGAAAATGATAGGGTAGAATCATAATCTACCACATTCTTTTGGCTGGTAAATAATTTCAGGTTTATACAGATAGTTATGTGGCTTTTATCTGCTATTTGTATGTAGGAAAATGATATTTTAGGTCTCAAGTTGCATGGTGCCAAGGCTATTATAATCATAGTTTTCTTCTTTGGCTGGTGGTGAGGGAAAAGAATAATGTGAATTTTAAAACCCCTTACTGGACTTTGATTATCTTTGCTAGTTGAGAATGGTATCCCATATATTCAAAGGAGCTAATAATGAAAAAATAATTTTCATTTGACTTCGGAATATATTATTCTTTTCCTTTCTTGGTTTTGCTTTTGAATTTGTCTACCTCCCTTCTTTTTCAGCTAGATATCGAATAATAGTAATCTAACACTCGAGTGCTAATTACGTGCCAAACATTGTTGTGAGCACTCTGTATGTATTTACACATTTAATTCTCAACTCAGTGAGGTAGGTAGTATTACTAACCCATTTTACAGATGAGAAAATTGAGTTAGAGTTTAAATAACTTGTCCAAAGGCACACAGCTAATAAGTAGCAGCATTGGAAACCAATTGCACAAGCCAATTAATTATCCATTTTCTATAGTTGAATAGAGAATTTTTTGTTGTACTGAATATCACTTGAAACAAAGGAGGCCATTGGCTAGTATTTAGAAATTGTCATAGTTATTTATTTGATCTGTATTAAAAAGTAATTTGTTTCTCTACTAAAACATAAAGAGAATAAGGGGCTTGGATTTAGTAGTAGTTATAGAGTTAACCTGGGGACAAAAGTTTGTTACAGATAACTTAAGCTTGGATAATTGAGGATACCATCTAATTTATCATCTCTTTAGAAAGTTGGCAACTTTGGTTGAATATATGGGGAAACCGGATGTTCTTTACTCAGTGATACCTATCCTCTTTTTCCTTTTAGCACTGAACCTACCAGATGTGTTTGGGTTGGTAGTCCTCCCATTGGAGCTGAAACTGCGGATCTTCCGACTTTTGGATGTTCGTTCTGTCCTGTCTTTGTCTGCAGTTTGTCGTGACCTCTGTATTGCTTCGAATGACCAACTTCTGTGGAGGTGTTTATATCTGCGGGATTTTCGAGGTGATTTCCATGATAACATGTTAACAAGAAAAGGGTTCTTTGTTACTGAGGTCTTAATTACTCAGCTTGCCAGAAGTTTTAAGTTGTGGGCTTTTTTTTTTTTTAAGAGTAAGAAATAATCATAACATAGCCTTATTGTAAAGAGATTCTAAGCTTCATATACCTTTGCCTATGTCCTGAAAACTCTCCCCATTCATTTCTGTGTTCTCTGCAATACAAACAGTCCATTAGATCAAGTAGACTATTTCAGGATAGAAAATTGAAGTAAGACACGTTTAATGTTGGATGAATGAAACGTTTTTAAATCTCTGTTTTTTGTTTTTTCTTTGTAGATGGTACTGTCAGAGGTCGAGACACAGATTGGAAAGAAGTAGGTATTTTTAAATACCAAGGCTAATGTTCATAGCACAGAAATAACTCGTGAATTAATACATTAAGGGCATATTTTCCACTTTTTTATGATATAATGCAATGTTTAAATTAAATTTATTGCTAATTTTTAGTAAATGAAAATGTTTTCAACTTCTACCTTAGACTCAGTCCTTAGTGTCTTGTAATTACACAGGAAAAAGAATCTTTAACACAATGACTGTTTTCACCTTAATATATTCTTCCTTCTTCTGTTGTTAAAAAAATTGAGTTGTTTTTGTGCTGGAGTAATCTTGAGCTGTTCAGCTAGCTAGAATAGTAAATTATGAAGAGAATAAGTTATATTGTTTTATTTGCAGATACCACTGTAAAAAGACATTGATAGGACACAGAAACTTGGGATGAAGGACTAGAGAATAAAATTCAATGAAAGTCCTCAAATATGTACAAAATACATAGTACTGTTCTTTAGGAATATGTTCCATCCTCTAAAATAGCATCTTTTTTGTTATTTAAATTGAGGTCCATTAGGGACATAAGTTACGTGAGAAATTGAACATAAGTGCTGGCCCCCCACCCCCTTCCCTGCCCAGTACCTTAACTTTTTATATTGTGTGGCATGACATTTTCAACAAATATTTAAATTTTCCACTTTCAAAAAAGGCTGACTTAAAATTGCATATCAGCTTGAGAGCTCTAGATTACAGTCTTGAGAATACATGTCACTCAGTTATCCCTCCTTTGGATGTATTGTTACTCTAAATTGGCACAATTGCTCAGTTGCAGTGTGGTTAAAGAATAGAGTTCATTTGGCATTGTGTTCATATCTACTACCTTATTCATGCAGATAGAAACTGGTAAAAGTTCTCTTCTGTGCACTTTTTTTTTTTTTGCCTGCCTTGATAGTATGGGAAAAGAAAAGGTATATAGTACAATGAAAGCAAATGAACTTTGGGGAAATATCCAACTCACTTACCATATCTTGTCCTTGTTTTTCTATAGCTGTACAAGAAGAGGCACAAACAAAGAAAAGAAGCTCAGAGAGGGCGGCATGTGATGTTCCTGCCGTCGTCACCCCACCCCATTCCATTCTACCCCAACCCCTTGCACCCCAGGCCTTTTCCTCCCAGTTCTCTCCTTCCTCCAGGAATTATTGGTGGTGAATATGATGAAAGACTAACCCTTCCTTATGTTGGGGATCCAATCAATTCACTCATCCCTGGGCCTGGGGAGACACCCGGACAGTTCCCTCCACTCAGACCACGTTTTGACCCAATCGGCCCTCTTCCAGGACCTAACCCCATCTTGCCAGGGCGAGGTGGCCCCAATGACAGATTTCCCTTAAGACCTAGCAGGGGTTGGCCAACTGACAGCCGGCTACCATTCATGTGACTGATTTATAATCTCATGCTGGAGCTTGTTTTGTTTTTTTAAACTACAGACATCATCTTGTTGGGGTGCTATCTCTAGTGTTTTCTGATTGTGGTGGTGAGAAATGCACTCACAGAAGCCTTTTGGTAGATATATTTAAAGCTCCAGGGGTGGTATAGCCCAAAGGTTACTGCATGACAGGGTTGGCCTTGGGAATAGTTGGTTCCTGACATCCCCTCTCTGAATTACCCTCTAGAATGAAGGTTAGACATTGATAATGTTCTACACCAGAATAATAATAATAAAAAAAGTGTGAATCACACGGCAGTCTTGACTTTTATTAACGAAAGATATGTAATAAATATTCAGAACAGCTTCACAGCATGACTTGGGACATTTCAGAATAATCAGAGGACTTATTCGGTGTCATCAGATTGTTGCAGGAGATTATTATTATTTTTGTAGTGGCACTCTTTTCTTCACCTGAAATCGTTCACAGAAGCCTGGTTTGTGGAATGAATACAAGCAGAGCTAGTTTGGTTGAACTGGACATGGAGTGAGTGCTTTGGACACCTAGCTCAGTCCACCTCCTCCCTCTCTCAGCAGCTGCTCCTCAGGCTCTGTGCTGAAACAATCTGGGCTCTGAAGCAGCGCTGTTTGGCCACCATTGGGTTGTTAGGGACTCGTTTCTGGCTTCTTCTGGAGTGGAGTTATAGCTTCTTTTTCCTTGTGTTTTGAGTGCTTGGAGCCTAATTTGTAATCTAAGTAGATGACATATTTTAACAACAAAGTTACACTGCTTTGAGTGCTGCTCAGGTACTTGTTCTGCAAAGAAATCCTCGTTATTTGAAGAACGTTTTGCTTTTAAGACTTAAAACACACAGATTTCAAGTTTTATTTTTCCTACAACAAGAAAAAGGCCAAACACAAATGTCTTAGCACATAAACAACTACTGGAAACATGCTATAGTGACAGATTAAAATCTGAATCACAACACAGGAATAAAACACTGTTAGTATCTGCAGAAAATAGGAATATTGCCAATATCTTCCTGCTTTTTAAAAAATCTGTTTTGCATATAAGGAAATGGCTTGGAATGCTATGTGCTACAAGAATGTTTAGAGTTCTACACATGAATTCGTACACATGAATTTTTTTTCTTTGCTATACATATGTATTGTCTTTTTTCCTTCACAGTGTAGAAAATTCAGTCAATTAATACGATTTTCCAGAGGCCATGTCACCTTTAGTAGCTTAATGTATAGGTAAAGGATTAGGGCTGTTGACATTCTTTTTTCCTGTGGTATTTTGTAATATCTGAGCTATAGGACAGCCTTTAAAAAAGTGTCCACCAGAGGCCATATGGCTTTAATTGGGTCTGGGTTGAAAGAGTCACCCTGAAACTTCGATGGGTAAAAACATCTTGGTTCTCTAGTACACCTTTCTGTGGCCTTATAATGTTAGGTTGCGCTGTATGTGGGGGGGGGTGTGTGTAGTGGAGATGGAAGGACATAGTGATGACCAGAAGCACCATATACTATAAAACAGTAGTTTTCAAAATGGATTCATTTTCGAGTGGTCCTTGAGAGGTTCGTGAGTGGTGTTGGTGTCCTGCAGATACAGGTGCTACTTTCCGACCTCACCTCGGACTTACTATCCCACGTGACAGATCTCTCAGTTTAGGATACCAGTGGTGTGTCACACACCTAAATTTGTGGTCCTCCCAATAGTTTATTCTGAATTCTTTAAACCACCATCGAAGCTTTTCTTCTTGACTAGCTTTATAGTCAGAAGCTTGTAAAATCTACATTCTTTTCATTAGACTGAGACTTGAGTTTTATGTGTTGCTGGTGTATGATGAGAATGAAGTCATTGTTTGGTCATAGCCTGTTCACTGCGTGACTTTCTGACACCACTTTGATGTATTGTGATAGAAGATAGTGTGGAGCAGGGGTCCCCGACCCCTGGGCCATGGACCGGTACCAGTCTGTGGCCTGTTAGGAACCGGGCTGCACAGCAGGAGGTGAGCGGCAGGTAAGCGAGCGAAGCTTCATCTATTTACAGTCGCTCACATTACTGCCTGAGCTCCACCTTGTCAGACCAGCGGCGGCATTCGATTTTCATAGGAGCATGGACCCTACCGTGAACAGCGCATGTGAGGGACCTAGGTTGCCCACTCCTTATGAGAATCTAATGCCTGATGATCTGAGGTGGAGCTGAGGTGGAGATGCTAGCGCTGGGGAGTGGCTGCAAATACAGATTATCATTAGCAGAGAGGTTTGACTGCACAGAGACCATAATAAATCAATTGCTTACAGCTCACATCAAAACCCTATCAGTGAGTGGCAAGTGAAAACAAGCTCAGGGCTCCCACTGATTCTGCATTATGGTGAGCTGTGTAACTATTTCATTATACATTACAATGTAATAATAATAAAGTGCACAATAAATGTAATGGCTTGAATCATCCTGAAACCATCCCCCCTCTCCCCTGGTCCGTGGAAAAATTGTCTTCCATGAAACCGGTCCCTGGCACTAAAATGGTTGGGGACTGCTGGTGTAGAATGCTGTGTAAGATGCACTCCACATCACTGGCTTGTAGCCTTAGTGATTTTCTCCCCCCCACCCCCAACCCCGGCCATTTATAAATGAGAGCTCTGGTTTGGCATAGCTGGAAATCAAATCATTATCCTCTCTTAACAATGTAAGATTTTGTGATTCCCTATGTACAAACAGTTGAAGTCTGTCCTCTCTCACTCTTGCTTGCCTCTCTCCAATTCCTGAGATCACTGTTTAGCTTAATATCTCTGTAATTCCTCCACTCTCCCTCTGCTCCCTATACCTGGGGCCCTGAGCCAAGGCTTGTCTTGCTCCTACCCTGGGCAGTAGCTGAGCCTCAGGGAGGGGCCAGGCAGGTCCCAGCTCTCCACTGTGCTGTGAGTGTGGTTAATCCTCCTTCGGATAGCCTCCAGTTGACTGTAGGAGATCAGATACGGGAAGTACTAGTTAGGTCATGTGACATAAGGGTTCATCTTAACTAACTTAATGGCTCTCTTGGGATTCCCCAATAGGTTATAGCACTTAAGTTTCTGCTATCCCATAGCAAAACAGGTAAAATGCTAATTGAGAGGCAAGGAGATGTTAACTTGCTTCTGCTCTAAACTCAACAAAAGACCACAGAGCAGATACTTAAAATATGGAGTTTGGAAATTGGAATTAAAGCAGGAGAACCAAGCAGAATAGAAATAATGAAACGTATTTAGGATTTTAAAGAATTCTCTCTCTCTCTCTCTCTCTCTCACACACACACACACACACACACACACACACAATTGTAAGAAGAATGTTTAGTTTTACATTGGTTTTACCTTAAAGAAATAATACACTGAAATTTCAAAAAACTTTTCATCTTTTCCTCTTGGCCTGCCAGTTGAGGGTCATGAACACAGTCTAGAAGTCTCACCTCTTGGGGCTGCATATTTTGTCTGTGGAAACACAAGGGAGCCTCTGTGCCCTTTATGCATTGTGTTTGGTTAATGGACTGGTTTGACTTGTTTGTCACCCAACCTTGCAATTTGTCTCCAACCAAACCCAAAGTGCCCCCTTCTATTAGAGTGTAAATATTAGACTGAAATGGAATTTAATCCACGGCTGCTCTGGAGTCGAGGACAGCTTTTGACACTCAGGGGGGATAGTCAGCAACCAGCCTGCTTGTTCTCTTGGGTAAAGAAAACCATGCGATGCATGTGCGAGTGCTCTTAGGCTCTGAGCTATTCCTCCAGCATAATTAAGTTACTGCTTGTATCTGCGAGGCTGACTTAACTCACTTACACTGGGACTCTAACTTGCATCCTTTCACAGATTCTAAACACACAAAACCAAATGAGCCACCAACTTGTTCTATGAAGTTGAATGAGGCACTGGGAGGGGCAGGGCTCTGAAAGAACACTGTGTGCCTGCAGGATGGCTCGAGCTGGGCTCTGCTGTGGCCTGCTGTGTGGTCTGGATGGAACCCCAGGGTCTTTGCTGGACAAGCCTTCGTATTGTCCTGGTCTGCTCGCTGCACCTCCTGACTGATGCTGACAGTGGCACCTGGTCCCTTCAGCTCCCAGCCTCAGTGGCCCGGCAGTCAACTCACCTGTGTGGGCCACGCTCACCACGGGGGAGGTCTCAGCCTTCTGCTCTGCTTTCTCCCGTAGGTTAAAAAGCGGCCACAGATTCTCTTCAGCTTCTTACCAATCTCTCTGTTGGTTTGATTCTCTTCCTGGGCAAGTGATTTCTTCACATTGATACTGGTAGAAAAACAGCCTTTTTCTTTTCTCTTAACATTTTGTTTACATTTTGTTAATTTCATAGTTTTCTAGGAGGGCCAACCTAACACACATCCTGCACACCGCGTGCCGAACAAGGCGTGCGCTGCGCTGTGCCCACGTAGCTCGTTCACGAGATGCCGGCACTGGCTTGCTTTCCCCTTGAGCTCCTTCCACTGAAAATTCAGATGAGAACTTCCAGAAGGTAGCTGAAGTTCAGGCTCATGGGATTTGCTACTGTATTTGTTACCATGGGAATGAAGGCCTATAACCCCTGAAATTCTGGAATGGTAGAACTAACTGCTCCATCAGCAGGGACTGAACGGGGGGGCAGTGTGGTAATGATGAAGAGGACCCAGAGGATTAATGCAAGAGAAAGGATACGCAGATTCCAGTATCCCTCGAAAGCTGATTTGACAATTAGATGACAGTACCCTTTTATCATGCTGTTAGGAGGACGATCTGGAAGAAGATATTTTCTCCGGCTGGTGGAGGTGTCTACTGAGGCTGCATTTGAAATTCTCTCTTCATTGTGCTACATGTCAGCACAACCAAATGGATCTGTGTCATGTTTCAGCCTCACCAAGTCACCTTGGACGGAAAATGCTAGTCTTTCTTTGGGCCAAGGTTGTGAAACAGAGCAAAAAATAACAAACACAACCTTTCAGACTCTCTACAGAGTGACTCCCTTCCCCCTTTCATTTTGTTCTTTCCCATTAAAAAATATCACAATTATTAAAGGTTAAATGCTTGGAGGGAACATGTGCTAGCCTATGTGAGAAAACAGTCCATTTTGGGGATCAACGGTCTCCAAAGGACCATTCTTGGTCTCTGTACTCATACACAGACTGATGGGAAAATTTATTGCCATGTGTTGGTTATAAACTTGTCTCATGTCATGGAATCTTCTGTGCATGGTTATAAAAACAAGGATGCCTGGCCTGAGAAATGAGTTTGATATTCTACTGGAATATCTGGGAAATATGGTTTGAATGTTGCGATGTTTTCAGGGACAAGGGACAGAATATGGGAAAGTGGGAAAAGTTAAGCCATGTAATCACGGTTTATGGAGCCACTAGCTGTGCTCACCCAAGGAGTGGGCCCTGGCTGTGACGCTTCCACACCGGTACTGTTTCTCACCTTCTCCACACAGCTCAGGGCAGGGCTGCTGGTCTAACTTCAACGTGCATTCAAAATACTTAGGGAGATTGACAAAGATACAGGTTCTGGGCCTTATGACCAGAAATTCTGAATCCTTTGGTCTGAAATGAAGCTAGCTATGCACATTGGCCATGTCTCATGCTTTGAGAAACTTTGTCTAGCCTATCACCACTTTGTTGTGTATTTTGGGCTGTGTTTTATTACTGAGAATTGGGTGAGATAGTTTGATTTTTTCTTCCAATCTTAATTTCCAGTGTAGAAGAGTGACGGTCGCCTCACGTATTTCCTGTGTTCTCAATCTTCTAAAACACGTGGCTTTGTGGTGTTACATCCTGCCCGATAGTTTTCTGCACTCTTTTATTCAGAATGCAGCGCCAGGCCAAGGACGCTTTCATTTTTACCTCCCTCTCCCCCTTCCCTATGAACGGTGAGGGGAAGACGTGCCTCAAGTTGCGAAGTGGGCTGTGAGGGGATAGCATGGCTATGTTGGACTCTCCTCGGCTCTTTGGAGCCAGGAGGCTGGTCTGGCACCTACAATGTTTCCAGCACCAGGTGCCTGGAGATTTGGGGCACCCCTGCACCCCATCTAATCATGACAGGAGCCTGATGTAGGAGAAAGCATTGGGAAGGGAGTCAGGGTTACATTTTCCAGCTCTGCAGTTAACTGGTTTAGTCAAATAAGTGTGGGTTAAACAAAGTTAAAGCTAATTTCTTTACTGCAGGAATTCCAAGAGCCTTTGATACGTACTATCAATCTCAGAAGAGAAACAAACAAAAAACAGTGTTTCCTAAACACGTTTGACCGGTGAACCCTTTTATAACTAACCTTCCAGTGCCTTGCTGTACACTGCCTGCAAAACGCCGAGCTAGAAGTTACTGTCACTGCACTTTCTGATCCTGTGTCATCCATCTGCTCGCTGTCTCTGGCTCCTTGTATGTCCTTGAGGAGAAAACAACATTCCTGGTAGGAATTCAGAGACCAAATGGTGGTGTAACACGGAATGGGTAGAGAGGCCCTAACCTAACTCCTTCCTTGGGAAGTGGAGGGCATATTCCCCCTCTGGGAACTAGTGATGATTCCTAAAAGAACCCATGGTCTGCTCTTGGCTGTCCAATTTAGGATAGCACTCTGGGCACGAGCGACATTGTAAAGCCTCCCCTCTGTTTCTGTTGTGTTCTGAAAGGCCCCACGGGCCACGCAGCCTCTGAATTCTTTCCATGGTCCTCAAGGTCCACTGGTGGTGGGTGTGATGGGGCTTCGCCTGTCTGGTCTGCAGGGCCATCTCTTGAGCTTGGATGGGACTTGCAAGGGTAGGTGGTAGGTTCCCCTGGCTGCGCTTTTGTCCTTTTGTTTGCAAAACACTGTCAAAAGTTTATTGCCTCCTACATTGCTGAGGTCTGACTTCAGCGTCTGCATTTGATGGAGGTGGGGCAAGGCTCAGAGGGGGCCCTTCCCAAAGGCAAGCAAAACACTAACAAGAAATGTCAAAACTAGCCACACACAGACATCTCACGTGGTTATCTGAGGCAGGGAAGCAAGCATCTGGGTAGGAAGGTTGACGAGGTGCCTGTCTTTAAGGCCCGTTTTGAGGAACCTGGAGGCTCTCAAAGGCCCACCCCTCAGTCGGGCAATGCTGGAACGTCATGGCAAAGGAAAGTGGGAACACATGTAGACACTCAGTTCCTGGACCAAAGGCATTTGGAAAGTATATTCTCAGGCCCTCCATTCTGTTCCCGTCAGGAACCAAGGCTGAGATGGAGGATGGGGCAGGAGAGGGGGGAGTGTAACGGGGCACCCCCCTCCCGGCCTGGACAGGGTTAGTCAGAGAACAGGCTGGCGAAAGACTTCCTCAGGTTGCGGATGGTCTCGGCCTTGGCCTCGTCTTCACTTGGGGTCCCACGCTGGGAGGCGTCAGACGTGCTGAGGCTGTTAGTCAGGGACTGGGATTTGCTGAAACAGAAAGGCAAGGGGGTTGGGGGCGACAAGGCTGGACTCCCCAGGAAGTGAGTCCTGGGGCTTGCCTGGAAGCCAGCTGGGTGAGCCCCGTCACCACAAGGACAGTGAGACCAGAAACAAGGCATCCCCGCCCTTACACGATGCTGAGTACACCACACACGCAATTAACCTGCAAGGTGGTTATTGGTAGCCTTCTGTTTTAGGCACAGGAATTGGGGCTTACAGCAAGTAACAGGGGAGCATCCAGGGCTCATATCCTTTTCACAAAGCCAGGCTGCTCAGACGGCAGGCGTGACTAGAGCGCAACTTGACCACTCTCCTGCCTCTGTGTACAAACCCACTTGGTGAAGGGCTGTATCACCGGGTTATGGTTGTTCCTCCTATACTTTCCAGCGCTAGTCTGGGAATCAGGAGGTCTGTATTCCAGACCCTCTCTGCCATTTGGCCCCTCCGGCTGTGGGCAAGTAACTCACTGCTCGGGACCTCCTCTCCCTCATCGGCGAAATGGAGGGTCGGTCTGGCCCACCCTCAGGTCTCTTCTAGCTCTGACACTCCGGGCTTCAATTCCAACTCTTCTCGGAAGCCCTTATTGCCGATTCCAGCCCATTTTGGAATTCTCACGGTGCCTACTGTTTGAACAACAGTGTTTGACCCTGTGTGCCAGCCTCATGCTAGGTGACAGGTTGGAGAGATGAATGAGATTCAGGCCCTGCCCTCAAGGGGCTCACAGTCTAGTGGGGGTGAAAGACATAGGAAGAGATCCCCACTTGGTCTTGTCATCACATTGAACAAAATCTTCTTCAAAGCAGAGACTGTCTTTTCCCCCTTTGCTTATTCCCCCCGGGGTGTTATCCAGGACTAAGTTCAGAGTAGGCATTTGATAAATACCTGTGGATTTGAATTGAACCAAATAATACTTTAGAGCAACAACCCAGGAGATTTAAGTGTTTTTAGCTAGATGACTATTGAGGTTAGTGTCCAAACCTGGCTTAAGTCCCAAAGCCCTCGTCTGTCCTGTGATCAGCTGGGCTGTATCTTTTCACGTGTGAGAGGCTGTCACAGATACACCCGTAAGGAGCCAGCTGCATTCTGGCTGGCTAGAAGCACTAACTGTGCAAAAACTCATTTTAATCCTTACAATAACCCTGTGGTGCAAGTACTATTGTCCCCATTTTGCATGAGAGGAAGTCTAAGCACAGAGAGATTAGGTAACTTTTCTGAGGTCATGCAGCTTTCAAGTGGCAGAGCTGACACTGAACCCAGGTGGTCTGACTCTAGAGTCTGTGCCGTCAACCTCTATGCCTATTGCTGGAGGACCACTTGCTAATTTCATCAAACTAAAAACGCATTTGTCCTTTGATCCAATAATACCATTTCAGGTATTTTCTATACAGCTGATCCTGCACGTATAAGAAACAGCATGTTTTCAAGGCTATTCACTGCAACCTTCTTTGTAAGAGCATACCATATTTCCATTTAGGGTGGATTAGTTGGATAAATTGTAGTATAACTATATAGTAGAATACTATACAGCTGCGAAAAGGAGAAAATGTCAATGAACTGAGTGGAAGAGCTCCAGGATTTACTGTTAAATGTAAAAGCAAGGAGCAAAATGGTGTGGACAGTGAATACTGCTGATTGTGGAAATAAGTGGGAGGAGGGAATCAGAACATATATTTCTGTATTTGCATAAGGAAACACTGGAGGAACACACAAGGAACTAACAAAAATGGTCACCTCTGGGGCGCAGGGGGCAGGAAAGCATTGGATAGGAATGAGATGGGAGGAAGATTTTTTTCAATAAAAACAATATCTTTCAGATCTTTGAACCATGTGAATGTATTACCTATTCAGAAAAATGATGGTTAGCATGACTCACGGGCTGGATGTCCTGTGTTCAATCCTAGCTCTTCTACTTCCTAACAGTGGAAACTCTGGCAAATTATTAATGTCTTTCTCTGTTTGCTCATCTGTAAAATGGGGATAATAATTGTTATTAACTCCTAAGCCTGTGGGACTTAAAAAAAACAAACCAACTAGGTAAAGTGCTTAGTACATAGTAAGTAGATAATAGATGCTAGCAGTGAAACGATGATTATTAATATTAGTGTTTGGAGTTGAAGAAAGGGAGAAGCTTACCAAAGAAAACACATTTAGGGTCTCTCTTTCTGACCTCAAACCAAGAGACGGGCTTGAGTGGAACCAGGAGAGAGGATGTGTGTGCACTGGGATGGATCTTTCACAAAGTGGTGGCAATACTCCTTCCCGTCCCCATCACCTAGTCTTTCACAATGCGACTCTGCAGATCCTCCTATCAAGAGTCTATTTCCCCACCTCTTTAATCTGGGCTTGACCATGTGACTCGTATTTACCAAAGGCGTGTGATGGGATGAAATGACATTATGTGGCATCTTCTAAGGCTGGACCTCGAGAAGCCTTGAGGCTTCTACTTTTGCCCCTTTGGAATGTAATTCTACCATGTGAGGAAGCTGGGCCCAGCCTGCTGGAGGATGAGGCCCAAGGAGAGAGAGGAGCTCAGCTGACAGGCAACACCAACAACCAGATATGTGCAGGAGGCCCTCTTGGACCATCCAGCCCCAGGTAAGCTGCCAGATGACTACAGCCAGATGAGTGATCCCAGTAGAGTAGGGTTGCTAGAGTTAGTAAGTAAAAATACAGGACACCCAGTTAATTTTGAAATTCAGATTAAAAACAATTACTTTTTGAGTATAAGTATATCCCATGTAACATTTGAGGGCATACTTATGTTCAAAACTATTCATTGTTTATCTGAAATTCAAATCTACCTGGGCATCCTATATTTTATCTGGCAACTCTACAGGAGAGACCAGCAGAAGATCCTCCCAGCTGAGCCAAACTCAGAACAAATTGCTAAACCAAAAAATTATGAACAAAGAAAATGGTTGTTTTCTTAAGCCACTAAGTTTCAGGGTGGTTTGTTATGCAGCAAGAGATAACTGATGCATGTATACACGGAGGATCACAGTGGGACCTAATCTATCCTCTCACCTTTCTGGGCCCTGCCTGCCATCCCGGTTCCATCCTCTGGGCTCCTTTCTACCCATTTAAAGTCTGGGTGAGTCCTTGGTGGGTCTTCCTCTGTCTCCGAGTTCCTGATCCTGAGCCAGCCCAGCTCTGTCCACACCCTAAGTCCACCCTATGCCCTTCCCAATTCCCAAAGCACTTACTTGAGATGGGGGTGGGGTGCTGCTGGTTTCTTGGACTCTTCACCCTGTTGGGAGGTGCTGCGGCTCTGCATGGGGGGCCGGGGCTGTGAGGTAAGGGTGGTGCCTGGCTTGGAGACCTGGTTTGGAGAGCTGCCTCCAGATGTGCGGGATAGCTGTGGAGAGCCTGGTGACCTCTGCTGCTGTGGAGATCCAGATGAGGGACTCAGGGGTTGCTGGCCTTGTGGGGAGAGCCTCTGTTGCGAGGGGCTTCCAGATCTTGGGGGCTGAGGAGACTGAGCTTGGCGAGGGCCCCCTACAGGGAGAAAAAAATTATTACATTCAGATTTTTTTACGATAAATATGGCTGTGCACAAGTGTCACTTCAGGGATGTTCATTACAGTGTTTTTCATTTTTTTTTAAGATTTTTTTGATGTGGCCCATTTTTAAAAAGTCTTTATTGAATTTGTGACAATAATTGCTTCTGCTTTATGTTTTGGTTTTTTGGCCACGAGGCACGTGGGATCTTAGTTCCCTGACCAGGGATTGAACCCGCACCCCCTGCTTTGGAAGGTGAAGTCTTAACCGCTGGACCGCCAGGGAAGTCCCTACAGTGTTTTTTGTAACAGTGAAAAACTGAAAACAATACAAATGCCTAACTGTAGAGGAACTGACTAGGAACATTAAGATAAATTCATATAACGGAATATGCTATGGTCATCACGTATGACGTGGCAGAATAATATTAAATGACGTGGGATGTTGTTGATAAGCAGCTTATAAAACAGTATTTGCCATTTAATTCCATTTTGGCACGTATATATATGAAGCTATGTAAAAAAGAAAGACTGGAAGGTTATACATTGAAACCAGTGTGTCTCAGACTTTAATGGCATGTGAATCCCCATGCGTCTTGTCAAAATAAAGATTCCGATACAGTAGGTCTTGAGCGGTGTTATGAACTGGATCGTGTCCCTTCACAGAATTCATATGGTGGAGTCCTAACCCCTGGTGTGACTGTATTTGGAAATAGGGCCTTAAAGGAGGCAACTATTGTTGAATGATGCCATAAAGGTGGGCCCTAATCCAATAGGACTGGTGTCCTTATGAGAAGAGAGAGAGAGACCAGGGACCTGCACACACAGAGGAAAGGCCACGTGAAGACAGAGAGAGAAGGTGTTGTCTGCAAGCCCTGGGGAGAAGTTTCAACCCTGCTGGCACCTTGATCTTCCAGCCTCCAGAACCATGGAAAATAAAGGTCTGTTGATGAAGCCACTCAGTCTGTGGTATTCTGTTATGGCAACACGAATGGGGTCTACGTTACTAACAAGCTCCCAGGTGATGCTTCTGCTTCCACGCTTCGAGTAATGAGGCACTGAGCAATGATTTTAAAAGCGGTGGGATGATGAGGGACTTAAATTCTCCTCCTTTTGCTCACTGATGTTTTCCACACTGAAGATGTATTACTTTTGAAACAATGAAAATAATTATCCCTTACTTTCGAATAGCTCTCTAACCTTTTCTAAGAACTTTTTCAAAAGCAATATATCATTTGATCTAGAGAGAGGCTGGTAGGGAAGATACCACTCTTCTCATCAGGTTGCAGTGGAAACAGCCTCATTAAGGTTTCATAACTAGAAGGGGTAACCACGGAAAGCCCACAGAGGAGCTTGGCTTCACCCTGTTCCTGCACAGAGCATACAGGCTTTCACCTACAAGCGAAAGGACATTTTAGCCTCCCAGAAATGACTTTGAGTGGAATTCCAAGGCTCCAAGCAAGCAAGGTGCACCCTCCTCACCCTTGAACCCAGGTGTCAGGACTGCGGATTGTGAAATGCACCTTGGCAAGGCAGACTAGCTGCCTGCTGCTCGCCATCCCAGGATACAGCGGCTCCTGGGAAGGTGGGATGCACCACAGTGATTCTCGCCATGCTTTGTTGAGAGGATGGGAGATGAGAGTTTAAAAAGGGCTGGAGCTCAACTCTGAGCCCTTTCATAATGTGGCTTCCACTTGTGTGAGCTCCCCAGGTCTCTACTGTGTCCTCTCTATCATGTCCCGGCCTTGGGCTGGGCACCCTCGCAGCTTGTGGGTTAGGCATTATTATCATCCCCATTTTACAAAGAAACTCAGTCCCAGGTATACTGCGACTTGCTTAAAAAGTGTCACTTCTAGTAAGGGGAAGAGCCTAGACTCAAACCTAGATCTCTCTGACTCAAAGCTCTGTTTTCTCTTGTTTCCCTTTTTTCCTTTCTTTACTGTACCACACAGGGCAGCACCTTTGTGCAAATTAAGAAAAAGGTGCTTTCCCCCAGTGGTGGCTGCTCTGAGCCCGGTGCAAAGGGGGCAAGGACTAGATTTCAGCTGGCCTCCCGCTCAGACTGTCTCAGCTGGGCCCTGTGTGGTGGGCACGACCTGCATGTCTGGTGGCCCTGACACCCTACAGGTACCAGAGCCCCAGCTCCTTGCCATTAACCTGCCATGTGACTGTGGGTGCGTCACTTCTCCTCTCTGGGCCCTTGTTTGGAAATGAGGTCGTTGGACTAGACATCAAACATCCCTCCACATCTGAACATCTTTGTGAGCTTGTGCAACACTTTCCAGGTTGGACTGAATTGCAGCTCTAGTCTAGCAACTGACTGCACACGGCTTGATTCATGACTATATTGTCCCAGTAGATTGGAGGACCCATTGATCACAAAACTCAAACACCTATAGGGCCAGGCAGATAAATAAATAAAGCAGGAGAGTGTCAGAAAAATCACGTGGCTTTAAAAAATTTCCCACTTGAGGTACACGGTTCAGAGACTTACCTCTTTAAAGAGGTGCAAGCACAAAGAAAATGGCAATTGGCGCTGTGTCACTGTGGCAGTGACACCAGCAAGGAAGGAGGAGGGCCTGAGGCAAACGGAGGAGTCCTTGCCCTGTCAGTGGACGGTTGCTACGTAGCAAGCAGGCCCACTGTTTCTAGAGCTCCTGCTCTATCAAGAGAAGCTGGAAATCTAGATGTTTATGTAAAAGCTTCTGATTTTTAAATGTTGGTTTACTTTTTTTGTTTTTTAAACCCATTGTAGGTCCAAAAAGACATGTTTTCTAGTTTTATCTTAAATCCTCCCCCCCGCCCCACCTCTCCACATTCTTCTCCTCAAGACTGATAATATCTTGGAAAATCTGGATACTCATTCATTCATTTATTAACTATTCGTTCAGTCCCTATTATACAGGTGGGATTCATCAAGAGACACTAATTTCTTTCAGCTTCTCAGCAAAGCAACAAATTTAGTATTTTTTGTTTGAGCACATACAGAAAAAAAATTAAATGTAGAAAGTATTTGCCTTAGCCCAGGATTGGTGCTAAAAGATGATGAGGTTCATTAAAAGAGACCTTCATTTTTACTGAGTTGAAAGTGAGTAGTGAGTTCAGAAAACAAGTTAATAATGTGATCTTGTTATTTTGGGAACTCAATGAAAGCACTGTGTTTTAATTAGCCTTGTTATTTTTAATCTGAATGTTAATTCAATGAGCATTTTCTTTAATTATCCTAATTGGTTTTAAATTGATTGTTTTTCAACTCACTAAACGTGTGTTTAGCCTCATGTCGCTTAAAATATCCCTTTATCGAGCGTGTCTCTACTCCGGGCCGGAAAGGAAACCAGAATACAGTAGCTCTCTGTTTTAAAAGTGCTCGGTTCAAATGTGGTTGAAAAAGTAAGTCCTGGGGCAGAGTGAGACAGGCCAGGGTAGGGCAGAGGCACAGTCAGAGCCTGGCAGGGTGATGAATAAGTTGTTTTTGAACATTTATAATTATAGAATTATCACCAGGCAGGAGGGCAGTGGGGCTGCTTTAGTTATAAGGATTGTTATGATAACAACCGTTAAGGACAACATGTATAATTGTTAGTAAGACACAAAATATTAATAGTGAGTTTTTAATGGTAAAGGTCATATAAATAGTTATTAACAGTATATTAGTAGTAGTAAGAGCTAGAACCTACTAAGTACTACCTCCACGCCGGGACACCTTGCTAACTGCTTCACCTGCATTTTCTCACGGGAAGCTTCCCATTACTAAACGGGGCAGCTGTCATTTCCTCCTTTATCACTGGGGAAACTGAGGCTCTGAGAAGTGATGTAACTTGCCTAAGTCTGCCAGGGTACTGAGACATGGAAGTGGATTCAAATAGGTGTTTATCTGCCTGAAGAAGCAGCCAGTGTTCTTTGGTACACAGTTATATAAAGTCATGCAATTTCCCTCTTCTTAAATGCTTTCTGCTTTTCCAAGAAGAGAAGCACAGAAAGGAAAGACGAATGGAGTGTTTTATCTAAGACCTTTCGAAGAAGAAGCCATTTAGTGCCCAAGGCCGATTTTCCCAAGAAGCAGTGAATCTGCTACTTTGATAAAAGCGACTGGGAAGGCCACAGTGTGATAGTAATGTTTCTTTCTGATGAGTCTTAAAGCAGATCCTTAAAAGGTCGCCATGAAAATGCCTGGCCTGGCTTCTTGGTGCGAAGCGGTCCTGAGGCTCCAAGCTGGCACTAGAGCAGCGAGTGTGCCCGGAAAGTTCTGACTGCAGGAGAGGACCTGGGCTGACCTTCTCCCCAGGCCTGAGCGTGAGAACACCCGAGCAGCTGGCAGCCTGAGAGAGTTAGTTATTGCCACGATTTCTTTTCATCTTGTCATCAATAGTTCATCCATTCTCTAATAAATGGTGGCATTTACATAGTAATGCTGGGATATTTTTTGAGGAACAATTCCAGTCGACAAGGTTCTGTACGACGTTCCGTCTTTCTTTCTCACTCTAGCTGGTTGGCTCATAAATCTATAACCAGGCACTGCTAGCAGCTAGGAACCAGACAACTTCTAGAAGATCTGAAAGCCCAGACTTGTAAACCTGCCATTTTCTTGTGCTTCCTTGGACGAAACCTCAACACCCATCTCTGTAAAAAGGAAATATGGTTGTTTTCACTGTTGACAAGTTGGGAGGCTGAAAATGAGAAAACAAATGGGAAAGTCCCTAGCACAGTGGTACTTAATACATTTTACTGTCTGTCTTCCTTTCCTCCTTTTCTGACTTTAAGGGGGTGACAAACCTCATGGTCTCTTTCATTCTGCATACAGAGCAAGGGCACATATCTGGAAGGCGCGCTTCCAGAGCGCCTTCTGGAAGTCACGCGTGGACCCCTCAGTGCATTCCAGCATGCTTGCTGGACGGTTTCTCTCGGTGCGCGGCTCGTCGTGGGCCCTACCTTGTGTGGGTGTCCGTGGCTGAGGCTGTCCGAGAGGAGGCCCAAGCTGGGCTTGCCCAGGGGGTTTTGCTGGTTTAGTCTGAGGAGTCTAGAGCAGAAGAGAAAAGAAGCCTGTTGCGATCACCACAGCCATTTACTTCCTGCGTACGAGGGCAGGGTTTATCAACATCCGTTCACTACTGAGGTAAAACTTACATCATGTACACAGTTCCTAAGTGTGCAGCACAACGAGTTTTCACACGTGGATACACCTGTGTAACCACCAAGCAGGTCAAGACAGAACATATCCAGTGGAGAAGCCTGCTCTGTGGCCCCACCCAGCCAGCAGCCCCCTCGAGTATGACCGTCATTCTGACATCTGTTATCACAGGTTTGTTTTTGTGGGGAAAGGGGGAGCAGGTTTTGGGACTTGCTTTTCCAGAAAGCTGGGGGTCTAGCAAATTCTTTGGAGAATAATCTGGTAGTCCATGGTGAGGACTGCGGAAGGGAGGAGCTCTGAGGGAGCAGGTCGAGGTTGGAGGATGAGGAAAACGGAAGACACAATAGTCTCTATTGACTGGTGCCCTGGGAGTATACAAAGGGCATGTGTGTACACGGACACGTGTGTGCGCGCACACACACACACACCCTGCTCCCTGCTCAGGCCCGGGATTGAGGGCACAGAGGAGACAACTGGTTTCTTATGTTAATAATCTCTGCCTACAGACACCCAAAGCCCAGTTGAGACAAGGTTTTTCTCCCCAGGATGGTGAAGGGAGGAAGGGCCTCTCAGAGCCTCCCAAATTCCCCCATCAGGAGCAGGGCTACACGCTCTCCCCCAATCCCAGCCTCACCCACACCCCATTCCTTTCTCCCCAAGTTGGCTCCTCCCTGGGAGCATCTCCTGTGGATCAGGGCACCCATTCCCAGACAGCCAGGCATTTCTCATGGCTACACAGTGTCCCTTACTTCCGAGGGCCTTACCCAAGGCCTCAGGGGCGAGGGCACTGTGCCCCCTGGCATCGGGAGTTGGCTCATTTTGGAGACAACGAGATCGGCCATCAGCTGTTTGTCCTCTTCCAGGTGCTCTCCAATCAGGGGCATGGAGCTGTCCATCACCTGCAGGTGATGAGAGAAAGGAGTCCTGAAGGACCCTCAGGCCAGGGCGGCCAGGCAGCGCATCCCAGGAGGCAGGCTCAGAGCTCATGACAGAAGTGAACACTAGATGGCAATGCTCTCCATGCAAACACCCAGCCCAGCGCCTCCAGCTGGGAATGACCACCGTGGAGACAGCCAGTTTCCTGCAGTTCAGTCTAAATCAACTCCCTGGACTCAGTTCAATTCAGTCGACATTTGCTGGACCTCAGACATGCGACCAAGGGCTGGGAGCCTTTGCTGACCTTTTCTGCTCTTTTCTTTGGGGAGCTGGTCTCTGCCCCTCCTTTCCCACCTTGGCCCCCACCCAGGATTGGGGCTGGCCTCCTGAACTCTGGCCCAAGGTCAAGGTTTTCCACAAAGCCTGAAGCAGTGAAGGTGGGGGGCTCGATTATGACCAAAAAAATAACAAGGGTTAGAGTCGACTCAGGGCTCGGAGAGAAGAGGGAAGAGGCAAGTCCTGTTCTCCAGGGCTCTGGCAGAATAAACTCCTGGAGAGGAACTTCTCCCACGGGGAGCAGGCTGCTTCTCAAAGGAGGCACAGTTCTTACACTGGGAGGGGGCCTGAGAGATCATATTTGTACATCCGCACATCCGCTTTTCTTGCAGATGGGGAAACCGAGGCCCAGAGATGGGAAGGGACTTGCCCGAAGTCACGCAGGCCAACGATCCAGGTGATTCCCCAGGCACGGGCAGCTGTAGACGGTCTCGAAGGGGAGCGAGGCCTCGGTGGGCCCTCTGTCTCCTCCCCAGCTGTAGGCAAATCCAGCCTGTTCACCAACACCCCCCTCCCCCCGCCCCCATCAAACGCACTGTCTCGTTCTCCCTTTTCCCAAGCTGGGGACTCACCAGGTTCTCTCTCTTGTCCAGGTCCTTGTGCATGTCATTCTCTCTGCCCACTCTCTACCTGCCTAGGCCCTTCTTATCCGTCAGGGAACATCTAGCCGGCCCTTCCTCTGGGAAGCCTCCTCGGCACTCCTGCCACCCTCACTTTGGTCGTCCCATTGGAGAGCTTATCCCACAGGGCCATGGTCTCCTGTTGATGTGTGTCTCCCCAACCAGACGGTGAGCCCCTGGGCTGGGGATGGACCCTGTGTCCTGTTAGACAGGTGTGCCCTCACTAAGTACCTCTTGAATGGAGGAATGAAAGGTCGCTACAATAAGTCCTGCTGAGGACGATAAGGATACTAATAAGTGCTACATGTCATTATTATGTGCCAGGCGCTGTCCTAAGCACTGGGTGTGGATGACCTCACACAAATCTCAGCATAGCTCTTTGAGATAGGTACCATTACTATCCTTATCATGATGGGAAAACTGAAGGCAAAGAAGTAGCAAATTCAAGGACAGATTGCTAGCAATCCTTCCGTGTCTCACCGATCAACGGACAGCTAGCTCTCTGTGGTAAGAAAGGGGAACAGCAGACCTGGGTTCCAGGCTTTGGTTCTGCTAGGGACTTGCTGTGTGATCTTGGCATGTCACTCTTCCTCTGTGGGCCTGTTGTTTCCCTCAACTATAAACTGAGGGGTGTGGGCAGCGGCAAAGACCCTTCCAGCTGGGCCTTAGGAGCCTGTGTGTCTAAAGCACCTACTATGGTGGGGAAGCTGAAAAGCAAACTCAAGGATGTGACGCAGATCCTATTATGGACGGTCCTGAAAACTGTCCTCAAACTGAGCTCCCTGTTGGTCATGCCTGGGTTCCTGGTACCCTGGCTCCCAGTGCCCGGCGCATGGACAGTCTCTCGTTCAATGTGGGCTGAGTTGAGTTATAACTGTGGCGTCTACGTGTACACAGGCCTGTCGTCCTTTCTCTTCCTGAGCCCGCCCACCCCTTTTTGTTCTGGTTTCTGTTTCCTACACTCCCTGCAGTAGAAAACAGCCACCACAAGGAACCTGAGGTCAGAGCATTCTGGAGTCCCCATGGTGGACACAGCCAGAGGAAGTGGACATTCTGGTCTCCCCAGGGAAACATTTTTCCAATGAGCAATGTCATTCCCTGTACAGGTCATGGAGGACAAGTTCAAGTGTCTTTCCCCTGAGTATTTCACTGTGAGGATCTTCACAAAACATGTCCCACAAATTTTATGTTCTTACCACAGAGGTGGCTGAAGAAATCAGTATTTTTGGATCCCTTCTGTCTGTTTTTTTTCCTGACTGGGGAAAAATACCTTTTATCTTTCTGGTAAAAAGCTCCCCATCTCCCTTGACCTCACTCTAAACTGAAAAGCAATGGAAACAACTCTGCAATGTTTCTGAGAGACAAAAAAATCTGAAAAGCCATTTCTTTGCCCCCGACCCTGGAACGTTTTTGAGAAGTTGTCTTATTGTGTTGTAAAGTCCAAACCCACAAAATTTTTTTTTTTTTCTTCAATGTGTAAGGTCTTTCATCCCTGACCCGCTGAATGTCTGGAGGCAGGGAGTCTGGGCCCACGGGTACAAATTTTTGTTTCCTAAGAGTGAAAGCTGAGGAAACTCAGATAGGCAGGAGCTCGGGGAAGGGAGCCAGGAGTCCCTCTGCTGATTGCTGGTCCCCTCTCTGAAAGGAAGCTCTAGGGGAAGGGTCCCTGCGACTGTGCTCACTGCTGCACCTCCATCACTTGGCTGGGGGTCTGGTGCCCAGAACAGGAGCTCAACAGTGAATGAACGATAGGTGAACCAATCAGTGACCACATGTGTGCCAAAGCTGAGTTCATGTGTGGTGGTCCCATGAAGAGGTGCAGAGGCAGGAAGGCCAGGAAGGGTCTCAGGAGATGCAATGCCCTAGGCGTCGGTCTGAAGGTCCCAGGCATCCTCGCTCCTCCAGGGAGCAGCCTGGGTCTAGCTGGGAAGCAAGTGTACAGGGCAGCAGTTTTGCTCCTGGCCTCTTCAATGTCCTCTGAGAAGGGGCTGCTGAGGACATTTCAGGTAATGGTGGCTGCTGGACGTGAGGAGAGAGCTGTTTTCTAGAGCAGGATTGAACCTGCAAATATAGATGCAACTCATCCTTGGAAGCTACCTGGCCTTCTGGGGGGTGAGTGTGGGCAGAGGGGCTATGTCCAGCCTGGACTCCCTCCCCTTCACCTCCAAGCTGGATACTCCCTGGGCTTGGGTGTGGATGCCCTCCTGGCAATGCTGGAGGAGAAGAGCAGGGCTCCCACCGCTCCAGTCACCGGCTCCCGCCATGCCGTGGATCCCGGGAGTGGTGCAGACACTCGGGGCTGGAGGACTGGCTGGCTCTTGCGGTCACCCCAGCCATGTGCTTCCCATTAGCCGCCCACACCCCGGGGAGGGGGCAGCCACAGGGCTCTCCCTCACACGTCTTGGCCCTGTGTCAGCACCGCGCCTCTGCAGTGGTTGGAGAAGGCCACAGAAGGGAAGCACCGGAAGGGGCTCTGGGGGGTGGGAGAGCTAGGATGTGAGGCTGGGGAGAGAAGGGAGAATTCTGAGCCAGAGCAGCATTTTCAGGGGAAGCAATGGAGAACCATGAGCTGTGGCGGGGAGGGAAAGGGAGTTAGGAAGGGGGAGGGGGCTGTGAGGCCAAGAGACTTGGGGAACCACAAGGGGGGAGGGGGACCGTGGGATTGGGGCGGACACAGGGAGCCTTGAAGGTGGGAGGGCGACTGTGGGGCTGGGAGAAGCATGGAGAGGAAGTCGTTGGGGTAGGGGAGGAGGGTGATGGAAGGACCATGGCGACCTGTAGGCGACAGCTCTGGAAGGTAGCAGGGGTGGTTGGCCTCTGAGAGGCATGGGCTGCAGGAAGGTTGAGGGAGAGATTCTGGGACTCAGAGCCCCTCTGACCTCTCTTACAATTACATTTCCCTCCATTCACACCCCTTTCCTAACCTTCGGTGCCCTGAAGTTAGTGTACCACCCTTCCCTGCCAGCCTGCACACCCCACGTCTGTCTTGCTCAGAGCTCTGTCCCCAGAGCTACCCCCACGCCAAGCCCATGGGAGCCACTGGGTACCTGTCTGCTGATGGAACAGACAATGGAATCTCTGCCTAGTGACCAGGGAAGTGTGTCCTCTTTACACACTGGGACACTGAGAAAATTGAAGAGGCCTCTGAGGGGACAGAATCTTGCCGACGCTTGGCCCGATGCTTTTCCCTACTGTTAGGGCCATGGGTGGGGGGTATTTGCTTAACCTCACGCCCAGAACTCCTGAGGGCCAGCTCAGAGCCCCTGGGCACAAAGGCTTAGGGGCAGCCAAGGGTGGGGATGGGGTATGTGAGGGTGGTAGGTGAGAAGCCTGTGGGGGCCGCGTGCTGTGGCCTGGGCTGCCTGTGCCCCAGCCATGGGCTAAGACACAGCTGACCATGCTGGAGGCCACACTTGGACGCCTTCCCTCTGGCGTGCCTGCTCAGGGGCCCGGACAGGCCAGGAGGACGTCCTGGTCCACCTCTCACCTCAATGATGTAGTCTCTGCCATCCTTGCTGTGGACAGCCTTGACGGCGCAGATGTCCAGGCCACCAAACATCTCTGAGCAGCTGTCCACCCACAGCCTGTACCTGCAGGGATGGAGAGACAGGCAGTGGGCATGAGGGGCAGGGAGCAGGGACGGGAAGCAGAGGGAGAGAGAGGCAGAGACAGAGGGAGGGAGAGACACAGAAGGACACATACAGAAAAACAGGTTATGGGACAGACAGTGACACACAGGCAACCATTCAGAGATGGAGAGAGACAGAGATGCAGCAAGAGAGACAGAGACCAGAGAGAGACAGAGGCCTGAGAGAGACAGAGGCAGTGGGAGAGACACAATGGGTAAAAAGGGAGGCAGAGACATAGATGGACCGTGAGAGAGAGACAGCAGGAGAGCAGCTAAAAGGGAGCCAGGAAGGCAGGAGAGAAGCAGGACTGGGGGAGAAGGAATGGGAGCTGGGAGAGATCTCAGAGACCTGAGCCCACCCCGCCTAGACCTTGACTGGCTCCCTAGTAGTGGGAAGCTTGCCTTGCCCCCATCTGGAGCCATCCTGGACACCCAGCTTCCCCTGAAGTCCTTTTCCCTTGGGAAAGCTGCTCAAAGGTCCCCAGAAATCCCTCCCAGGCTGCTCTCCCAGGCCCAGCCTGTGGGGACAAAGGGCATATTCTCCTCCTGCCTGGGGAATGCGGGCAGGGGAGCCTGGCAGGCCGCTCTCGCCTGGCCTGGGGGCCTGGTCCTCTGGACCCGCTGCTTTTTTTTCCCTTTCCAGCCACTTGATGGCTGCAAGGCCCGTTTGCTTTGCAGGGGAAGATCTCAGTGCTGGACTTTGACCCTGCAACAAGAGGATGCTTGTATCTGGAGAAGTCTTCCTGGCCTTGCACTTGGCTTCCCTCATGGTGGCTGGACTTGGAGTCACAGGGGACTTTGTGTCAAACGTTCTTGCTTCTCTCCCCACCCTCCAGGGTCACATGGGGGCACGCCTGCTCTGAGATCTATTTGTGTCTCTGAGCCATAAGGCCTGGAATGAGCTGAAGTGCTCTCAGAACCAGATCTCTCATCTCATCTGCTAATGCCCCTTGAGGCACTGAGGGTACTGCCCATGAATTTGCAGAATGGAAAGTGAATTCCAGGCCTGAGCAGACCCACTCCCATGGTAGGCTCCTGCAGAGATGGCCCATGTGGCCTGGGACTGAGCAGAGCCAGGGAGACAGTGCCCTGCTGGAGACATCTGTGAGTAGCTTGTGAGGCATTGGGGAAGGCTGGGCTCACATTCTGGAAAGGCCATGAAGAAAAGGGCCAAGACTGTCCTGTGAATGCCCACTGGGGCAAGGATGTGACTCCCCCAAACCAGGTGGTTCAGTTGTGCCAGGTGATGAGCACAACTCCCCTGAGACTACTTAGCATTTGTGGGTACCCACCTGGAAGGTAGTAGCTGCCACCTGGGGTTGACTGGAAGGGAAGGAAGCCAACATTTACAGTGTCCCTCCCTGCCATAGGCCAGCACTGGGTTAGGTACTGAACATCCCTCTCTCATTCAGCCCTGTGGCTTGGGTATGTTAACTCCAATTTACAACTGAAGAAGTTCAGAAAGGGTAGTTAACTTACCCTACGTAATACAGCTTGGAAGGGGCAGGACCACTCACTTTCGTTCATGCCACTTCCTCAGCTTAGAGCCCTGAACCAGCAATTCCATGAGGACAGTGACTGTGTTATATCCCTCCCCTAAGTCTCACTCAGTCATCGCTACTGTAGCAGGGTGGTCCCACTCCAATCTCTAGGGGCAGAGATGTGACATAGGCCTATATAATCACAGCATTGCTGCTTTCTGGACCATGGTGATTGGTTCGGGGATGGTCATATGATCTAAGTCAGGCCAATCTGTGAATAAGGCTCTATTCCAGGCTTTGACTGCAATGGTTGGGAAAGACACCTTCTTTCTGCTGGACTTGACACTGTCAAGATATAAGCCTGGAGTCATTATGGGCCACCATATGAATGACCAGAATGAAACCAACATAGAAGCCAACATATTCTATCCAACTTAAGGGGGTAGAATAAGTTCTAAAGTCCTACCTGGAGCTGTACCTCTGGAGTTTTCATTGCCACAAGCCAATAAATCCCCCCTTTGGTTCAAACCAATCTAATTTGTGTTCTGACACTTGCAACTGATACAGAGTTCTTAAAAGGAAGGATTGGGTCTTTTCATCTTGGCCTCTTTAGTGCTCAACATACATGGCATGCAGTAGGCACTCAATACATGTTCACTGAACAGGGCTTTCTGACCCCAAAGCCCATGCTTTGTCCATTGTCATTGAATGCTTGCAAGCAGAAGTCACTGGGCAATCAAAAAAGGATGTGTGTATGCTGCTGGCCCCAAGAGCAGGCGACAGGTCCTTCTTCAGGTGAGGATGGCTTACAGGTGTTGTTTAAATAAGGGAGAAAGACCTGAGCGACTTTCAGCCAGAGTGCATCCCTGCCACATTCATGATTCATAGGAAATCAACCTCTCCCTCTCATATTGATATAGGAATAAGTCTGAGAGAGGAGTGGACAGTCCAGTAGCCCTGTTGCCCTAATAGGGATGCTTCCATGCAGCTGTCAGAGCAGGGAAAGACTGGTGAGGACTTCCTGCTCTCTTCCTACAGCAGCTGGGTAGGGCCGGAAAGACCCCTGGACTTGGAGTCAAGATAGTAGGGTTCTACTTTCAGCTCTGTCACTGATTAGCTCTGTGACCTTGGACAAGTCACTTTCCCCCTCTGAACTTTCTGCCCTATCTGTAAAATGGGGTTATTTATAAAACCTTCCCTGCAGGCTGTTATGGGCAGTAATGGAGATCATGCCTAGGAAAGTACTCTGTGGGTGGAGAGACACTGGCCAAAGTGTGAGATGGCATTCATTACAGGATCCTTATTATATCCCTATCTATCTCCCACTATGGCTGGTGCCTCTCCCTGAACACCTCCTTTGCCTCTTACCTCTCTGTCATGGCCACCTGCTCCAGCATAGCAGAGCCTGTGTTGGCCTTCCAGTTTCCAGAGATGGAGGTTCTCCTGTATCACAACAAATAACACAGTGAGGGCATTAGGGATGCTTGTCATTGATCTGCTTTCCTTTTTTGCTTTGGCTGTTTGGCGGCTCTGATTCAAATATCTGGCTTACATTCTGACATGTAGTCTTAGGTACGCATCCAGTCTTCAGATTTATTTTTCTGTTTTTATTTCCCTCTATGTTGACTGTCTTACTTGTTGGGTCTTATGTATCTTTTCCCAATCCACCTTTGAAATATAAAAGTTAAATTTAACAAATGCCTACACTATCAGATTAAATCCTGAGAACTTTGGCCTCCTGTTTTTCAGAAGAAGAACTAGGGCAGTATAGCCTCCGGTGACTCTGGAATCTTTTTTGAGAGCCCCAAAATGTAGGAAAAATGATCCATGGAGAGAAGTGATTACTTTCCATGGTGAAGAGCAGGCAGGCCTTCTGGCTCTGCCTGCCTCACCCTCTTAGTTCCCTTGCCCTTTCTCCAAAGCCCATGGATATTTCCTGTGTGTAGGCCTCCACACACCTTTTTCCTTTGCCGGATCCAGTCTTCATCTCCATCTTTGCCTCCCTAAGTCCTACTCATCCTTCAAGTTTCATCTGAAAATGTGACTTCCTGAGAGTACATCTTCCCCAATAAGAACCCCCTATACTACACCCTATACCAATGTTTAGTAATGCTCATCTCACTTGCAATGACTACTTTAGTGTGCTGTCTTTCCTGAGGGCAGGGAACATGTTTTGACTCATCCCTCTGTACCTCTAGTGTCCAGTGGTCCCTGGCATGTAGTAGGTGTCCAGTAACTACCTACTAGGTAAGAGACTGTGTATGTTGAAGAGCAATCCAGACAAACTATCTCTAATGGCATATCTGGATTCAGCAAAGACTGAATGGCTTTAGGCAAAGTGGCAGAGGTAAAGCAATTTGTTTCATGACCAAGGGAAGGCATGTGATTGAGGTTTAAGGGTGAACCAGGAGAGGAATTGCTATAAAATGTCTTTCTAAAAGAGAAAATAAAATGTATCTGAGCGCAGCAGATGCTGAGAATAGATGGTGGCCAATAGGAGACATAATGACTAAGGGTAGCAGTGACATTGATAAGCTTCATGTCAATTAAGTTTAGTTCATCTCAATGCAATTCAATTCAATTTGGCAAACAGTCACCAGGCCTCCCTATGTCCTGGGTACAGGACTAATCTGAGTGTGAAGACATGACTCCTTCCTCAAGCTGCTCACTACCTTAAAGGGGTAGACCAGCCTAAAACCAGAACATAGGCGTGGTAGGGTTAGCAGTACACATGAGGCATGAAGCACTCCGGGGAAGCAAAGGAGAAACCAGTCACTTAACATGAACCCCAGAAGGTAGCGATTGAGATGTGCCTGGGAGGGTGAGTAGGATTCAATAGAGTGGGATCTGCACGGTAACAAGGGAAGGTAAGAACTGACTTGAGTCAGATGGATGCGAGTTTGAATCTTGGTTCTAGCATTTTCTAGCTGTATAACCATGGACAACATCTCTGGCTCTATTTTCTCATTGGTAAATGGGAATAATTTTAGTACCATGCTTATAGGGCATTGTGTGGATTAAAGGAAAGATTCCCATAAACCTCTTAGTACAATGGGTGCTACTATTACTTTTCAGTAAGTGTAGACAAGAAAAAAAAAGCATTCTAATGCCAGAAGCCGCAGGAGCACAAGCCAGACTGGTCTCCTTCCAAGAAGATAACGATAGTGAGAGCTGATATTTAGTGAGTGCTTTCTATGTCTGAGACATGGGTCTAAAAGCTTTATAAGCACTGGCTTATTTCAGCCTCACAAAAACTAATGAGATGGATATTATTATTATTATCATTCCCACTGAGTGGCAGAAGCCACCAAACCATATCTGAGAAACTCTGTGCTCTTAACCATGACTCTTCATGGCAGAGCCCATCACAGGTTTGGGGAAAAGAGTTGATTGGCCCAAATGTGATGCAGCTGCTAGAATGTAGGATGGGATGTAGACTGTGACAACAGAATCTATGTTTACGACACATGTATGAAGCTGACCCCCTTGATGAAGGGGCGGGGGTGAGTGGAAAGGTGCTGCCTAAGTAACTTTGGAAATTAGTGGAGGCTGTATGACTAAGTACAAAAGAAACTGTATGTAAGTCCTGTACCATAGTTGGTGAAGTTGTTTCTCATGGGACTACGGCTTGACATTTCTGCAACTGTACACATATACTGTGGATGAACAAAGAAGTACATGGATGGGGGATGGTGGGAGCCAGGTTTCTTCCCAGTTGGAGTGGGAAGTTACAGATAAGCAATCTGGGAAGGCTAAAATGAATCATGTGGTACTGGATGGAAGTCTGACACATCACTGTGAACTCTGTTTAGCTTTAGCTATAGATGGATATATGCGTGTGTGTGTGTATGTGTGTGTGTGTGTGTGTGTGTGTGTGTGTCACACAACTGTAAATTACAGTTAAAGACGTGTGTATGCACGGGTTGAGATACACATATTTATTTCCCAGCTCTGTCTGCTGAGAGGATTTAGAAACAATGACACCCAGTGGCAACACGCACAAAGGCCCAAGTACTGGGCAGGAAGTGGGCCAGAAAGGACGCTGAATGGTCATGGGCAGAGAGGGCGTTCTACACCGAGGTGTGACATGAACACTCTCCCTCGGATGTGGGCCAACCCAGGGTCCAGGAAACACCATAACTAAAGACAAATTGGAGCTGTCAGGGCAGAAAGGCTCAGCATAAAGAATGCAGCAATGAGGTAATCCTCAAGAAGAGAAACTGGGACAAGGTGTTGTCAATGTCAAGTGGAAACGCTAACAATGAGGAGAGGAGGGAAATGATATCATGTGGGATGGTGGAGGCCTCAGGAATGCACTGGACCATGCACTGGAATATTCTCCAACTCAGAGAGGTTGGGGGTGGCAGGGGGAGGTGACCTTATCACCTTGAGGGCATCTGAGAGCAGTGACAGGTCTGGCCTGGCTCACGGGTGGAAGAGAGCGATTGGCAAGACTGACCAGAAGTATCTCTTGGCCCCATCCCTTTCCTGGGCATATTTCCTTATAGGTCAACTGACTGCATTTTCTCCAGTTTCCCAGGCAATGGCAGAGTGGAGTGGTTGCAACAGAGACTGTGTGACTTGCAAAGCCTAAAATTACCATCTGGTCATTTACAGAAAAAGTTTGTAGACCCCCGGTCTAGGCAATCCAGGTAGTGCAAAAGCAACCTTAGATAATACAGAAGTGGATATGTATGGCTGTGATCAATAATACCTTATTTACTGAGACAGGTGGAAGCTGGATTTGGCCTGTGGGCTGTGGTTTGCTGACCCTGATCTAGAGCACAGCTCCACCACACAGAGGCAAAGGGCTTTCTAACTGTCCAGAGTCAGCTGTTGTGGTCCTCAAAGATGGAACCAGGCAATCAGTGTGCCATGCATGCTTGGAAACCAGGCACCTGTTGCCTCTCTGGGGTCTCATCATTCCAAGTGGAAACAACAATACTCCAAAGTGAGACAGAGAGGACCTGGGGCAGATAAGACCTCTCTAAACACCAAGCCCTCCACCTGGTCAAGAACTCCCGCTCATCCTTGTAACCGCAGCTCCAGAGTGAGTCATCCTTTGCCTGAACCACCCCTGGGATGAATGTGTGTTGGATTTGCTGGCATTCATCCCTTTTCTTTTAGTCACACAACCTCTATTTCCACTGGATAATGACCTGCCCATGTTGCATGCTATCTTGGTGGGACTCTTCATACTGCTCTACATTCCTCTAACTAATAAGCATGTGACCACAGTTGGATTAATCAGCACTGTTTCCACGGAATCACAATCTTGAGTTAAGCCCTGAACATGATTAGGGCAGATTCACTTCCTAATGGGGTGCCACGAAGACTGTATATTACTTCTGGCTACCCAGCTTCCTGCGGCTGCCCTGGACCCTAATATGTCTGAAATTGATAATTTGGGGTTTTGTTAGTTAGTTCTGATCATTCATCTAATAAATTCCCTTAAAAAAAACTCCACCAAATTAGTCAGGTATGGTTTTTACTAATTGCACCTGAAGAAATCTGATGTAATCTCCTTCCTGCTCTTATTTGTCCCAGAGAAACCCTTTTGCAGACCACAGCCCCAGAGCCATCTTCTTACAAATACAGGTCAGATCATGACACTTCACTGCTCAGAAGGGAAGAGAAGAAAATTCACAACCCTCAGCAAGGCATTCAAGGCCTTCCTTGATTTGTCCCTGAGCCTCTCTTCCATGTATGTCTCCTATGACATGCATCAGGTATATACTTGGAAGCATGCCAACACTCTTTCTTTCTGTGGGGGAAACAGGCTTCACTTGGGTAGACAGATTTCTACCCTGGGTAAGCCATGATGGAGCATCAGCCTTCCGCTGTACTAACCAGAGAAGAAGGGTGGTAAAGGAGACAGAAAGGGAGAATAATGATGTCCCTATGGGGTCTCTGCTCTGGGGCAGAGAAGACAGGGCACGACATGTATTTTTAATCTCCGTTCTTCTCACACTCTGCTCCTACCCTTCCTCCCAGCTCCCCAGCCCCTGCCCAGGGACTCACATGTAAGCTTTGTAGTTGGATCCAATTTTCTGGATGCGGATGTCGTACTTGGAGTCGATGAAGGCCTCGGTGGTGGCGTAGGTTTTGGCCATAGCCACCATGCTGGTGATGTCCTGGTAGTCATGCTGGTTTTCTACTTTGATCTGTGTGGGAGGATGAGGGGTTGAGTACCCACCCACCCACCCACCCAGCGATCACTGGGCACCTACCCAGTGCTGGGACCCAGGGCTGCACCGTATACAGTAACCTTGAGAAGGTCGCCTGCCTGGCAGGGGAGGCAGACCTAGAAAACAAGTCACCCCACCACTTCCTGTGGAAGAGAAAGGCAGCATTCCACCTGGGGAGTCAAGGGAATCTTTATAGAAGGGGTGGGCTCTGAACAGGGTTTGGAAGAATGAACGCGATTCTCACATGGACTATGGAGCAGGTGCGTTCTCTGGAGAGGATGGAGGATGGACAAGGCAGAGGCAGGAGGAGCCCGTAGGGAGGGGGGATGGGCCAGCAGTTTGGACTGGCCAAGGGGGCAGGAGGGTGGGGGGATGCCTGAAGAGGGTCTTCAGGGAATAGACCATGGAGGGCCTCAACAGCTTTGGTAGGGGCTAGGATGCTAGCCTGAAGACTCTGCAAAGCCACTTGACGGAGAAGAGTTTAAACAAGAAAGTAGCCTAATTTGTGTTTTAGAAAAATCACTCAAGCAGCTGTGTAGAGGGTTGGATGGAGGGGTGTGATGTGGGGTAGAGAGAGACCAGTTAGGAAGAAGAGAGTATGTATGTGTGTATGTGCATGTGGTGTGCATGGGCAGGGTGTGTGCATGGGGCTCGTGCGTGGAGGACGTGCGTGTGGGGCGTGTGGGGTGTGTGGGTGGAATGTATATTTTGTGATGTTTATGTGTGGTGTTTGCATGTGCGTCGTGTGGGGTGTGCGGTGTTGTGTGTGCAGTCCGTGTGTGCGTGTGTGTGTGTGGGAGTGTGCACGCACTGGGCGTGGCTAGCTCTGCTAGTCCAAAGGCCTGGGGGAGAAACTCGCTCACACTGTTTACTGGGCCGAGGCCAGGAGCACGCGGTGGTGTCCTGGGGTCAAGGGGAGGTCTTAGGAGAGCTTCCAAGGCCAAGTGCAGGGGAGGAGGCCAAGGCTTTGTGACCGCGATCTCAGGACATAACAGAGGCTGACTCCCAGCACCTGTGGACAGCTGGGTGGTTGCTCCCTCCCCTGTCGTCCTCACTCGGACAGCAGAGGGGTTCTGAAGCTGGGCCAGCAGTGGGCAGAGGCCAGATCCACTGGGGGGCTGGGTGGGTGCTGAGTAGCCTGGGTGGCGCGTGGTCCTGGCCTTACAGCCTCTTCTAGTCCTTTTCTGCCCACCCTTCAGGCTCAGCAGTGCCCTGACCACTCCCTCCCTCCATGATGATGCCCATCCACGTCTGCCCCAACTTCACAACTTACATGGCATCTTCACAACCCTCCTCTGGGACCCAAAACAGGATTGTGAGGCAGGCAGGGTGGCCATTATTATGGCCACTTAACATGGGGAAAGGGAGATTTTTCTCCTTGTCCAAGGCCATATAGCAGCTAAGCACAGAGCTGGGAATGAAACTCAGGACTCCCAAAGCACAGCTGTTGTTGGAACAATCTCAGGGTATCTACAAGTGCATGCCTGCGGTCCCACCCCACAGATCGTAAACAGCGAGGGGGAGGGAGGCTTGGCAAACCTTCTCTCTTCTTGGCTCTTCGTGCAACCCAGCCTCAGTGGCAGGCTGCCTCCTCCCACCGGAGGCCGAAGCTACCCTTTGTTCTAGGTCCTCTAAGGCTCTGACTGCCTGCTGTTCCCTCCTCCCTCAGTAATAGGACCCTTAAGTTTTACCTGGGCATCTGGTCTCTCAGCTAAAGATTATTCTGTTCCAGTCTCCTTACAGGTAGATGTGGTCAAGTCTCTAAGTCTGGCCAGTGAAACTGTGAGTAGATGTGATGCGAGCAGCCTCTGGGGGGTGCCTTTAAGATGAAAGGAACCCTCCCTTTCCTTCTCCCTTCTCCTGACTGGGATGTTTACATGATGGTGGGAGCTGGGGCAGCCTTCTTGGACCACAAGATGGAAGCTGCATGTTGAAGATGGCTGACTAATAAGGTGGAAGGAACCTGGATTTCCAACACCATGGAGTCCCCAGTCAGCCCTGGATTGTGTATGCTCAGACTCCTACATGAGAGCAAAGTAAACCTTAATCTCGTTTAAGCTACGGTTATTTTGGTCTTTGTTAAAGCAGCCAAACTATATTTCTGCCATGTATTTTTCATCTCTTGCCCTTTATTGATTCTTTATCCTTTGGATGAACACGATCATGGATCCACTAATCTCAAATTGTTCCTGCTTTTCAATACCTCAGTTACCACTGCTCTCTCTGTCTCTACATCCTCATTTCCCACTCACTCCTAAACCAGCTCTCTCTGGATGTCATTCCCCACCACTCCACCGAAACTGATTTGGCAAAGGTCACCTTCGACCTCCTCATCGGCAAATACAATAGAGCTCCCTTTGCTCCCTATCCTGCCTTGGCATTCTATGGTATCTGAAGCCACTGAACTTATCGAAATTTGGTTTTCATGCCACTATTTTCTTCCCTTTTTTTCCTGGCAACTTCTTCAAAGTCTATATTGCTTCCTCTTCCTTCAACAGCCCCTTGAAGGTGCTTGAAATACAATATAGGTGCGTGAAATACAACAATCCAGCTCATTTCCTGGTACGACAATGAATTTGGCTACAGCAACAGGGTGGTGGACCATGGCAACTTCTTCAAAGTCTATATTGCTTCCTCTTCCTTCAACTGCCCCTTGGGTGGTCATAATGTTTCATTCTCAGCCAACATTTGGGATCCGGTAAAGAGAGAGTCAACGAAATGAAAGAATGGGGATGAGAGCTTGCAGGGACAGCTTGTCTAATTCATTTTTGTCACTGGGTGGATCTGGAAAGGACCAGAGCCACTTCTGGTTTCCTAGTCAGAACAGCATACACTGCAGGCTGTCTCAGAGATTTCCGGTTGTCCACAACATCCATTCTCTTCTTCTATAGCAGTGAAGCACCTTGGTCTGGGGCTGCATGACCATCCAGAATAAATATTACACCTCCCCATCTCCCTGGCACCTGTGTGTAGTCATGTGATCATGGTTGTGCGATCACGTTTTGGTCAATGAGATGTGAGCAGAAGTGGGGCCTGAACTTCCAGGTCTGCCTTATAAGGGAAGTTTGTGTGGGGGGATGCTTTTCACTTCCTCCTTTCCTCGTCCTGCTAGCTGCAGTGGGCTCCATTGAAGACCTTGTGTCTGAAGGGCAACACCCCAGGAAGGAATGATCAACAGGATGGAAGGAGCCTGTTAGGTGAGAGAGAAGGTCCTAGCTTGTTTAAGCCACCTTAGGTCTTTGTAACAGCAGCCGAACTTCATCCTTAAGTAAATATTTGCTGAATGCATCATGCATGCATTCATTTATTCACAGGATAGACAAAAGAGAGCAAAGAGAGAAAGTATAGATGTAGAGGTTTAATTATTAATGAATTAGTGGTCATCCCAACCTCCCTTTGTGAGCCCTTCTCTCCTAGAGTAGTCGGGTTGTTTGGGGTGGGGAGCTCATCCTGCCCTCTTCAGGACTGAGCAGGTAACCCAGGTTTCTCATACATGGGCTAGTAATTTTGTTCTCAAATTGTGTGATGTCTGAGCCCCATAAAACCCGGCTCTCCCACTGGCTCCACACATGTCTGTCTCCCCATTAGACTGTGAGCTTCCTAAGGACAGACAACATGTCTCGGTCCCAGTTGTAACACCAGTGCCTGGCATGTTGCAGATCCTCCAGATGTGTTTGCTGGATTGATTTTAAGAAGCCTGGATAAAGATCTGCTTGTAACTTGGGAGGAGGCAAGCGGATGGAAGGAAAAATAAGGGTGCTTGGAAAAAGGCAAAGAAAATGTGTTTCAGGGAAACATGTTTTATAAGATGAATTTTTCTGTAAATGCTCAGGCTGGATTCCACACTCAGAGGTTTACCGCTTCCTAGTGTAGCGCCAGTGGTGCAATCAGTTAGCGTGAGCCCAGTACTTGTAAGAGGTTTACAGCTTCCATTGTGAGCCTTGAGAACCTGGTGAAGTCAGGGACCCTGGAGAATGGAGCGGGTGGCCTGGTGGGTGGTGTTGGAGGGGACTCTGGGTGGGTGCTCAGGCCATAAAGGGAGGTGGGGTGAGGAGCTATTGAGGATGGCTAGCCATGGGGAGGGTGGAACGGCTGCTGGCCCGGGGAGGGAGTTACTAGCTGGAAACCCCTCCAACTGTTCATAGAGACAAGCTGAAAACAGGAAGCTTGAAATGAGCTGTCATTCAAGATTACCCATTTCCTGCTCTGGGGACCCGTGCCGGGGTGCCACACGAGCTCCTTGACTCTGAAGTCTCACACTCTCACGCTACCTCCCTGTCCCCTCTACGCCCCCTGTCTCTTCTCTCCTCCTTCCTCGCCCTCCCTCCCTCTCCTCCTCCTGGGCCCCATCCTTCTTCTCTCCCACATCCACTGCCTTCTCCCATTCTTCTCCTCTTACTTTTAGTATCATTTTCCTCCTCTTTGTCCCGTTCCCTCTGTGTTTTCCTTTGTCACCTCTTACTTCTCCCGTCTTTCTCCATCTCTCCTTTTCCCCTACTTCTCTACCTCCCTCCGCTTTCCCTGACCCCTTCTCAGTGCCTGTCTCCTTCTTCCTGCTTCCCTTCCATGCCACCCTCACCCTGCCCCCCATCTCTCCTACCCCCTTTCCCTCACTGTTTCCCTGTTCAGTTTCTCACACTTTCCTCCTCTCCAGCTTTGTGAACTGCTTTACCTCCCCGGTGTGAGTGAGTGGGTGAGTGTGTGTGTGAGTGTGTGCGTGCACACCTGTGCTCCATCAGCAGGGTGAGCGAGGAGGGAGCGTGAAAACCAAGGGAGAGGAACTGGAGAGAGGAGTCAGGGGACAATTCTGAATCTCCTCAGTGGGATTCATCTCAGAGGTCTCCTACTCCAAATCCCAGCTGGGACGGGCAAGTCATCTTCTACAGCCTCGGAAGACTGTGCACTATTTGCTTGAACACCTCTAATAACAGGGAGCTCACTACTGGGCAAGGCGGCTCATACCATCTTAGGGAACTTGTTCTACTGTATATTAGACCAAGAGTGAGCGAATGCTTCCAGTGGTTGATCATACAGGGTACATCTCGGCGCTCTGCCTTGTGTCTGCTTTTCATCCACTGGATGAGAGCCACTCAGCTGTGCCTAAGTCACTCTTTTCTTTAACCCATCCCAATGTGAGCTGGTTCCAGACCCTTTACTACCTTAAATGCTCCCCTTTGATACTCTCTTAAACACCATGTGGTGTCCAAAATTACACACATACTCCAGATGTGGTCCTACCAGCTGAGATTGGATAAGACCGTAACCTCACTCTATCTGGAACACATCTGGCCTAATCCTGCCTCAGGGCCTTTGCACTTGCTGTTCCTTGCTTGCATGGCTCACAGCCTCACTTCATTCAGGTCTCTCCTCCAGCCTCACCTTCTCAGAGCTGCCTTCTCTGACCACCATGTGTGAGGTTACTCCTCCCACCCAGCACCCCTCATTCACATTACCCTGCTTAATTTTTCTCCATAGCATTTCCACCACCACTTCCTTATCTATTTATTTGTTTGTTGTCCTTCTTCCCTACCATTCCACTGGGATATAAGCTCTGCAGGAGCACTGTTGTATTTCAAGCACCTAGAACAGCAGGGAAAAATAGGCGCTCAGTAAATTTGTTTTATGATCGAATAAATATATGTAAGTATTTACAAATATGTATTGAGTGCCCATTATATTCAGAGACTAACCGATCACTTTTCCAGGTACTATGCTGGGGCTGGGGGTGCAACAGAGAACAAGGTTTATGATTCTCATCCACATGGAGCTTTGTGCCTATTAATTATCTTGCTCCTACTAACGTAGCTAAATAAAATATTAGCATTTCTAAGGTCCGTGTGGAGCTTGTTCTAAGCTAATGTCTCTAGATCATTTTTAAACACAAGATCCTGAGAATCCACATCTCTCCAAGCTTGGACTTGAGTGGTTTTAATCCCTGAGTAGGACTTTATGTCTACCTTTTCCAGTCTTGGTTGGAATCCAATATTGATTCTGTCGTCTGACCTGTTAACTCTCCCTCTAGCTCTATGTCATTCAAGATTTTGGTACACTCTTCCTATACATGTAATCCAGCTCTTTGATCTTACCTAAGTTACTTCTCTGAGCTTTAGTTTCCTTACCTATTAAAGGTGATTATAACAATTACCTTGCAGGATTATTATGATTTTTAAATGGAATTGTAATGAATGTCAAAGGACCTACCTAGCATAGCGCCTGGCACCTAGTAGGTGCTCAACCAAAGTTGTTTATCTTTAATTAGATAGTTGTTGAGATTCTTTGCTGACCTTGAACCATCAATCAATGCTTTTTTTTTTTACAGTTATTTATGCAATTATTCATCCAGTGCCAAAGCTATCTCCTGTATAGTCATCCAAACTGATGAGGAAAAGTTCTTCTTTTTAGATGAGTGCCAGCTAATAAATGCAGAATAAGTAAGAGACTGAGAATGTCAGCCTTCTGCAACAATTATGTTACTGCAACAACAGATCTAGGCAACAATGCTCAATGCCAAAGACCATTGGGAAAGACTGGTGGAGAACTCCCTAATGCGTATATCAGGCAGACAACACCTGAACTCACAGATCAGTCTTAAATCCTAAAAGAGAGATAGTCAGACATGATTACATCTACAGATATGCAAGAGAAACACTCACTACCACCTATGAAATATTCTTGCCAAAACCTAGAACTTGAATCAGACCAAGTCTCTATATTCATCCACCAGGTTATAAGAAATGCAGACACTGGAAGAGCACCACAGAGCTGTAATCAGCTGAATTCAGAAGGTAGGAAATTCTGCAGGAAAATGACCTTTTCTCCCCCCTTCCAACAAATAAATGACAAGAAAAACAAAACCGAACGAAGGGAACTGCTGCAGATCAAAAGAGACTTCCATCATTCCAACCGTGCGAAATGTGAAGGCTTTATTTGGATACAATGAAAGAAAATCAATTAACATAGAACTATTGAATACTGACTATTTACTAGATATTAAAGAATTATTACCAAAGTTTTAGGTGTAAAAATAGTATTTGGCTATGTTAAAAAAGAAGTCCTTACGTATTAGAAATTCATACTGAAGTATTTTTAAAAAAATATTTGTTTATTTATTTATTTGGCTGCATCAGGTCTTAGTTGCGGCATGTGGGCTCCTCGCGGTGTGTGGGCCTCTCTCTAGTTGTGGTGCACAGGCTCTAGAGTGCGTGGGCTCAGTAGTTGTGGCGCACGGGCTTAGTTGCCCCACAGTACGTGGGATCTTAGTTCCCTGATCAGGGATTGAACCCGCGTTCCCTGCATTGGAAGGCGGATTCTTAACCACTGGACCACCAGGGATGTCCCCATACTGAAATATTTACAGAGGAAAGGATGTGATATATGGGATTTGCTTTAGTATAAGCTGGTGATCCACAGAGACAGAAAGTAGATGCATAGTTGCCAGGAGCTGAGGTAAAAGGGGAATGGGGAGTGACTGCTAAAGGATATGGGGTGAGGAAAATGCCTTGGAATTATACAGTGGTGATGGTTCCTCCTTGAGGAAGCCACTGAATTGTATTTTAGAAGACAAATTAGTCACGTGAGCCAATTCCTTAAAATAAATCTATCTATGTATGTATACACTTCTTATGGCTTCTGTTTCTTTGGACAACCCTGACGAATGCACTGTCTCAACTAGAGCTGCAGCAAGAAGACAAAGATGCCACCTCCCAAAGTGATCTGTGACAGAGACCACTATGGCCAAGAACTGGTAGATTCACCCATGTTGATATTACAAGGCTGGGTTGCTAGAGATTAGAGATTCTGAGACGGTGATTTCTTAGGAAAGTTTATGCCAGCCTACCACTCCTCCCTTGTGCTACGTCTGGTAGGAGCTTCAGCGGGACGCCCAGCAAGACTGATATGTGTCTGGTGCTGAATCCTTCCCAGGCCATCTGCAGGTAAGCATCCTGCCTTTGGTTTATCCAGGCTAAGGATGTACGTGCTTCCTGTGGCCACAGGTGGGTTGTGTGGAGAGAGAACAGCGCCTGAAGGAGAGCGGCATCTCCACTGCCACCACCGTGGTGCAGGCCACATCATCCCTCTTTGGACTGCTGCAATCATCTCTTTTAAAATTCCTCTTGCCTAAGCCAAACCTCAGACTGATTTCCTCAGGCTCTCTGGGTGTGGGCCAAGTCATCAGTATTTCTGGAAGCTTCCCAGGCAAATGCGTGCAGCCCAGGTTGAAAAGCTTATATGATCTGGTTCCTGGTCATCCCTCTTTTGCACTCAGCCAAGCTTGTCCCTGACTTACTGCTTTTGTACTTGCTATTCCCACTGGTGGAATACTTTTCCTGAATACTTTCCCATGGCTGGTTTCTTCAGGTCTCAGCCCAGACGACCCCTCAGAGGCTTTTCCAACTACCTGATAGCAAGTAGCTACTCCTTCCTGGGAAGTCTGTACTGAATTATCACTATTTTTTCTTACCATCTTTGACTATCTGAAATTACTTATTTGCTAATGTGCTATTGTCTCTCTCCTCTATTAAAATGTAAGCCAAGTAAAACCAGAGCCTCCTGTGTCTTGCTAGGAGACAATATAACAGAGTGTTGAAGAGTGCAAGCTCAGATCCCAGCTCCATCACTTATTAGCTGCATGACCTTGGGGAATTTACTTAGCTTCTCTGTGTCTCACTTTCCTTATCAGCAAAATGTGGGTAACGTGTTTTTTTTTTTGAATGCAAGCTTTTCTTTTATTATAACTCTAAATAAAAGTCATACTTCTAAAATAAGCTACAAATTGCCTTTTTTTGTGAAACTGATGTGACTTGGTGCCACAGCTAACCTTTCTCTCATAGTAGCAGTATCATCAGCCCGTGGCAGCAAGGAAATGTTCATTTCTGGCATCCCATGGGCTCCCGCACAAGCAACTTCATAAAGCATGCAGATACTACTCTGCTGAAGTTTCAAATGAATAGAAATGATCATTGTGCTTATGGGTCTCATACCTTCCAAAATATACATAAATGGTGACAAGTTAAAATAGCAGTTCTTTGCTTACCAATAAAATCATAAGGCAGAGGGGTTGGAGCTGGAAAGAGAAATTGTTAAAAATGCGGGAAAAAATGCAAAACGGTGCTAGCATTCACAAAAAAGATCATGCTAAAATCAGATCCATATTGATAAAAATCAATCATTAAGCCACAATCCAAAGAACTCTGTCCACGAGTCCAAAGGCATGCATGCCAGCTAAAGGAAGTGCAGGATTCTTCAGAGCAGAACAGTAACGTGTCACTGGAGTAATCACAACAGGGTGAACAAGACGCCATCACGTGGAGTAGGGGTCTGGGGCTATCCGGCCTTCGTGTCCACGAGCTGCATCTGCACGTTGGCAGCCATGCCACCCCCGTAGCCTCCCTTGGACTGCATCTGGTTCTGAATGGAGCTAACGGAATTCATCCCACTGAACACAGGTCTCCTGACCCAACGTGAGCCGTGTGCACAAAGTTTGTGGGCTCTCCAATCATACCTCGGTCAATCCGCCGGCGCCTTTTAGGTTGAGGCTGTTCTGCAATACAGCAGTTGAAACACAACCAGAATTCACTCATGCTTACAGTCCAAGTTATAAATGAGCACCAGTGAAGTTTCCAAATCTCAACTCAGGAAGCTTCACAAAGCAGGCTTCTCAATATATGTCCAACGATGCCAAAATAATAACTTTATTACTTCTCTGTGTTTTTGTTCCTGGAAGTCAAGTATCTTATATAGTCAATCTAACAAAGAAAAGGTCAGATTGTTTCCTTTCTTTGCTTCTGATTCTACAGAGACTAGTTTCTGAACCACCAGGAAAGGTATAAAAATTGTTGTCTTGACTCAGGACCTTAACAGGTAGTCACTCACTCCTTGTCAGTAGAGCTATCTCTGGGTTGAGAACATTCCATAATGTGCATACAGATGACTGTAGACTCACTGTCAGTATAAGTTGTTCCTTGAAGGTTTCTTCTCATTTGGGTTCGAGGTTTTACTCAAAAATCCACACACTCACAACTGGCCCTATCGTAGCCTTTGTCTCCACTGCTCTCGCTCTGGCCACAGCCGCTCTCGGGCAGGCTCCGCCGCTGCTGTCCCCCCACGCCCGCAGCTGCGCTCCCCAGCGCGCTCGCCGCTCAGTAACTTGTTAATATGAAGAAACTGCTCCTGATCAAATGTGGATGACTTGGATTGTTGTTGAGCATTAAATGAGATACATGTAAATAGTGTAGAAGAACTCTTTGTTCATTACAGGCATTCAATAAATGTTAACTATTATTATCGTTCCTTTTTATACCCTTGACACCCAGCATAGTGTTTGGCACACAGCAGATGCTCAATAAATATTTGCTGAAAGAATAAATGAAGGGGCCAGTCATGGGAATAGCTTGGTAAAGAGAATCTAGGCAAAGGGAAAAGGAGGTGCAGTGGCCCTTGGGCTGATGCTCCTGGTGGAAAAGAGACTCACTCACAAGCATTAGCAGAAAACTGAGCCTTGACATCGTTTTGTGGAAGCTGAGGGCTAACAGGGATTCATGCTTGAGGAAGGGCAATCCCACTTCCTCTTAAAGGTGAACACTGGGAACGGGGTCAAGATCCTTCCTAGGAGAAGGTTTGGAATTCAACTTGATAGACTTGAGCAATTGAAGTCCATCGCCCTATTTCAATAGCCTAGAAAACATTTCGGGCAAGTGTGACCGGCGGCTCACTCCAGCCACATCCATCTCCCTCAAGTTCCCATAGAAGGCCCACTTTGGAGCATGCTCCATCTGGTGTGATGGCTGGGACAAGCTTGTTTTTTTCAAAGCTAACTATTTGAGGCAATTTACTGAACCAGGTTATTTACGAATAAGCTAAAAGCTAAGAGGGGATCTACCAAAAATAATAACTGTAGCTTCAGAACACTTGCTCTGTGGTCTCCTTCTGGCAATGATTAGCTGGTCGAGCCAGCTGGATATTCAGGCCACTCCTAGTTCGAGATAATAAAACCGTAACTCTGGCTCACAAATGGATGCTTGTTTTTCTGTTTTTATAACAGGAAGGCGTTCTTCCAGCTCATTACAAAGTGGTCTATGCTCGTTAAGAGGCTAATTAGATGGAGTGAGGGGGAAGAGCTAAATCTCAGTTTTCCCTCCCAGTAAATGTTTTCCAGTCTTGCCGCACCTAGACTCTCAAGGCAGGACTAAGCGTAGGTTCTGTGCTTACGTCATTAACGTCAGGCCATGCTTACAGAGCTTAGCTCAGAATCGTTCCTGAGCTCTGCATCAAAAGCTTCAAAGAGGTAAATGTGAGTCTCAAAGAAGCCAATGCAGAAATTCTGAAACTTTCTGGATTTATGATGCCCATCTCAGGAATGATTTCAAGGCATTCCAAGGCCAAAAGAAGTACTAAGCACCTTCATTTGTTAAGTAGTTAGAGCTAAGTAGCTTAATAAATATTTATGTTCTAACAACTTAGTAACTGAAATAAACAATGCACATAATATTTTTATTTCATTCTTAAATAACTACAGTTACTTACAAACGAGATGTGTGTGCTTGCTGGGCACTGCACAAATTCCCGAACCTTAGAATCAGAGAGGGCTCTTCACCCGCATTTCCTGCTCCACACTGATTTTCAGAGCACTTGCCTTTTAGCACAACTACTGCCCAAAACCCAGTTTTGCAAAGATGTGATGTCATCGAAAGGAACATGTTGTGATCTAATGTTGAAACTGTGAACCACCTCGACTAGTAATTTGCATGGTGTCTGACCGTTGCCCAGAACTGCTGTGTTTCCCTTGAAAATTAAAATCTACTCTGCTGCCCTAGGGCGTTGGGTGCAGGGTTTGGGAACTGTAGGCCTAATGTTACTACTTTTGGCACCCTCCCCCCAGCAGTGAATAACACAAGCCTCTGGTGCAACATCCCTGGCGAACAGCCTGTCTGCTCCTCCTGTGAAACGTAGGTCTGAGAAACCCACGGGGGCGGGATATCCAATAAACCCTTCTGTGCTTTAAACCAGTCCCTATTTTAGGAAAATTACAAGGATACTGCGCTTTTTAAAATGATGTAAATTCTGTTCTAGATTGACTCATCAGGACCAGGCTCTTAGGTCAAATGTGGGTTAGTTAACGAGTGTAAGGAGACTATTTGGACTAGTCCTTGAACGTATCTGAAATAAAATAAAATGTTATCTAAGTGCTGTATTAAACAGATAATCAAGGCACAAGTCCCTGCCATTGAGGAGTTCACAGTCCATGGGAGAGACAGGTACACGGACAGGCAATTCAACAGAGGGTGATGGATGTTGCAACAGAGGCCAGGTGTGCAGCACAGGGACCCTGATGCACCCTGGGGTGGGTGCCAGGGAAGGTTTCCCAGATGAGGTGATGGATTCTACTCCAACTTTCTTTGTCATGATTATGAAGAAGAGGATGAATTTAAACACAAAGCTTCTCTTCTCTTTTAAATCACAAAGAAACAGTTTGAAGTGGGTGTTGGCGCAGGGCTTTATATGTATCTCGTTATTTTCACATGTATTCTTTCAAGATATCTATTTCTCATTGAGCACTATCTATGTGCCAGGAACTGTACTACACAGTCCACCTACAGTATCTCATTTAATCTTCACAAACAACCCTAAGTGCTTCCAGTCACGATGTACCCACCCGAGCCCTGTCTCTGTAAACAACCATAAAACTGGAAAAAATTAACGAGGCAACTGTTTGAGGCAGTGGGAACAGGCCATGCAAGGCTGATCCCTGAGACAAAGGACATCGGGAGGTGGGCCCCATGTGGGCCCGGCCCCTTTCCCAGCCTCCTCTCAGGCTCTCTGCATGCGGTGGTGACACTGGCACTCCCTCAACTACCCCAGCTCTTTTCTGCCTCTGGGCTTTTGCATGTGCTGTTCTCTCTCTGCAAGGTTCTCCACTCTTGTCCTTGCATGGCCAACTCGTTCTCATTCCTCAAAGCTTTGCTCATGTGTCACCACCTCAGAAGTTCCTCCAACAGCTCTGCCATGTTTTTCTCTTTTAACAACCCGTTCTTCTCTGGCCTAGTACTGAGTAAAGTTTACAACTGTATTTCTTTGCTCATATATACCCTATCTGCCTCTCCCACTAGCCCATGATTTCCAGCGCTAGCACAGCACCTGGCATGCAGTAGGTGCTCAATAAAGAGATGTTGAATGGGGACTTCCCTGGTGGTGCAGTGGTTAAGAATCTTCCTGCCAATGCAGCAGACACGGGTTTGAGCCCTGGTCCGGGAAGATCCCACATGCCGTGGAGCAACTAAGCCCGTGAGCCACAACTACTGAGCCTGTGCTCTAGAGCCCATGAGCCACAACTACTGAGCCCGCGTGCCACAACTACTGAAGCCCGTGTGCCTAGAGCCTGTGCTCCGCAACAAGAGAAGCCGCCGCAGTGAGAAGCCTGCGCACTGCAACGAAGAGTAGCCCCTGCTCACCGCAACTAGAGAAAGCCTGCACGCAGCAACGAAGAACCAACGCAGCCAAAAATAAATAAATAATAAATTCATTAAAAAAAAGAGCTGCTGAATGAATAAAGGAAGGACGTATCAGATTGGTCTCTCCCTTTCCTGTGGGAGGTGGGGGAAATGGGGAGACAGGGAATTCCTCCTCCCCTTTTACAAAAGTCACAGAAACTCAGAGACCATATAGGGCAGATCGGAGAAGGCTTCGTTAAGGAGTTGGGACTTGAAGACATGACCACTCAGTCAATCCTCCTGGTATCCATGAGAGGGAGATGTTATCCTCCCCATTTCACAGATTAGGCTCAGAGAAGCGAAGGACATGTCCAAGTTTTCCCAGCGAGTAAGTGGAGGGATAGAGACTCAGATCTGGTCTGGTGAGTTCAGAACCCCACGATCTGTTCACGACATTGCCCTGCTTTGAAAGCAAAGGATCGAGGCAACTCTTCTCCTTCCTATCTTTTTCTCCCCCCGCCCCCCGCACCCTGTATCCTCGCCTGGCTTTTTGCAAACTCTACTGACAGATGGACTTGAGCTGGCATTGTGCTCCTGAGAGCACAATGGGGCAGGTGCCCAGTCTCTTCCTGGAAGGACCTGGGGAGGACAAACTCTGCCAGCCAAACTCCACAGCTGAGGTGTCCCCCAGCCGGAATCGTGGCCTTGATGACTCAACCCAAGGGCCCCTTGGCCAAGGCAGCCTATGCCAGGGACCCCGGCATGGCTGAGGCTAAGAGCTGACTCACAGGGCAGGCTGCCACCACCTGAATCACCCACTCCACCTCTGGCTGGAGAGAAGAGGTTGGGGGCTGGGGTGGGGCACTGGGCTAGGACCACGTGACTCATCTGGTGAATAAATAATAACAATGATTGTAATAACAATAATGATGGACCATGACAGCTACTCTTAATGAGTACTTTTCATGAGTCAGGTGCCATTCTAACAGCTGTATATTAATTCACATAGCCTTCGTAACAATCCTATGTAGTAAGAACTATTATTTCCCTATTTCACACACGAAAAGACTGTGGCCCAGCAAGGTTGTGTAATTGGCTGCAGGACCCAGAGCTGGCATGTGGAAGTGCTGAGATTCCAACCAAAGTCTGTCTGACTCCAAAGCCCAGCCATTCATTCAATAAATATTGAGCCCCTGCTATAAGCCAGGCACTGTCG